CGATGTAGTCGCCGGTGGTACTGCAGGCACAATAGCTTCTGGGCATGCGGAAATGAGATGCTCGCCGAGTTTCACGAATTCAGAGTGCAGACGTCGGACATCGCGGAATTGAGTGGTGCGAAACTTGGGAAGGTTCGTCTGGATGTAGAAGTTAGCATGAGGCCACTGTTATGGATGCCATCTACAAGTGGAGTGGACAGATATGGAGGTAGCTTTGCAGCCAGACAGCAATGCGCTGAGAGCACCAACGCTACCTTGGCCCAATGCTCAATGTCCAGCACATTGCGAAGGCATGCTTTTGCCATGTTGAACTCGTATAGACGTACGTAAACATCGAATCGCAGTATGGGGTCCTTCTTTCCGTTGCGCTCAAGACCTGTAACCTTGGCCTGTAGCTTATAATGCTGCTGCTGTTGCTGCGGCTGTCGCTGTGGTCTCGTGCCGTGGTACCTTTGTGGCTGCTGTCCCTGTTGGCCCTGTTGCTGCGGCTGAGGTGATCGAGGCGCGTCCTGACCATGCGCCTGTTGTTGCTGCGATTGATCGCCATTCTCAGGCGCCGTGGCCGGCCGACTCTGCGCATCCTGCTCGCCCAGATAGCCGTACTGCTCACTGTTCTCGCCATATGGGGAAGTCTGCGCAGGCAGCGGGGATGACGGAATATCGTTAGTCGGAGGCTGGCCAAAAGACGATCTGTTCGCCTGGGGCGACGAAGCCCAAGGATCGCCGCCCGCGGGGTGGTCGGGATCGTGAGCGCTGTAATCCATGGTTGTGGGGGAGTGAATTGAAGCTATCAACGGCTGCGACTAGCTGGAGAGTGATGCGATGATGTCGCTCCAACGCCCTGCCTTGCCCTTAGCCCGGCTAGGAAAGGCGCAAACCATGCCATCTTTTGCGTCACGTGCATTTTCTACACACACCATCTTTCGCATCACCACCGCATTGCGCAGTCTTTGGCATGCTAACCGGCTGGATATGGTGTGCCCGCCGAGTCGTTCGGCACAATGTGAAGACTCCTCGGCGGTTGCTGTCAACCCAGGCGCCTCAACATGACCTACTTTCCAAAGCAACCCGCAATATCGGCATCATTGCCCACATTGATGCGGTAGGTCGCATGCTTCGTTTGTAAAGCAGAGGAGGTTCTAACAAACATCTAGGGAAAAACGACTACAACGGAGCGCATGCTCTACTATAGTGGTGTTACCCGTAGAATAGGAAGTATGTACTAATTCATTTTACCTTTATCGCACAGTGTTATCCAAATATCTCGATTCCCTCATATCACTTGTGAAACAGAAAAATCAGCCTTGACAAAAAAGCTAATCATTTCTAGATGTCGATGAAGGGTCAACAGTAACCGACTTCCTTCCCGCTGAGCGAGCACGAGGAATCACCATCCAATCTGCAGCCATAACTTTCCACTGGCCTCCACTACCACCAAGTAACCAAACATCAGCGTCTCTACCGCAGCTGCCAGTATCTTTTGATAATGTTTTGAGATCTTCTAGTCCTCATAACATCAATCTCATTGATACCCCAGGTCACGCTGATTTTACATTCGAGGTACTCCGTTCGCTGCGTGTCTTGGATGGCGCGGTTTGTATTCTGGACGGGGTAGCAGGAGTCGAAGCCCAAACGGAAAAGGTGTGGACGCAAGCCGGACACTATCATATTCCCAGGATCATCTTCGTCAACAAACTAGACCGCGTAGGCGCTGCCTTTTCGAGGACAGTCAAAGAGATTGGTTCCAGACTGCGTGGGTGGCCTGCAGTTTGCCAGATTCCTTGGTGGCAGGGAGGCAACGGTGACTTTGTTGGTGTCGGAGACGTTATAAATCTCCGTGGCATGCTCTGGAAGGCAGGTGGAGATGGACGAGACATCAAGGCTGTTGACCTTGGAGAGTTGGAAAAGACCGACAAGAATTTTGCCATGGAGATCAAAAAGGCCAGAATAGCTCTTGTCGAGACACTGAGCGAGCACGACGACGTAATGGTTGAGCACTTTCTGGAAAACGACGAAGACCATCTCGCCATTTCAGGCATCCAAGTCACGCAGTCTCTTCGTCGAGTGGTTTTACAAGCTCCCCAATCGGTTATACCAGTGTTTGCCGGGGCCTCATTCCGCAATATTGGTGTTCAGCCACTTCTTGATAGTGTAGTCGATCTCCTCCCATCACCTCTCGAACGCCCCGACCCTGAGATAGCCATCACGAACCAGAGTAGCACCCTTGCTGCTCTTCTCAGCTCAGCATCTACGGCGTCCACCAAGTCAGCCAAGCCGGCAAAGAAACAGGAAAAGCGAACTGGTGAACTTGCCATTGCCGAAGTGAAAAACCTACAAGCCTGCGCTCTGGCTTTCAAGGTTGTCAATGACGCGAAAAGGGGTGTCCTGGTCTATGTGCGCGTCTACTCTGGCTCAATTGATCGCGGCGCCACGCTATACAATACCAACCTGGCCATTGCGGAGCGCGCACCCCGTCTTCTGAAAATGTATGCGAATGATGCGGTGGAAGTTGACAGCATAGGTCCTGGCCAAATTGGTGTCATCACCGGACTCAAACATGCCAGGACTGGTGATACGCTGATCGTATACCGTGGGCTGCAGATGAAGGGTACACCGTCTGGCGGGTTGAATACGCTGCAACTCCGACCCATCGCCGTTCCGCCTCCCGTATTCTTTACCAGCATCGAACCTCACAGTCTGAGCGAACAAAAGCATGTACAAGAAAGTCTTGCCATCTTACTACGCGAAGATCCGAGTCTTCACCTCTCAGTTGATGAAGAGTCTGGGCAAACGCATCTAGCAGGCATGGGTGATCTGCATCTCGAAATCGCCCGAGACCGACTTTTGAACGACTTCAAGGCCAAGGCGAGAATAGGCAAGATCGAGATTGGATACAGAGAAACTATCACGACTTCGACCGAGCCATTCACGTACACTCTTGACAAGCCAATTGCAGGCAAGCAGGCCAAAGCCATCGCCACCGCCTCCGTCGAATCCATCGACGAAAGCACCATCAGCAACGACTTAACCCAAGATACCCAAGAAGTCCAAGACAGCCCCTTCGAAACAACATACAAGCTACCCGACAACAACACCCTCTACATCTCCCACCCACACCTCTCCTCCCACGACTCTGCAAGCCACAAAACCCACATCCCCCCACACCTTTCCCTCCCGGGTATCCTACACTCCCTCCAAGCCGGCGCCTCCGCAGCCCTCGCCCGCGGCCCCTTCAACGGCTTCCCCGTCGCCAACACACGCGTTACCATCGCCCTGGACGCATCCGCCCATCTCTTCCCAGAGACAACCACCACCGCCCTCTCCATGGCTGCTCGCGCCGCCGTAGGCGCCAGTCTACGCACAGCATGCAGCACCGCGCCCGCAGCCCTCCTCGAACCTGTCATGAACGTGACTATTTTCGTAAACGAAACCTCGCTCGGCGCTGTTGTCCAGGATATTTCTTCCTCAAGGGGCGGCCAGGTGCTTTCGCTCGATGGCACAGAGTCATCACATGCATCGTCGGGTGCCGCCGATGATGACCTGCCGCGTATTGACCCATCGCTTATTTATACGCCTCCCGACCCTTTTAGCTCAGGCACGGGCGATGTCGGTAGTGGTGTTGCGGATAATCAGCGCCAGATTGTAGCAAGGGTGCCGCTGAAGGAGATGGTCGGGTATTTGAATCATCTGCGGGCGCTGACGGGCGGGAGGGGCACGTTTGTTATGAGTGTGGATGGGTTTGAGAAGATGGCGGCCCAGAGGCAGAAGGAGGTGCTTGATGCTTTGAGGGAGTTTTGAGGTGTGAGGAGCTTGTAAGAATAGATTGTGTAAAATGTAACTGTAGTATGGAGATGGTAGTTTTATGGATTTTGTGCTTGGTTTGTTGGGAGCATGGTGCCTGTTTGCATGGGATGTGTAAGATTTGCCAAAGTAGATGAAGGGAGACTGAGTTGATGTCGATTTACAGGAACGAGAGAAGGTGCTATGAACCTGATTTATAGGAAAATAGCGTCCCAGTGAAGGTGAAAGTGAAAGTGAACATAAACCACACTCGAAGCTCTACAAACAGATACTCAATCCCCGCCCATCAACATCCCAAACCCTCTCAGAACCTCCCACAACACCATCGCAACCACCTCCACACCACCAAACCCATCCTATTCTCCAATAAAATCCGTACTCGAGTCCCCACCCCCACCGCTCCAACCCCACACACACCAACAATGAACTACACGCACACGATAATCCTAACCATCACCCTGGTGACCCTCTTCTGCTGCTTCTTCGGGTGGTGCCTGATGCGAAGTTGCCGGCGCGTCATCGACGCCGAGATGCACGAGTTGGCGTGGCAGCGGGAGAGCGATGCGAGCAAAGCGGGCAGCGAAGCGAACAGCAAAGCAGACAACAAAGCGAACAGTAAAGCGGGCAGTAAAGCAAGCAAAGCCGGCGCAAGTGCAGCAAAGTAGCAAAAACAAACAAACGAGATTGAGTAATTGGGGTTTGTGAGAAAGAGGGGTGTCGGTGGGGAATTCGAGAAGGAGAGTAGGCGAGAAGGAAGGGTGAGTGGGATAAGGAGAGGCTGGGGATGGTCCAGCTGCATACGACGTTGTGGAACGTGGGGATGGCGAGTGTGTTGCGTGTGGAGAGTTGCACTACACATGTTTGTTCTTGACATGTGTGTATGTGTGACAACAACACTGGGCCATGGGGATTACCGAGCGCGTAGCTCTGTGTAAGGTGGAGCGGATGGATTTCGTGGGCTTGAGTGTGTGGCTGATGATTTGGGAGCTGGCGGGATAAAAGTTACACAATAAATTGGTTGTTTGCTGTGTACTGCGGGTTTCCGTCAGGTCTAATTTAACTGGGAGGTTAAGGAGTTACTTGTGAATACAAGTTACTTAAGTGGCGACTCTTTGTTGCTTGGCTTTGTGCATGATTTCTAGTCTCTTGACGATATCTCTTTTCTTGACCTCGTAACTCGTTCTACCGAATCGACTGTCATGACGAATACCAATCTCATCGTTGCCATCATCTTTGCTGGTCTATTTGGCTTGGCTCTCATGTTTGTTGCCTTGTGGTGTCTCGGCCGTTACATTCACCATTGTTGTCTCGATATTGGGCAATGGCTCCACGCTTTGTCACCTCAGTCGCCCAAGGATCCACCAGTAGTGTATGTGGAGAAGCATCAGCCTAGATCCAGAAAAAGCGAGCGGGGAAGAGGATTCGATCAGCTACGAACCAAAAGGGATCACGAAAGCGGCAATTTTGAATACGAAGGGACAGGGGATGGCAGTGTGGACACAAGGTCAACCGTCCAGCCTTGCTCTCCTGTGCAAGCTCAGCAGCAACCGTATAACCCCACAAATTACCCTTGGCTGGTATGGCAAAATCAAACTCAAAACATGCAGCCGGTGATGCAGCATCAGATACCAATGTGTTGGCAAGCACAGGGTGTTCGTCGAGTACCAACCTGCGTAATGCAAACAACAATACCTTGGCAGCCGAATCCACAAATGGCAATGGAGATCTCGGAACCTTTCCAGGGTCCGTCTCGGTACCTGCCCCACAAGTTGTCCCAACCACAAAAATGTCTTTCGGCGAAAGCCAGGTCGCCTGAGAAGTATGCACGTCAGGCAAGGAAGGTTGACTACATTCACATTTGTGACGAGTATCCGCCTTTTGTGCTAGAAGCACTCAACAAGGCAGCTCAATCACCATCGCCCGCCTCCTTCTCTTCATCTTCATCGTTGGCATCATCCAGCTCGAGTGATGGATCTGGAGCGACGCAAGAGGTACCGCGAACTACTATACCATGCGCTACGCCTGCTTGCATCACGATTAAACAGTACCCACATATTGTAGCACGCGGAAGTGGTACCTCTAGGGCATAACCACGACAGTGCGTGGGCAGAAATGGGCAAGGAAATGGGCCGGATACCCGCCCAAGTCAGGTACGCATTGTTGGCGTTTCGCGACCGTGGGGATGAAAAAAACGGTAGATACCGAGTCTAATACTCGCCTTGTCCCGCCGTTGGTCCGTCGATCCATGGCTTGGCAGATGGTAATTACAACTTAATGCAAAGAGGGTTGCTGGCGATTTTGATCATGCTAGGATGTGACGCAGGAGACTCCCGAGTGTGCCAGGTGTGGATAACCCAGAGGACGAGCCGGACGGTCGGCATGGTTGGTGCAGATCACCGAAGAGAACGGGACGAGCAACGGGCAAAGGAGAGCAAAAGAAATCCGAACGAGGACACGGACGACGAAAAGCAAATGAAACATGTTGTGGAAGGGTTCTTGGCTTCTGGAATTCGCAACCGGAGGACGGGCAGTCCGAGCAGCAACCCGGACAGGGCCGGTTGTCCGGTGGGCAGGAAACCCCACGCTACTCAGCAGTGCCGGTTTTCGGTGGTGGAAGTGGGTCGGCAGCCGGGGACGAGTGAAAGAGCAGGTGGTGTGGCAGTGGCGCTCGGCCTATGGATTGATCCGCGCCGGCCTCCATGTTGTGGCTGACGCTAGACAATGCGCAAGTAATGGAAGCACATGCAGGGTGACCCGTGAGATGACAGTACTTACTAGTAAACGACTATTGCGGGTAGCCTTGCGACTACTGTTCAACCGTACATATGTGCGGGCATACGCCTGCGCTACTGGAATTGAACGCGTGGCTTGTCGTGGCTGTGCCTCTGGGTTTGTGAGGCGTTGTCGAGGGCCAAAGACGACGACGATGACAGGCTTGCAGAATGAGCGCCTACAGTGCATGTGTGCAGTACTGTCCATGGTGTGCTATATGCATCGTGTCAGCGCCAGAGCCTTGTCCTATCACGGACATAATTTAAGTTTTGGGGCATTGAAAGTCTGGGTAGATGGCATGTAAGCACATGATGCGCCAAAATTGGAGTCGTGTCGCAAGATGCGGGAGTAGGGATGGCTAGCCAAAGCTTGTCACCAATGGCCGCAAGGAAACAAGTAGACAGAGTGGGCTTGCCATAGGGATACGGTTTTTTTGGCTATTGTGCTCGGTTAGGGGTATCGAGGGACAATAGGCGTCGAGTCTGGAAGCGCGTGTTTGGGTGATTAGCTCTGACATCGGGCCTTTGCAACTGGCCGAGCATTGCCCTCCCAAGTGCAAGGCCACACACACCCCCCATGGACAGACTCAGAGGCCATCAAACGCTAACCGTGCCCGCCCATTCAACTCCAGAAAAGGGGTGGGTTGCGATGATTTTTCTGTTGGCGTCAGCAACGCGACAGTGAGTGCTTGCGAGCACACGCAGCCTGTCTACGAATGGTGTGCTCCGCCCTGTCCAAGGGATGGCCCAGTGTAGCGTAGTGCAGCCAGTTTCATGCTGCTGCCGTTGTACTTACGCGTTGCCATGTCGGCGGCTGTGGGGTGACAGGTCGCTCGTCGCATCATCCCCGGCATGGCCACCCCCATGCCTCACAGACGGCTGTGTTCGGCATCGGTGCGCTTCATCCATTGGTTCACGGGCGGGTGACCAGGCCAGGCCTGCTGTGTCTCCTAGTAAAAGCATGCATTCGTCTGCTTCTAATACTTTACTCCATTGGGGGACCCTGCCTAAGGCACGTGAATTGCGCGTCGCATTCGGACCCTTGCGAACCTTGGGCCATTCACTTGGCTCTGGCTACCTTTCTCTTAATACAACTGGTAATCCCCCGAGCCAGTCCATCGGTCCTGCGCCGACGCCATATTATACCACTTCCTTCGCCTTCACCCCGCCCCTACCCACCTACTCGTTTGATGGCGCATCCGACTCGCTGCTAGGCCCCTTTCACCCCCCAAAGTCCACCCTTTCGATGCTGAAATCCTCCCGCCAGCCCATACATCAGTATGAGCTGGTTCCGCGAGACTCCATCGACGAAGAGCAGCACGATGCTGGTCGCGACCCTTTGGATACCACCACCGCTTCCAGGTCATCATGGCTTGACCGTCTGCCCTGGCCCTTGGCCAATGTCAACAAACTCTCAGAGCGAGCCGTATACGTTCACTATGTCACCCCGCGCCGACGCAAGCGATCCCTTCTGCGCCTCATCTACTGGACTATATTCTCCGTTCCCTACCTTTTGATCCTTCTTGTCCTCGTCACCGGCGCTTTCTTTCCGAGTTACACTATCCGACCACCCCACTATGACGAACTACGCAAGCGCGCAATCACTACTGGCCGCGCAAACCCATACAACGAAACAGTCTTTATAGTCGCATCGCTTGCTGAGCACAAGGGCGACTTAACTTCCGGGGCTTGGGGAAAAGAAGTGCTCCAGCTTATAGATCTGCTCGGGCCGGAGAATGTGCATTTGAGCATATACGAAGATAACCCAGACCCGGTCACCAAGCAGTCCTTGAAGGCATTTCGCGACGAGGTCAAATGTAAGTGTATTCATCGACGTTGCGACGGACCCCACTGACTGACCTATTAGGCAATTCTACTATCATAGCCGAAGATCTCGACCTCGCTTCTCTGCCCCACGTTACACTACCAAACGGTGAGGAACGCCTTAAAAGGATTGCATTCCTTGCCGAGGTTCGCAACCGCGCGCTGGCTCCAATTGACACATATGGTGTGAAATTCGACAAACTCCTCTACCTCAACGATGTAAACTTTGATCCCATCGAAGCCGCTCAACTCCTCTTCGCAACAAATATCGACTCAAATGGGCGTGCAGACTATGCTGCAGCATGCGCTGTCGATCACATCATGCCCTTCAAATTCTACGACCGCTTCGCAACCCGAGATTACGATGGCATGGTGACCGGCTTGCCCTTCTTCCCGTGGTTCACCAGCGCAGGTACGGCAACAAGCAGGAGCGATGTACTCGAGAGCAGGGACGCTGTGCGGGTGCGAAGCTGCTGGAGCGGCATGGTGGCTTTTGAAGCAAAGTGGTTCCAGGCCCGAGCCGGAGCACCAGCAGACGCTGCAGACCCACAAGCCCAGTCGCCTAATCGCGATTTATCCCCTCTCCGGTTCCGATACGACAAAGAGCAACTCTGGGAGGCATCCGAGTGCTGTCTGATCAACGCGGATCTCCAGTACCGAATGTCAGGCAAAGGCAGACCGACACAGTCCAGGATATACATGAACCCATTTGTGCGCGTGGCTTACGATGAGAAAACTTTGAGCTGGCTCTCGTTGATCCGTCGCCCGGAACGCCTCTACGCCCCGATCCACGACATTCTCAACTACTTTGTTGGGTTCCCCGAGACGCACGCACGCTTCGCTGAGGAGCCTGGTGAGGTTGTCACGGACAAGGTCTGGGTTTTTGACAACCCTGCTGCCGCCTTTGCACCGAATGCGACAGAGGTGCAGCTCGCCGGACATTATGTCGAGCGCACGCGAAAGGCGGAACCTGGTGGCTACTGTTCCTCGCCTAATCTGCTGGTGATTAACGAGAAGCCTGAACACGGCCCTGGTTCATGGAGCAAGATTCCTCTTCCCAGGATACCGGGACACTGAGCATCCCAACTACAGCCTCTACATTATGACTTTCCTTTCTCTTGTGCATCTTAACATTTAGCGTTTTTGTTTTCTTTGTCATGCATAGCGCAACGGTGGGGGTGGCGTTTGCAGTCTTTCTGGGCTGATCACTGTCCTCATTCAAATCAAAGATATGTCCTCCGACTGGCACAAAGCAGGTCGTTTGAGGACTTTGAAGATGTTGTTTTGCCGTTGGCAATTTCGTGCGTATCCAACCAGAGAGTGGGCGCTAGACTTTTCTTTTGTGTGTCTCGCGGCACTCTTAGTTCAATGAAATTTGTGCCGGTGTGGAAATCCATCCAAAGCTAGTTCCATACCACTGTGATATGTCACTGAGTTACGTTCCCCACGTCATGAGCAGTGCAGTCACACACACACATACACACACCGCCACCATATGCCTTCTCCGCAGTGTCACATGCTCCTCAGTGTTCTCCCTGTTCTCCCACTGAAGACGACGCCATAGACGACGCAATACAAACCCCTTGTTTTTCTCTACATGACCCCGGGCTCTTCATGATTGCATGGATACCCGAACCAGCATTCCCTTGACGTCTCAGAACTGTCAATCATGAGTTTCGCGACGAGTCGAGTCTGGCCAATGACGCCACGCGTTATTCAGCCCTTTTGCCAAGCCGCTAGTCCCAAGTCTCACATCTGCAAGATGCGCGCTAGGAGGCCAACACGGTGCGAAGAAACACGGCTCATCTGACCCAGGGTCTCTCTTTCTTTGTATATACTCCAATCTACATCTTCTTATCGCTCTGCCGTGTCTGCTCCGATAGACAGGGCCTTTTGGCGACTATTCCGCAACAATTTACTTAAACAGATCCCACCGGGGACTCGGGATACCGACGTCATTCCGCACAGTACCTGCAGGAACATCATGGGGCTCGACAATGACACCCGCGGGTGGATCATGACCGCGGTCAGTGGTATCGGTATGTTTTTACGCAGTCGTGCAGCAGTTGCATGCTGATCCGCTTTATACTCTAATAAGAATTTGGGCTAACGCGTGAATAGCGTGCACATTCGGCGGTAAGAACAGACCCGTCCTCCGCAGTTTGATCCTTGGCTCAGACTGTCCCGATAGCGAATCTCAAAACTGACATTGACCAGCCTCGATAATATGTGTTGATGTTGTCATTCGTCAGTTTCCAGGCAAGAAGAACTTCAAAATCGAACAGAGTAATGCTTTTTTGTCGACGGGACTAAGTCTTTCTTTTGGCGTTATGGTTAGTTTCTACGTCCATCTGTACTATGCTTTCCATCAATTAATTTGAGTTCCAGATCTTTTCATCATTGTATAACATGCTTCCCTCAGCAAAGAAGTACTTAATAGGTGGCGGCATGTTACCAAGGAATGCGATATTAACAATGATTGGATGTTTTCTAGTTGGTGCTCTTGGCATTTCCGTCGTCTCTGGGATCCTGCACAAGTATATTCCACATTCAGTTGTAGATTGCAACGATGAGCATGGCGATGAAGAACATGGAAAAGATCAGGAAGAGCATGGCCATTCGCACGAACCGATGCAGGAGCAACAGTCTGGATTGCTGCAAGCAGAAGCACACCACGAACACCAGGCGTACGGAACCAGTAGCGAGACCTCGAATGCTGGCCAATCACAAAGACCATTGCTGCACAAATCTTTCTCGTCCAAAATGTCTCAACTGGTAACTCGAGCGGAGAAAATATGCAATGAAAACCACAACGGGGAATGCTATGGCGATTTCTGCGAGATCCGGCCTACGCGTTTGCAATCGAGAAAGTCCCTTGGCAGCCTCAGAGCTATACGACCATCTGCTGCGAACAGGAATCAAAACTCGCAAGGTCCGCACGATCGGAAGTTGGTATTGGAGGACGTAGATGAGACGACCCCTCTGATTCCTACGAGATCGGTCCCGGCCACTTTGGAAAGCTCTCTCGCCAGCCTACCGCCCGCAAACGGCCATACAAGCACCAACACACATCAAGTTACCCCAACGCACAAACACAGCCGTAGTTCCTCAGTGTCCTCTCACTCGTCGCATGATTCCCATTTTCACGGTCACAATCACAACCACAGCCACGGACATGGCCATGACCTATCCCAATCTCAACACCACCACCACGTCCCTACCAACGTTTTTCTCTCTCTTGGCCTACAAACTAGCACCGCAATCGCACTTCACAAGATTCCAGAAGGATTCATCACATATGCCACCAACCACGCAAACCCGACCCTCGGCTTCTCCATCTTCCTCGCACTCTTCGTCCACAACATCACCGAGGGCTTTGCCCTTGCCCTTCCACTCTACCTAGCCATCAATTCCCGATGGAAAGCAATGCTCATCTCCACAATCCTCGGCGGCGTCAGTCAACCGCTCGGCGCCGGTGTAGCGGCGCTCTGGTTCAAAGTGCAGGGCCGAGGCCGAGGCAGCGGCACCGAAGACGGAGAAATGGACACGATTTACGGGTGCATGTTTGCCGTTACAGCAGGCATCATGGCCATGGTGAGCTTGCAGTTGCTAGGTGAGAGTCTCGACTTGACGAACAGCCGGCGATTGTGCTTTGTAAGCGCCTTTGCGGGCATGGGCATTTTGGGCTTGAGCAGCGCGCTTACTGCGTAGTAAACATGATGAGTTTGGGAAAAAAAAAAGCCTTTTGAATAAGGACAATGAAGAATAAGAACAATAAGAATACCAAATAGGGAAAGAAAGAATGAGAAAGAAGATGTTGGCGACAAAGACCGCTTTGGGGGTGTTTTTATTTTCGGTTGTAAAACATACAGGAGCATATACACATATATAGGCGTTTGTTGTTGTAATTACCAATCAGCTGAGCATCATGTAGACTCTTTACTTTTGTGGATTTGAAAGAGTTTTGGACTCGAATTCTCTACAAGCTGCTTTGGGCATCAAGGGTCTTTTGGCTTGCGAAAGAATTCTACAAGACAAATCAATGTCATTAACCGCCCTCATTCATTAACCCATTACTACTGCTCTCGTGCATCGAAATCTTCAGACGTCCGGGGGTATTCCTCGCCTGGCTGAGGCACAATGTTGTCGACTTCGGCTCGTGCTTCTTCCCATGCTGCCTTGTTGCGTTTTGCCCAGTCAATGTGACATTGTGCGAATTCCATCTAGAAAAAGTGGTTAGCACTTGGTATACAAGCTATTATCAAGGGAGCCAAGCTGCTTACCATGTATCGTCGCAAATCCTCTTCTTTTTCGTTCTGGAATCTCCGCAAGTCCTTCATCACGCCTGCGCTTGCATCCTTGGTATCCTTCTCTGCAACTCCCAGTGCTTGTTCGAGCTATTTGTTGTTAGTCTCTTCAACATGTTCATGCTTTGACTCGTGTGTTTACCTGAACCAGACTGTCCCTCGTCTTGCCTATCTGGTCTCGCCGTGTCTTCTCTGGATCAACGTCCGCCATGCCCCTGAAAGCATGCGTGATGGAACCGAATAGCTTGTTAGTTACAAAGTTCCCGCTTGCTGTCTTCTTGTGCTGGTTGGAGGGTGGAGAGTAACTATCAGGAGCCCCTTGAGCGCTTGATGGCGGGTCGCTATGTGTGGGAGGAAAGTCGGAGTCTATCGATGCCCTATCATCCTCTGACCGGCCTTGGTGATCAGGGTCGCTACCACTACGCTGTGAGCTGTATGAAGCCGCACGACTCCTTGAGGGCGCGTGGCCGACCCCGCTCAGATGTTGTTCCAGGCGTTTTGACTCTGCCTCACTTCTTTCTAGCGATTCAAGCAAGTTGCGCTTCTTCTCCAACTCGTCCTTTGTCATGTCTTCCTGTATCCTCTTGAGTACTCGGTATCGAAGAATGGAACGCACGACTCCGGCGAATTGCGCGCTTTCGCGCATCGGTTCTGAAAAGCTTGCGCTCAGAGATGAAGATAGTTCGGTGGTCGCGATATAAGTCGAATCGACTGCTTGTCCGACCTTTTCGATGGCGGCGGCAAGTGTTTGCGTTTGTTCGGAAAGCGAAAAGGCGTTGAATCGCGCACCCAGATCGGCCATGTCTTCTCCCCAATTTCCCAGATGCATAAGTAACCGCCTGTTGACCTTCTCCATAGGGCCCTGCAGCAAATTTTCCAGGTCTTTCGAAGAGTTCTCAAAACTGACAAAGTATGGATCCAATTCTTCTTCTGACATGTCCCTTGTCTCAGGAGGGAAACGACCAAAGATTGCGGGGCCTGGCGTGGTATGCGCGGCTGCTGAAGGCAAAGCTGCATTGTTGGCAGGCGCTACTGGCGTGCCAGAGCTAGAGGTTGCGCCGCCAGACTTGAGTTTGGCAGATGATGAGGGAACAGGGAGGTAGCTATGCGCTTGCGTGGGATTTGCGGGATCTAGTGGAGGTGCTTTGAGAATCTGTTTGGGGATGTTGGAGATGGGTGGACTGTTCAGAACGTCGGCCTAGCGCACATCAATTCCGCACATTCAAAGAGATTCCATAGGAGTAACGTACCCAACTCGTGTAAGGGTCGAGAAATCTCCAAAAGACACCGTCTTCCAGGATGTCTTTCATCTTCCTACACCTATTTAAGAAGACAGCCAACATGCGCTTTCGCAGCTCAATGATCCCGGCGTCTTCCTTTGCTTTTGTCGGTTTCGCGGCGTAGTCGGCCATGGTATGTTTCTCCGGGATCGGCGGTACAACGAGTGTCGGGTGTAGTCTGACCAGTTCAGCGCGCAGCGATGCAAACTCGGAATATCTGCGCTTGACCTCGAGACCCTGTGCCGGTTAGCCTCTTGCAATGCGCGATAACATCTCCACCTACGCCACAATTGATGGTGTACTGTATGTAGTTTACACCGTCTTTCCCCGCACCTGTAATCAGAATGAGCTGGTCCCGCTGCTCATACAGCCATTGCTCTACGCGCGCGTCATAACCACCCTTCTTAGGCGCCTTTGTATCTAGGTTATCGGCGCGATCTTCATTGTAGTCGATATCGCTCAGGTCGCGCTGGCCGATATACTCTGGCGAGCCATGTGCGGGGGAGGATGCCTCGGAGGGAGGAGTGGCGGGACGATACGGAACTTTGCTGGTGTCAGTTGACCATGCTGGCAGTCACTTGACCGGGCATCAAGAAGCCTTACGGGCAGTTGGCGAAGCCAGACCGGGGATATCTGAAGCGTTTGAATCGTGGCGGGCAAAGGACCCATATGGATTATTGTCCTCGTCGTCCCACATGGCGCCAATAGGATTGCGGCAATTTCAAGGGAAGCTGAATAGGTCTTCTTCTTCTTCTTTTTTGTTGTTTCTACCTGTGTGTGAGCAAGACAGGGCGGCAGCAAGTGTGGGTGTTGAGGATCTAGGGCTTGGAGTGGAGTGGAGCTCCAGGCCCTCACGGCAGTCAGGCAGGCGGCAGGGCAACGGTGACGTTGGTCGATTTGGCCCAAGCTCGTCCAAGTCAGCCGCACCGCCAGCCTCCGCAACGTGCGCCTCCCCTCTTCTTCACACTTACATTACAAACTGTTTATAGACTAACACGATGCATCCCGATAGTTTCGCAGGTGTTCTCTGGCTAAGATTTGCCCCGTCACTTTCCATCCAAAATATCTTCCGGCGATATGAATTCACTCGATCTTATAGTCATGTCTTTGAACAGGCACACGCTGTGAAGACCAAGTGAGCGAGTTGGAGAGCGTGGGAAAACACCTCTGCAGCTAGCTATAAATCTGATATTCAATCGAGTCTTGGAGAACAGCCTCTACAATTCTCCACGCCCTCCAGTCGCATCTTGAGCAAATTTTCCTCGACCCCAGCAAGGTTGGGAGTATCCTCTCAGCCACAGCCTCTCGAAACCTTTGAAGATGGTGTGTAAATTATGTTGTTCATATCAACTATCTATTCATCCCATCAGTTCTCAGCCTAATGTCAGTAAGGAAAACTAGTGTAAAGAAAAAGAGACCGAGTTCACGAGTAAGCGCTGCTTGTAGGTGATGCCAAACCTCGATTAGAGTGGAAGGTATGATGTATTCAGACATGTTACTAAAGTACCGTGTCATCGTGACATTGAATATTTAAACTTAATGAACGGAGAATTTTTATAAAAGTAAAAGTACACTACGTCCATGTTCGAACAAAGGTTCAAATAGTGATACTGGGTCAGGATAAACTTTTAAAATATCCTAGTCTATTTGTTCTACTTTAGACTCGCGGACTACTCTCTGTAAAAGACAGGTCGCCATGGTTACGATCCGGCGCCTAAAAGTCATTTCCACGCATCCACTCTACGCAACACGGTACGACACCTTGGTCGTCCCCTTTGACCTCGCAATCTTCTTAACCTCAATCCTCCCCACCTGACTACAATCCTGCACATGGGTCCCACCACACGGATAACTCCCCAGCCCTTCCATCTCCACCACCCGCCCCATCGTCTCCCCCTCAGGCAACGCAAACCCTTCACTCGCATAGCACTTCTGCATCAGCTCCTCCATCGACCACCAATGGATCTTGATCGGGCGCGCAGACTTGACGAACTCGTCCGTCTTGGCTTGGATAACGTCCTTGTGCTTTGCTTCGAGGCTTCCAATGAAGACAACGGAAGCAGAGTCTGGGTAGTGCGATGCTTTTGATTCTTTGAGCGGGGGTAGCACGCCTTCGCGGCAGAGCGCGTGGATGGCTAGACTCATGATGTGGCCGGCGCTGTGGAGGCGCGAGTGCAGCAGGCGCTTCTCGGCATCTACGTGCTGCTGGAGTTGGGCTCCCGCGGTCAAAGGTGCGCTGGCGGTTCCGTTGGAGGGGTCGAAGCGGCCGAAATGCAGGATTTGGTTGCCTTGGGCGGGCTGCCGGACGGATCTTACTTGGAATGTAGGCGTGTCTTTGGTTGCTGCGTCATCGGAGGGGTTCATGGTTCCGATGTCTGAGGGTTGGCCGCCGCCCTGGACGTGGAAGATGGTTGAGTCTGTAATGATGGCGTGTTCTACGTCTGATGCATCTTTCACAAGGTCTTTGTCTGGTGGCGGGAGTTCAGATACTGGGACAATAGAGACGACTTTGGCGCCGTGAAGCAAGCGTTGGCCGTCTCGCTGGTAGACGAGTTGCGTTGCTTCAGTCATTGTCTGCAATGAGAAAGTTAGTGAGCTGTTACTGCGTACGTATAGTATTGCGGATATAAAGGGCCGGCCAAGAAGCACGTACTCTGAAGAAACGGTGGAATGCCCTTGGCGACAGTTTGGAAGGGCAGGTAGATGAGGAGGGGAGTGGTTTGTTGAATGGTAAACTCGAGAGAAGTGATTGAGCACAGTGGCAGAGCCGTGGGCGGCGACTGGGGTATTTACGTGCGCGTTACATGACTGCAACAACACCTCGTACTTAGTGTACCTGGTAAGCGAGGGTGTGCAATGCCCGCCCACCCACGCGCCACTCGTCCGTCACCATCTACGTAGATTTTTTGCCAAGACTGCAGGGCGCTGCCTTTTGCCGCTTCCGGACGAGCAGCCCCAATTCGACCCAGTGGGGTGGATTGCGTATTCAACCCACCCGCTTGTGCTACGCCGCACCTCGCCTTCCTGCAATGCCGCGGCACTGCTTGGGCCCATGCTATCATGCAGACGCCCCTCAACTCAGCCAATTGATCCAGCCGTCGGGAGCCGTGTTTCTTCTCCACAATTTTACATCCAAAGCTAGTCTGATATCCACTGCTATGCTATTCCCCAATCCCCATTCCCCACATCTATCTCCTCGCCGACGCTTCTGGTAACGCAACCGTATATCACTCTGAATCCTTCGGGCCCTCGAATCCTTCATGTCGGCCACGTGTCCCTAAATCTTGTACAACAAGACTTTGCCAGTCACCGCAACCCTGGCCCCGCATAGCAGAAGGAAGCCTGCAACCATAGATGCTGCTGCAAATGCTTGGGCGTAAACATAGCGACCATCATTCTTCGTGATCAAAACACCTGCTATGGGTGGGCCTGTCAAGACGGAGAAGCTCACAATCGTCTGCAGCTGTAGTTAGTCTCTGTTTTCCTTGGACGTGCTGCATCCTGGGTTGCAAACTTACAAAGATCATGCCCATTCTCACTCCCGCTTTCTTCAGATCAGTCGTCAAGCTACTCAAAGTAGCCGGAAACATTGCCTGAAGACCGTTTCCTACGACGCCGTAAACTACGGTCCATGCATAGAGTCCTCCGCGAGACGTAATGCCAATCATTGCCCAGGCGCAAACGATTGAAGCAGCTGTGACCATGAGAAGGATATTCATGGGTCCGGTATATCGATCCGCTAGGTAAGCAGGAAGAGTGCGGCCTATGATACCAACACCGTTGAGCACCAAAAACAAATTGAATGACTCGTTCTGAGGTATGCCAATGATGTCGACCCCGAATGAGCTCACATAGTAGAAAGCAAAATAGACGCCCCAGAAGGTCAAGAAGATGCCGACTGCAAATAAGCTGTAGGAAGCCTCTTTGAACGCAGCAAGATCAACAATGGGCCCAGTACTATAAGGCGGAAGTCTTGGTTTGGCCAAAATATTCGAGAGGACCAAGCATGCTGTAGTCGTAAAACCCAAAGCCCTCATGGTCCAGCCATAGCCAACCGCTGGGACTAGTTGCTGGAACATGGCCGGGTAGACCAATCCGCCCGTCGCACTGCCGCATGCGCATATACCAATGGCCAGCATCTTTCTCTTCGCAAAATACGTCGAGACGATTGCAAGAGCAGGGCAGAATAGGCACCCAGCACCGACACCGACGCAGATTCCCTGAGCGAGAAACAAGTGCCAGTATTGTGTGGAAATCGAGGCCATGAAAATACCGAGCAAAGTCAATGTGGTCCCGAATGCTGTGGAGAATGAGCGGGTTATTCCTTTCGTTACACCGAGGTGATATTTGAAGAATGCATCACTCACAGAAGATGGCACGGAAATACCCTGCATCAGTCAAACGGCCTGAGAAGGTGCCGATGAAGAACACTAGGAAGACCTGCACGCTCCCAATCCACGCTACATCGGCATGGGAGCGCTTCAGGAAATCCACATAGTAGGTCTCATAAACACCGAACGAGTTGATGTTGCCCCTGGAATGATGTTAAACCGATCCCGAGTCATGTCTGCTATGTAGTGGCAGTAGGGTTTTAGAGTATCTCACCAGGTGTTCATGATGACCAAATGTCCTACTAGCACCTGTGTCCAGGCGCGAAGCCCACCATCTGGAGGCGGACCCGGGTCTTTCCAACTTGCCTTGCTTTTCTCTAGTTCTAGCTGTCCCCCGTTGCCTTCTTCAACGGAATCGCTCTGAGAGTCATCTGCGGCTTCCGAAGATATGGTAGGCTCTTTAATCCCATTGATAGAAGTGGCCATATTGACGGATGTGTTTTCTATGACCCTGTCCTACTTGATATCCGGTAGCAAGAGGTAGGTGAGTCTTTCAATCGAAATCAGATTCGTGGGCTTCGTAATGCTTGCGTGAATAGTGAGGGAGTCTGCCAAAACTGGTCAAACGGGCACGTTGGACAACACGTGGGGCAACGGACGCACTCGCCACACTCGCACTCGAGGGCAAACAAGGTAAGAAGAAAGAGTAAGAGAAAAAGGCACTGGAGGCGACTTTCTGCCAGGTAATAAGCACTCGGGTGGGTTCTGTCACCAGCATCTACTATCAGTCACTACCCGTTCGTCCCCACTACAAAAAACAAACGAGCGTGATCTTCCGCCAATGAAGCACAATGGCTCCTTTGGATGATTCACACATTGTACAAATGAATGTAACGTTCAGTCTTTTGGCATATCTTGGATGACTCGGTAAAAAGACGCCCAGCGCTAAAAGCTATGAGGGGCTCTCCATGCGGCGGGTCCGGGGAGCAGGCTTCGTCTTGGCTTGTTATATGCAGGGACTCTGCACGCCCTTTGCAGCCCGATGCTGACTAGATCTTGTAGGATTGACCGCTATTTTGTTGTGAAACGCAAGGGATCTGGGAGACCCTGCGGCCGATATCGTTCGTTCCTCTCTTTGCAAATTGGGCCAATGAGATTGCACATGTGGTGTGTGAGGCGGAGCGAAGGAATGTGTACAATAGCTCCATTGGCTGTCGGACGGGACAGCTTCGCCATTGTAAATGTCGGAAGCAGGCTTCCTGTTTCATCAAATTGGTCTTTAGTTCTTGTTGGCAGTGGCAAAGCACAAGTCCATGGCCCATTGTCAGCCGTGCGAGACGGGATCCGATTTTCTTCGCTGGATGGGGTCCACCATATGGGCCTCGCATAAGTCTCTCATTCGTCTGATTTAACGGTGAAGATATCCAAAACGAGTTAATGGTTGTTTTTCTGGCGCTTACGAGTGCCGGTAAGGAAATCTATTCAGCCTCATGTGCGGCACATGCGGTACGACCGGATTTCATCCAAGATCCACTACTACTACGTACTAGCCTGATTCAGGATTAGACCCGACCACCTGCACACAGAATTTCTGCCAAGGAAATGCTGCATGTAAAACACATGCAAGTAAGGCCGACCGTTGCTCGTAGCCTGCGGTGTACGAAAAAGCAGTCTAATTTGTCCTCAAAATGACATGGAGGCGGTCCGCTCCGCCCGCGGCCCGCAATTTACCAAGACCTCTGCAAGGCCCCTCTTGGTTAAGGGATGGTTCGGTAGGCGTACGTACGCTCCTAGTCACACGGAAACAGTTATCGTATTCACGCATTCACTCGATTCATGGTGTAGGGTTCAGGGCTGAATTGGTGGGTCGCATCATTTTTTTTCGGGGTACGACTATACGTACTAGCAGCTACCGTATCAGCCATGTCGCACAATTCGTAATCCGTCATCCATGGTCTTTGTGCTGCTGTTGTGTTACACAAGCGGACCTCGGCGGAAGCTGAATTACTATTCCGATACCGAAATACTGCTCACAAAGCCAGACAACCCTCAAAGCGGAGGGCTAATGTCGAGTCCCGTAACGCTCAGCTTGAACGAATCGTTTCTGTTGACTACATTAGTAAAAGTACACTAAAAAGCCAAGTGTGAAAGTTCCCATACCTCGAGTAACTTCCAGCGACATCCAGGTCCAATCTGCCTCTCAAGCAATCATCAAAGTCAGCTGCGACCATCATCATGCTATCGTCATCCTCCCACAGAGGCCCTTGAAGCATTTCTCCTAGCGGGGATACGATGCATGAACCACCTCGGGACACAAAGTCTTCGCTTTCAGACTTTTCCCCGTAGATCCAGGCTGGCTGGTCCTGTTTCTTCAAGCATTGGTTCGCACTCAGGACGTAGCATCTTCCCTCGCAAGCTGCGGTTGTCATAAGAGCCGACCAAGTCTCACGCGCGTCCGCTGTCGGCGCCAGGTAGAGATTGACATTCTGGCTGTAGAGAGAATGGCGCAATAGCGGCATGTAGTTCTCCCAGCAGATTGCAGCCGCGAGCGTGATATGGACACCCTTGATGTCAGTTGTAACAGCACGGAGCGAGGACGGCTGTCCCTGGCCCCAGATCAAGCGTTCACTTCCAGTCTGACAAATATAACTCAGCTTCTCGAGTTTGGAATTGATCAACATGAATCTGAAAAGGGTAAACTTACTGGCATCACCTTTCGCCTCTTGCCGATCACTGCTATAATGTCAGCTCCTACTAACACCCCTATAGCCTCAGTACGCGTAAGACCCACCTCCCAACTTAGGACAAACATAGACAACGGCACAGTACAGAGTGCCACCAGACCGCTCAACCAGCCCCGTAACAATGAATATCCCCGTCTCCTTTGCCACTTGCTCGAGCTTCTCTCGCGTCCCGTCGCCCCGCCGCACTCGACCGGAAGTCCCTTCCTCCTGCCCCTCCAATTCCCTCTTCACCCACTTTTCTCCCGCTCCCTCGGGCGTATCGCCTAGGTCAACGGCATCCTTGTAGTAGTTGAGATACTGCTCTCTGCCTTCAGCAGTACGGCCTCCCACGGCAGCACCGAACGTGGCGCCTCGTGGGTAACCACCGATGTAGGCCTCGGGGAATAGAATCAAATCCGGCGAGGGATCTGCCTTTGAGGCCTTGCGGCACTGCTCCGCCAGTGCCTCGAGCGTCTCCGCAGTGGTGGATTGCGTGTGCTTTTGGCACACAGCGAGGTAGATGGGTTGGGATGGAGTAGCCATTTTCCGTCAGCTTGTTGGATAAGGAATTCGCCCGTTCAAACTGGCTGCTGTGAAAAAATAATAATAACAATTGAAAGCACTTCAGATATAGAGTGATTGTTTTTAACTCGAATTATGTATCTTGGAGGGAGCGACATCCAAAGTTTATACAACCCCCCCAATCGTTAAACCGTGCCACAAAGAACAAGAGCCCCGCGGGCTCGCAAACCTGTACGTAGGGCGCAAATCAATACAAGAACCCCGCTTAACACGCACCACCAGCGAGTTTTTGCCCCCGCCCCGGCTCGAGCTCAACAATCCTCAGGGTGCACGGCAACGATTCATATAAGGGGTTAGCACCAACCTGAAAAAGGATGCAATGGCGAATCCCATTAGGCCTCCCAGGCCTCGTACCCCTTGAACTCGAGCATTTAACATTTCCGGTAGCGATCTCTGTTTCCCCTCTCCGCCCCCACCACTCGACCCCACAATACTGAGACTCAAGTTTTGGCGGGTATGGACTTGACTCTGCTAATTTGCTTTTATTTACCCCACGCCGCCTGCTGCATAGGGTAGTTGGTTGCGTACGGGCCGGGAGCGGCTAGATGCGTGGCGTTTCGGGCATGTCCCCATCCCATGTTCTGCATGCAAGCGAGGACCCTGGTTGTGTTCCTTCAGCTCGGAGATGCGATGGCCTCCGATGTCGTTGGGGATCGGCAGGAAGGATTGATAGGATTGCTGCATGCGAGAATGATGGTTGTTGGTGGGACCACGTGGATGGGGAGGGTGTGTAATTGGGGGGATAGTAGTAAAGAAAAAAGGTGCAATAGAAGGAATTGATTAGTAGTGGTTGCTTGTTTGAGTGCTAGTGTTCCGGTTGTAAGCTTGAGTGCCGCTGAGCAAAGGAGAAGTGCTATTAGTCTTGCGCCTATGGGAGTATGTGGAACAATTAAAGCAGATTTGAAGTATGTGGTTTTTATGACAATGTCATTGTAAGTAGTTGTTCTGGATAAGTGGTACTCTACTATAAGCTTCGGAAAACCAAGTGAGCAGACAACGATCATTTCACAGCAACAAACAGGCATAAGCGAAGTTTGTATTCAAGCAAAGAATGAATTTTGATGTTCCAACAAATAACAGCGGCAACGGCCTAACTGAGTACGTTACAATACCCGATTTTCAAAAGAAAAAAAAGAAACCCTCAACACAATAAGGAAAAAGGTGAGAAACCCCCCCCCCCCCCACATTCTTTAGGCAACCCGCCGAGAAAGAAAAAAAAACGCCCACAATTCCAGATCCTGTCCCCCCCACACACAGTACGTGTATCCCTCAAAGGCTAATTTTTCTATGGGGAAACCAAAATGGGGCGCTCAGACTCCTCAATCATCATGCCCGTAAGGAAGCGACCCTCGGCATCCAACGTACCGGGATCCTTGAAGACGCCAAACTTGAAATCGTGCCACTCCTTGGCCGTCCACTTCTTGCTGGAGGTATCATTGAAGCTGCCGCCATCGTTCATGCGGAGGAAATAGGCCATGCTGTAGCGGTCCTCGAGCTGGGTCTTATGCAGGGGCACGACGCGGTGGACGACGCTGGCTAGCTTGCCGCCGGAGAGGAAGCGGAGACTATCTCCTACGTTGATGATGGCGTGGCCGGCGCGCGGCTCGATGAATTCCCAGCGGCGGCTCGTAAGTGAGAGGTACTGGAGGCCCCACTGGGCGGCGAGCAGGAAGGTCAGGGTGCCGACGTCGGTGTGCTTGTTGTGGCCGACGTTTTGGGGCTCGGTGGCGCTCGCCTTTTCGTGCTTGGGGTAGCGGAGCAGGCCGAGGGTGGAAAGGGATGGGCCCGGGTCCGCGTGGTGGGCCTCGAAGCGGGAGGCGCCGGTCAGGCCTAGCTGCGTGGAGAGCCGGGAGAGGATCATCAGGGTGATGGTGTGTGCGTGGTCGATGAAGGAGAAGAAGCAGTCTTCCTTTGCGCGGATCGAGGTGGTGAGGTCCGAGGATCCTTTGAGAAACTCTCGGCGGGAGAACTGGAAAAGGGTTGGGTCAGTATAGGTTTGGGTGCTACGGCGGGGTGTGCTATACCTTGAGGGATTCGTAGCCGTCTCTGGTCTTTGGGTTGGGGCCTGCTTCGGTGCCCATGGGCTCGTAGCTGGAAAGAAGGGTCAGTGTCCGTACGAAGACCAGATTGCTATCTGGGTGCATGCTTACCCAAAGTTGTCACTGCCACGAGCATCGCGCATCTTGATATCAAGAGGCTGGTTGAAGTATTGAGCAATGTTCTGGAGCATCTTCTTCCACAGATTGCAAAGCTCAGGGTCGCTATTCAGATCGAGATAGAAGAAGCCATGGCTTCTGCAAGCATTGAGCAAGTTCTTGCTCTCCTGAGCATCGTTGGCTCGAAGGAGATCGAGGTGAATAGTAGGCAAAGATTTGGAAACGATGATGGACTCGCTGATAGCCATTGTGAGAGAGAAATGAGATAGTGAAGATGCTCGGTAGAGAAGTTGGTGCTGAGATGAGTTGGATGTCGAGATAGCTGCGGCTTCAGTGAATCTTATATCCTCATAGACTGGCAGCAGGAGTTGACATGGCCTTGGGATCCTCCGTCAGGCGTCCCCTCTCCATAGTCGCATTTCTCTTTGTTGAACGAAAGTCACGGCGGTGAAGCATTGAGAGAGTGAGTCTTGCCACGCGCTAGAATCTCCTGACGGCGACATGTTACACCACTAAACTGGGGAACTTGCCAAAACGGCCCGCGGAAAAGGACACAGCAGTGTTTCCTGAGGCGCCTCTACAGCTCGAGCAAATCCTCACCGTCTTCGAAGCAGCTGCCGATGTCGGGGAGCCCCATGGTGGCAAAGATGTAGAGGTTGAGGTTGGTCTGGAGTGTGCTGTTGTCGGCCTTGTCCGGCCTGCTGATGGCACTGAGCCCCGGTGAAGGATGGTTGTCTGACGGTAGGGCAAGTGGAGCCGGCGTCGTGCCCGTTACAATGCTTGTTACTCAACGCATGCCTTGGAAAGGCCGAGTCAGCATATGCACAGGGTCAGAAAAAGAAAGCAGGTCAAAACGTGTATTCAGCAGGCCAGTACTCCTTGTGCTACCAGGACTAAACCCCATCTAGGCTCTTGCTAATTGTGATGCACAGTGGTGCAGTGCCGCCCGTGTGCCGCATCTTCCAGATCAGCTCAGGCGTCCTCTACGATTCCTATGCAGGAATGGTGCAATGTGTCGTACTATCCTCGTTAGTCAGAGCGTTGTATGGTGTTGATGCTCGTGATTGGTGGGGGAACAGTTGACATTACCCGGTCACTAGCCTACTACCTGTGCACACCGCCAAGGGTCAGCCCATAGACGCAGGGCACATTGTCTGCATGAACTCTTACTTGTAACCGCTGACGCGGCCCGCCGCTGTAGATCTGGGGAAGGATTCATTGTGCAGCCGATGGATCTAGATCCCAAATTTAGGCGGGTAGTAGTAGTCCAGGACCGAGCCATGCTAGTGGCACGCCTATGTCTATCCTTTCCGACACGCTGATGGAGAAATGCAGTACAACACACGAATCGCTTTGTAGCAGAGCCCCACGCGCATCCTATTGCTACCATGGGATGGCGATTCTGAAGCCATCGTCTCGAGGACGTGTATACCGGTGAAGGGTTCAGTCCACATCCAGTAGTATGCCCCGAACTGTGTGGCTGAGTTGGCACAATAGGGGGTCTTTCCTAGCGTCGGGTCTCATCATCTGTTTTGAAAGGCTTTGGTTAGAGCTGAACGTTTCTTTGTAATGGCAGATTGTAACCTCCATTGGCGGTGAGGCTACTTGCAAAGCGCAGCTGAGTCCCGCATCTACACCCTTGCGACATTCCCTCGAATGCATGCATGTCCTTCAGTATCACGGCTTGTAGCGCCCGTGGGCGATATCGGCTGAGGGTCAATTGAAGATTCAATGGACATAGGAATAGTTTGCCAGGGGGGGTAGAGCACTCGCAACGTATAAAGTCTGGCAAACTACCATGATACTGGATTCATTCTTCACTCATTGCTTGATAGTCGCAATCTGAATTTTAGCACTCATCTCATCAACCAACGTATCTTTTCTTCTCTCCATACATTTCTTGCAATTGCAATCATGGTGTGTAAAGACCACAATGTCTTTTGACACGCATGTTAACGCTCGCAGGGTCTTAAAGTCAATGGTGTCAATGATGCCCAACCGAAGGAAACCAAACCCATTGAGAGTTTTGAACAGCTTGCGAGGTTTGAGAACCGAGATGCGCCTGTCGTAACCATGTTCAGCGGCGGCTTAGACAGTACCTATCTGCTCCTTCGTCTTCAACAACTCGGTTTTACGAACATTCATGCCGTAGCAGTCGACGTCGGAGCGCCGGTTGAAGAGGAGAGTCTTACCAAGCACGCCGCCCACTTTGGTGCCAAGTTTAAGCTTCTTGACGGCCGCGAGGCATTTGTCAAAGAAGGTGTCATGCCCGCTATCCGCGCCCATGCTATGTATCTGGGCCTCTTCCCCGTCAGCAGCTCCCTTACTCGCCCCGTCATCGCGCGCCTCATCACAGACTACGCCAAAGAGGTCAGCGCAGGTTTGCTGCTTCATACAGCCAATCTGTCCCAGAACAGTCTCCCTAGACTCAACAACTGCATTCGTCGTCTTGGTTTTCCAGGACAGTTTGGCAGCCCATACCCGCACTCTGTCGTCTCACGAGAGAAGAAAGCAGAAGAGCTCAGTGTGGCCGGACTGACCATCATGTCTGAGCGCAAGCTCAGCGGGGACGAGAATCTTTGGTGCCGAGAATTCGAAGATGGTCCTCTGGGTGACCCAGAAGGCTTCTGCATTCCAGAAGATGCTTACCAATGGACCCGACGCCATGAGGATCATCCACCACAGAAGCTCACACTTCGGTTTGAGAACGGAAATCTCGTCTCGGTTGATGGCAACAAATTCCCTCTCATCGATGCCATCGCGTTCCTCAACAGAGAAGTTGGAAAGTTTGGTCTTGGTCGATTCGTCGGACTCGAGCCTCTGTCGACAGATGACAAGGCTCTGGAGATTCGTGAAGCACCGGCCGCTGCAATCATCATGGACGCACTTCGCCATCTCGAGATTGCCACCCTCGAGACCAAGACGTTGGAACTCAAGCAACAGCTGGAGCAGAAATGGGTTCGGGAAGCAATTGCTGGCCACTGGGGAGCCAAGTGCCATACTATGTGCGAAGTCGCTATTGAGAGCGCTTTGCAGGGCGTCAGCGGTAGCGTTGTATATGACATTGATCAATCGCGCTTCTTGCCCTGCTCGATTGTTGCGCAGAACCCCCGCTACATCCGGGATCGGGACCACTGGGAGCGCGCACAGCAGTCTCTCTGGCGAATTTGAACATGTCGCTGGGATGAGGCGGTATTCGAGGAAACAAGGTCGCGTTGAGTTGGTTTGGATTTTCTTAGGAATAGTTTTGTAAATGGCAAGCCTGTCGCATTATCCCCTATTGGCATTTTGAGTGATCTTGATTGTTCTTTTTAGGTCGAACTGCTAATCTCACACTAACGGCCCGGTCCTGGTTCGCCGTGGACTATTCCTACTTCGTACGAGGCCCACAAGAAGGCGTGGGGGGCAAACGTTCCTAGGACCATTCTGATCTCTCCATTTCCTGACTTTGTCTGCGAGTTCGCCGAGTACCCCGACAAGTTACCAGATCATTCAAACTCAGATATCATACCGTCCGGGAAGCAACTTACGAGTGTGCATGATAAGGCGATAAGATGTCGGCACGAAAATGCCGATGTGATTGGTCTCGGAACGGAGATATCGGCATTTGAACGAGTCGTTGATAGCGCTGGGGAATCTATACTCTGGAAGCAGGGCGAACATTTTGAAGTAACATACTCTTACGGAAGTCTTGTTATGTTCACTCATATTATTTTGTGTAAGCTGCAACCTATTTTTGAACATATTCTCGCTCTTCTCAGCCCCAAATCTGCCATTGTATCACTTTGAGTAGCCGGTCTTTGAGCAAGGACATCGCATTTGAATATCTTAACAGTATTGTAGGCGTATTGCAGATATCATTTTGTCCATTTCAATGTATAGATAAACTTTCCAAAAAATATCCGAGCCTCCAGAAGCAATTATTAAAGCGAGTTGAGCCCACCAGTCTTCGACCCCGGCTTGTAAGGGAAAGTCTTCCGGTAATGGCTGGCAATATCTCTTCGCGTAGCTACCCAAACCCCCTCTTTCTGAGAAATGTACTTCATGAAATTGCGAAGACTTTCGGATCTTCCTGGCTTACCCGCTATCCTAGAATGCAAGGGTATCGTCATCATCTTCCCACCTTCCCTATATAGACAGTCGAACGTGTCTTTCAAATACTGCTCATACACAGCACCGGCTGAACTGACGAAACCTGGAAGCATATGGAACTTCCCATCATTGCCTTATCCTAACATTAGCTCGATGCTGAGAAATGGAGGGCAAAGTTTGCTTACAATCGTAGTTATATGGCAGCATCAACAAACCTTCCTTCTCTTCATCAGGGAGTGTTTTCTCCCATGGAAGGTCAATCCAATAAGGAGAATCTTCATTGTACACTTCAGAAGTGTACAGCATCTTATGGCCCATCTCTTTCCACATGATAGGAAGCAAACTAGCTGTATTCGGTGTACCTCTTCCAAAATACGCTCCAACCGGGAACTCTCCTGTACTCTGATCAGCCCAGATTCAATGGCAAAATCTGGAAAAGGCGTACCAGTGGCAGCCTCGAGCGCCTGACATGTCTTCTTGATATAGGCTTTGTCTTCCTCCAGCGAGTAATCCCAAATATCCAACCACCTGTAACCATGCGCACCGATTTCATGGCCTTCCCTGACACATGCTTTGGCAAACGAGGGATTTCTTTCCATGGCTACAGCAATAGCCCATAAAGTCATGTTCCAGCCAAATTCTTTCATCAAACGCAATATGCGCCAAGAGCCGCATCGACTACCATACTCGTAATCCTGCTCGCCATTAAGATGCCGTTGCTCCCTCCCGCCTCCTGAAGGGCCTTTTTCCCAGAGATAGGGCTCACTAGTACCGTCTCCGTCCATAGGATTTCTCTCCCCGCCCTCTTCGTAGTTGAGAACAAAGGAAACGGCTATTCGGGCTCCATTCGGCCATTGCGCATCATGACCGTCTTCTCCAAAACCTAAATCAAATTATAAGTATTACTATCGATGTGCTTACGGAAAATTTTCGCACCTTCAAAGTCTCGCGGCAGCTGCAGTGACTCTTCAACATGGACCATGATGGATTAACTTGGGCGTCCCCAAAGACACTCGAAGATCAAAAGAAGAGGTTGTCTTGAGATCCCTGATCTGGTATCGCATCATCTTTCTCCATATGTATCTGATTTTCCCAACCTTGAGCCATCGTTATCTTTCCACAAACGGAAGCTGCTTGTCTACGCTCGTTTTCACTGGCAGGTTGGTTGATCGGGACTAACAATTCCGATGATGGGCAAGGCGACCCACCAACCCCGCATCGCTGTTATCGTTCCTCTCTGAACATCGCCTAAACCCCTTTGCATCATTTGGAGCACTATGGTCCCATCTAAAAGTGATTTTTTATCGGGACACCTTCTAAGCACCATGTGTCAAATTCCATTTCGGTTTAGCAATGTGTTAGTACACATTAAAAATCTTGAACGAGCATCCCCGTCGTCGTTCTTCTGGCCGAAATCGATCCTGGATACCACTTCAATACTAACTAAAGGAAATTAAAATTTCTCAAACAATAGAAAGAATGTCGGTGTTCTCACTGGATGCGAGCCATGGCAACCCCGTCACGACGGAAACCCTAGACAAACTTTGCTCACAGCTTGGCATGCCGATAGATGAAAAAGAGAAGGAAGACTATCGACGCCTACTTGCAGTTTTCCATGATGCAAGCGAACAGCTGATGGCTATGGACGGTAGGCTGCAAAAAGACAATGTGTTGCGAGGCTCAAGCTGAGAATTAACAGACTACGTCCCACGTGTGGATGAAGATCGTTTTCCGAGAGAAAATGTACATTTTCCAGAGAGATCGGAAAACTCTCATGGAGCGTGGGCATGGAAGTGTGATATCATTGACAAGCTCGCTGACGGCAAAGGCAAGCTGCACGGTAAGACCTTTGTTTTGAAGGACAACGTAGCTATCAAAGGGGTACCCATGCTGCTAGGCACCAACTTCATCAAAGACCATGTTCCAGATCTCGATGCAACTGTCACAACCCGTATCTTGGAATCAGGTGGGCGTATCTTGGGAAAAGCTGTTTGTGAAAATCTATGTCACTCAGCAACAAGCCACTCTTCCGGTACTGGCATAGTTGAGAATCCGTTTGCGAAAGGCTATAGTGCAGGTGGAAGTTCCAGCGGATCAGGGGTAATCGTCGCTTTAGGCGAAGCCGACGGAGCGATTGGTGCAGATCAAGGAGGAAGTATTCGTGTCCCAGCCGCCAACTGCGGCATCGTGGGTCTAAAGCCTACATTCGGACTTGTCCCTTACACGGGCTGTGGCAGCAATGAACCAACCAACGACCATATCGGCCCTATGACACGTACTGTTCTCGAAAACGCTCTTCTCCTCGAAGCTATCGCAGGCGATGATAAAATTGATGATCGCTCCTTCGCTGCACCACACCCCTCCAAGATCCCACTCTACACCTCCATATCCAATCTCCCCCTAGAAAAACCCCTCCAAGGCAAGAAATTTGCAATAATTACCGAATCCCTCTCCACCCCCGCCATGGACAACCGCGTAGCCCAAGCCTTCCTCGCCGCAGCCTCAAAATACACTTCATTCGGCGCAACCGTAACCCAAGTCTCCATCCCCCTGCACGCCAAAGGCGCCGCGATATGGACCGGTATTTCCAAAGTCGGTGGTTTCCTAAGCAAAACCAGTGGCTCCTTTGGGCGCCGTACGCACCAAATGCTTCCCTTGAACACTCTCTTCCAGCAAGCCGCAACAACCCCGGAAAGCTGGGATGAAGCATACCCTTCTACAAAGAACATTTATCTCAACGGATTATATGCAACGCAGCAGTTCCCAAATCTCCTTGCTAAAGCGACAAATCTATCCAGACAGCTGCGTGACGCATATGATGAGGTGCTAAGTGAGTATGACTTGTTGCTTACGCCTACACTTCCGTATGTTGCGACGAGTCATCCATCGCCTGATGCGACGCCGTTGGAGCAGGTGGCGAAGCAGGTTGGGTTGACGTCGAATACGGCGCCGTTTAATCAGAGTGGGCATCCGGCGCTTGCGTTACCGATTGGGTTCTTGGATGTGTTGGAGGGGCCGGGCGTGCAGAATGGAGTACGACTCCCGGTTAGCATGCAGATTGTTGGAAAGTGGTGGGGGGAGATGGAAGTTTTGGAGGCGGCGTACGCGTGGGAGCGGGAGTGGAATTGGAGGGAGTTGTGAGGAGTAGAAGACGTTGGAATGCTGAGTTTTTGTTGCACAATGATATAAACTACTGTACAAGTGAAGATAATAACTCGATCACTTTTGTTTTGAAAAAAAAACCCCCGCTGACTATTATAATTTTTTGTCCATTCCCAATTACCTGCCGGTATGACTTGATACCCCGTCTCGACTGATCGTCTTCTCGATATCATTGTCCTCCCCCTCCTGCTGTAGAAGTCCCTCATCCTTGATAAAAAAACATCCTATCAGACACAACACCATCAAAGGCACATTCACGATAAATACCGTCCGACTAGCTGTCGCATAACCATTCAAGATGAGCCGAATTTGCGTGTCATTCAATGTCTCGAACGGTGGCGTATCATACGAGCTAAGCGTCAGGCTACGAAACTCGGCCGGCATAGCACTTTGCAACGAGTTCTGAAGTGCCGCCGCCGAAACCGCCAAACCAACTGCGCCGCCAAGACTCCTGATGAAGTTGCGGTTGGAGATGACGATTGCACGGTGAGCTTTTGAACAGTGTGCTTGTAGCGCGACGAGCACGGGTTGGAAAACCGCGCCAATACCAATGCCCTGGATAGCGAGGATGATTATGATAGCCCACAGTGGTGTGTCGAGCGAGAAGACGCATGTAAGTCCTACGCCGAGGGTCCACAGGGAAAAACCGGCCCAGATGACTTCGCCGTAGCGCCCGAAGCGCGACATGTACTGACCCGAAGCGATGGAAGAAAGCATCTGCAAAGCGTAAATTGGGAGCATGAGACAAGCGGAGATGATGGGAGAGAAGCGGCGTGCGTTTTGCATAAAGAGTGGGAGGTAGTAGGTTTGCGAGTAGGCGACCATTCCGAAGAGGAAGTTTTGGATGAGCATGACGGATACGGGGCCGGATTTGAAGAGAGTTACTGGGGTGATGGACAGAAGCATTAGCAAGAAACGTGGAAATGGTGTTTGGGAAAGGGAAAACAAACGTACGAGGCATCATAGGCAGCACCGCTACACGATGCTCAATGTACACGAAAACGAGCACACAGCACCCTCCAAGCACCATCATGGAAATCACCATGGGCGAGTCCCAATTGAAATAATCGCCACCCCCCGCAACCGGGATAAGCAGCAGCAACAGCGCCGCACTCCCGAAAAATATGCCTCCGTAGTCAATCCTCTTCATCACCGTCTTCGCATCCGTCCTGGGCTGATGCACCGGCGTCGGCAGCACGAACATGCATAACACAGCGCAAACCGCCGCAACAGGACTCAGCAGCCAAAAGAAGCCGCGCCACGTACTCTTCTGCACAAAGGCCGCTGCGATAAACGGCCCAGACATGTTGCCGATGCCAACACACGCCCCAATCATACCCTGCCACTTCCCCCGCTCTTTCAACGTAACGATATCGGACACAATCATGGACGAGAGCGACACGATGCCCCCGTTCGCCACGCCGGATAGCGCGCGGAACGCGTATAGCATTGTTGCGTTGAGAGCGAGGCCGCAGAGGAGAGACGAGATGGAAAGGAGGACTAGGGCGGTTATGAGGACGGATTTTCGGCCTGCACACCACACACAATGTCAGCCCGCATTAACTTCTTTCTCTTTTTTTAACTTTCTTCTTGGAAGACAATGGAAAGTGGGAGGAGTGAGGACATATTGCTTACCGAATAAATCACTCATTCTGCCATACAAGACATGGAATATCGTATTCGCAATCAGCGCGCTCGTGCCGGCCCAGCTAATTGTGTCTTCGGCGTTGAGTTCGCGGCCGATGGTCGAGAGTGCGACGCCGATGCCGGTCTGGTCGATGAAGCAGACGATGTGCGAGATGGCGAGGACGGAGAAGACGATGAGGAGTTTTTTCCGGGGGAGGTGGTTGGTTTGGTGGAGGATGATGGCGTCGGCGGCGGTTCGTCGCTCGGCTATGTTTGCGGGTGCTGCTGTCCACGACGGCATCTTGAATATCTTTTGTAGAAGGGGAGAGAATTAGGATTTCCGCTGCGGAGGGCGGTGGTGGGGAGACGGTTGTCGAGTTGAGGGCGTGGTAGTTGTTCGCTCATCAGTGTGGGTGTGGGTAGGCTTGAGATAGTTGGTGCGGTGGTGTAGGACTGTAGATTTCTTGATTGCTTTCAAAGCTGAAGTAGCAGTATGCGGCATTATTCTATACTCGCTAAGAAGATGGTTGTGAAGACTGTGTTTGGTTCAGCTTCGACCGATGGCATTCGAATGGGCAGCAATGATAGGATAGCTACAAGTCCCTCCATTCTGGTTCGCCCAGTAGTATTGGATGGAGTTCAAGAAGATGGTTCAGGGTTCTTCGTATCGTCGATTTGAATAGATCAGCATGTGAGGATTCGCGCCCAATCTATCCCAACGCGCATGGGACCCGCAAAAATCATTCCTGCTGGGAAGTCGCCTGGTTCTCACACTGATGATGCGATAGTTACGGATTAATGGGACATCTCTCTGATAGTTTATTAGACATATCCATCAATATACGGAAGCAAATCAGAAGTGGAAAACTTGGAGTCTATTAGAATTCTCTAGAGGTATTCGAGGCTGCACCATGGCAAACCAGCAGTATATGTACAGCAGATTGTCCTTAGGCATCTGGAACAAAGAGATCATAGCTCAATTGAATAAGAAATCATAATTCCAAGGCTGAAAGCTTATCGACGTCGACTTTGAATATCGACACGATTCCGGAACGGCTGGCGAAAGCAATAGTATTCCCTGACACGATCCTGTGTCCTCCTCCCCAGATCGAAGTTTTTGCCCTATATGCTCGAGGTATCTGAGCAACGAGCTTTGAATCAAATTTTATGCATTCTGAATCCCAACTTACGCTAACTCCGTGAAATCGAGGAACGCAACGCTTGGAATTATTTGAAAGCGACGATACGTCTAATGCAGCGCTAATATTGATGGTGCCAATGCCAATACGAAGATATGGTCCAGCATTTTCAAATTTCATCTTTAAGATCCATATACCAGTTTTGTAAGTCTGAAGGCATACACCGCGCTTTAGATCCCAAATTTTCACTGTGTTGTCGAATGATCCGGATGCAAGAAGGGTGGAGTCATGGGAAAAGGCTATTGAAGCAACGTCTTCTCCATGACTCTCCAGCGTCTGGAATCTCTTGCCATTGCCAGTGTTCAAAATATGAATGTCTTGGCTATCAGATGGCACTGCTATCAGTGACAAGTCGTGGGACATGGCTGCCGATCCGAAATGACCTCTTGTTCTCCAGACGTCGTAAAACGTGAAGTTTTGGATGCACTTGCCACTGCTCAGATCCCAGAGCTTACTAGTACAACCCTCTAATGTTGAGGACACAGACGCCAGGCAGGCAGAGTTCTGTGAGAAGACTACAAGGCGGACATGACCGTTGTTGACCAGTGTGTGGAGACACTTCCCATTGCTTACGTCCCATATTTTGATTATTCCGTCCTGTGATCCAGATCCTAGCAAGGTTGAGTCATGAGAAAAGGCCATTGAGCTGATCTTATGCTTGATTTCCTCGTTCTCAATGCCCTTATAATCATGGCATTTGAGTGTTTGCAGGCACTTTCCACTACTCACATGCCAGATTTTAATTGTGTTGTTGCTGAATGCGGATGCCAGTAGTGCCGAGTCAGGAGAGAAGTCTAACGATCTAACTCCGACATTATGGTTCATTGGAGCCCGCAAAGACGCGGTACTAACTGCATCCCAGATTCTGACTGTACCGTCGTCTGCCCCAGATACCAGATAAGCTGAATCGTGAGACAAGGCCATCGAGTTAGCACAGAAACTATTGCCTTCATATGTTCGAAGACACTCTCCAGTAGTTACGTCCCAGATCTTGATAGAACCGCTGGTTGATCCGGATATTAGCTGGGTCGAGTTGCGAGAGAAAGTTACCGACTGAACTGCAGAATCTTGCCCCCTGAGTGTCTTCAACCACTCGCCAGTGTCCAAATCCAAGACTGAAATGTTTCTTTCCTCTGGATCCGAAGTGATCAACGCTGCTCTAGTGCAATCGTGTGAGAAGAATACTGACTTGAAGTCATTATCAACATCTCCAGAAGTCTTTAAAAGTTTGCCTTCGTTTAGATCCCAGACCATGATGCTCGTTCCTGTGCCAGTCCCATATGCTGATACTAGTCGATTAGAACCTTGAAAGAAGGCTACTAAGCTAACACTACCGCCATGTTCGAGGTTCTGGATACACTCTCCATTATTCAAGTTCCAGATCTTGACAGTGAAGTCGCCTGACCCGGAGGCGATCCATGAGGAATCATAAGAGAAGGCTACTGAGCGGACATATTTGCTATGGCCGCTTAATGTCAAAAGGCAAGCACCGCTGTTGGTATCCCAGATCTTGGCCGTGGTATCATGTGACCCTGAAACGACTCGTGACGAGTTATGAGAGAATGCTACTGAGGACACAGTGTCGTCATGGTCTCTCAGTGTCAAAAGGCAGGCTCCGCTGCTGGCATCCCATATCTTGGCTGTGCAATCATATGACCCAGACACGATACGTGATGAATCATGAGAGAAGGCTACTGAGTAGACTATTCCTTTATGTCCTTCAAGCGTTTGTAGACATGCATCCCAGGTACTCTCCATAGCTGTTGTGATCGAGATATACTCAGGTGCTTCATGATGGTAGGATTTTCTGATCAGACTGTCTGTCGGGCTGAATAGCAACGCAGATATGTATGTCTGAAGAGGGCTGATTTCAATCGTTTGTCTGTGGTACATGATAAAACGATATGCGTCGTACACGAGCCGAGTGAGGGAAGTTCTCTCCCCTTGTTCCTGGCTACTATCAGTATAGGAGATATTTAGCATAGTTGCTTAGCACAAACATACTTGTGCTAACATATGTAGCTTGTTCATCGAAACTATGCCGTGGGATATACTCTTGCAAAGGCTGAGGGATTCTAACCAGTACAGAAATGTTTTTCTAAGAAACCGATCAACAAGCCCTCCATCTCGCAAATGTTCTGGATCAGGCGCGGAGGCTATGGGCTTTGATTCGCATAGATGGTCGATCCAATAGATACAGGAATAAGAGATTGCTGCTAATGGGTCTGGCTTGGGCTTCTTAACGTCTTCGATCAACGTGCCTATCGCTCTCAGTCCGTACATGTCCTTTTGTAGGGTTGTTGACATAACTTGAAGTGATCTAGCAAAGATGGCTTGATGAACAGCTTCCTGTCCAGCGGGGAAAATTTCCTGGGTAGCCTTAGCAAGGAGAAAGTCTTTCGCTGATTGGTGCACAAAGTGCAGAATCTGTTCTCGTAGGGTGAGGAAGGAGCCACAAAGACCGATGATCTCTTGTAACTCTGCGTCACTAGTCAGATCTTCGAGCGGTGCAACAAGCGTCACGAGCTCCTTGAGCGTGATAGGCCTGTAGACGAGCGTGACCGCAGCCAGCACCTCTTTGCAGAGCTCAGCATCGTCCTTCCTACTGATCTGTTGCATCATTCTCTCGTATAGGGCATCTAATCCAGACGGAAACGATTGTAATTTCCTTAGAACGTTTCGCCTCGCCGTTACTTGAAGATGCTGACATGCTAGGGCTACCCAGAGGAAGGTATCGTTCGCATTCAATGTCAGATGGTCTAGCACGGCGTGTTGAGTCCGCTCGTCGTAGTTGTTCCGCTTCGCAAGTTCGAAGACCCTTTGTTCAATGAAAAATTTGACCGCCTTTGAAATAGAAGTCGGATTTAGCTCAAGACTCAGCCTAACTTTGGAACCAGCTTGCTCTAGGCGATCCTCGATTTCTGGCCAATTGCGGCTAGAAACAATCCACTTAACGCGGGGGGTAGACGAATGCCTTATGATAAAATCAAGAAGCTTTGGTAAATCAGTAACGCACTCGTCTAATCCATCGATGATCAGGTGGGTAGTAGGAGGAAGGTCCGGATTCTGGAGTACATCCGCAAAGATGTCTTCCAAGGTTATCCATGCGTTCGCATCCTCGAACACTTTTCTGCCTATGTGGTCGTACTTTTTACGCACACAAGACACGAGAGAAGGCTGCTGGTTCACAAGCGAGTACAACAATCCACGTAGCACAGCCGTAGCGCTATTAATCCGTGGGTCGTTGGCCTGGCAGAAGAAGTACGATACTAACTTTGTGTTCCTCATCGGGGTAGACGTCTCCAATTCGTTAACGATGCCACAAAGTAACATCGTCTTGCCTTTGCCAGGGTCGCCCTTGATCCATAACACCCTGCTCTCCGGGTCCGTGTACCAATTCATGTAACTATCATTGTGAAAGATCCAACTGTATGCATCTTTCAACAGGCCACCTTTCATCTCCTCAATGCGCTGCTTGTCTTTCCGCGAGTCTGTGCCACATAGGTCTTGAATACAACGCGTTGATTTGTCAATCTCGTCGTGAAGTCGTCTGAACGCTCCCTCAACACCCTCGCCATAACATGGCGCCAAATCGATATCGACAACACCCGCTAGGGAGTATGCTTTGTCTTCTGGGCATGTAGTATGCCGGTATTCAATCCACCGCAGCCGATCGCTGACACTGAACTGAGATAGTGCACCTCCTTGCAGCGCTAAATACGGAATCCCAGTTGCCTCGTGCACTTCTTGTATTAGCGATTTTCTATCACCAAGTTTCCTCCATTCTTGTGAGAAGAACTCGACCGAACTGGGTGCGAGGAGCTCCTGGAGTGTCCAGCCTCGGGTGAACCATTCGCTGTTTTGGACTTTGGATTCCTGCAGGCCGGATGTCAGGGTAGTATCCAGTGGTAGGCTCAAGACATCCGATAAATAGACATAACATCGAGCCGAGTCCCGGTACCAGCGAAACATGGACTGGATAGCCCGCGACAGCTCAGCCTTGTTTGCCTTATTGATGCAGCAAGTGTCGACCCAGAAATACCGCAAACCATCTCGCTGTGCTTGATTCCCGCAGAGGCGAATCTTCTCATAGCCGAGCTTATCTTCGCCCTTGTTCCCTTGCAGATCTTCGAAGGTTACCTCTGTCCCTTCTGCTCCCCACCTGTGCGAAAGTATCGCATACGGTGGCTTAGTGCCTTCGTTGAACTCGGCGAAAGAGAGGCATCCATTTTCTTCAACCTTGAGAAGACGCATATCTTTGAATGCAAACGGGGGCGGCGCATGTAGTAGGGACGAATTGCTGAGGCTCAACGCGGCAACCTAGTAGTAAGACCTTCACACCCTTAGCAAGATCGATGGAAAACGATGAGAAAAGCGAGGGCACCAATCTTCTGCGCTATATTATCACATAAATAGATGCAGGCTAAGATGGCGCTTTTGAGCTGGGCGAGGTCGTGCTGTTGTGTTCAACTACGTAAATGTAGTGAGAGGGCATCATGTTGCACTTCAGGCGGGGCACTCGGCACAGCCGAATGCGTGCTTAATATGGACACAAGGCTGTGGTACGTAGGATCCAATTGGGCAACATATTGAAAACATGAGACACCCAAGTCATTTGAAGTCCTTGATGACATGTCTGGTGTCGAAGTGTGTCAAATTGCCCGAGAGTAGCTTTTAGCCTTTATGTCAACAACAAATCTACTGCATTCAAAAAACGATGGGATAAAAGATTCATGAGACACGATATGAACTTATTCAGGCTATCCATTCCTGACTATATCTCGAGATATATCTTATACAGCCCGGACTAGGGCAAGTCGCATGTGTACAAGAACGATTTGAATACATGCATGAGATAGTTAAAACCCCCCATACTACCAGTTTTCATGATAGACCGCGGGGCAAACAACAAGAGCACTTATTTCCTAGGACGCCCAGCCTAAACGAAATCCAAAACCACCGTTTTGCCGCAAACGAACATACTGAGCTTACGCGACTATGGTATCTAACAACAGAGGGAAACAAATATCAGTCTCGAAACGCCATTTTGTGCCAGGAACGGAACAGTCTTGCTTATGACTGAGGCTAAGAAAAGACATAGATGGAGCGGGATCTTAGGCACGAGCGCGACCGCTGCGCCGCACAATGGGCGTGCCATTGGCAGTTGGGCTTGACGGGACTGCCGCTGCAGTTCCATTTGCCTTGGCTCTCGTTGCTCTGGCTTTTGTTGCGCTTTTCGCTGATTTGGGTGGTGTGTCCTCTTTGGCCGGCTCAGCAACCTTGCGCTTTTGAACAGGAGAAGACTTGACACCGTTGGTCTTGTCCGCAGCTTTGCCTCTGGCTGATTTTCTGACCGGCGCGGGTTCAGGCTCAGGCTCAGCTTCTGAAGAAGGCTCGGATGCCTCAGCAGTGACTTCGGCTTCCTGTTCAGCCGGTGTCTCTGTATCAGCCATCTCTACATCTTCTTCAGGTGCGGGACTTGATTTGTCCTCAGCTTCTTCGTCCTCAGAAGCATCCACATCTTCTTCTTCAGCTTCCCCAGTACCAGCCTCGGCGTCTTCATCGTCACTTGATACCTCAACATAACTCTTGTGCACAGTGCTCCGCCGATCACTCTTCCTCCGGGGACCACTTGATGGAGCGACACCACCATCAACGTCGCTAGCATCGTCATCGTCACCGCTTCTCCTCTTCTTCTTGGGTGTTTTCACAGGTCGGTCTGCCTTAGCCTTCTTCTCTTTGATAGGCCGATCACCCTTGGCCTTCTTGCGTGGCTTTTCTGCACCCTCCGAAGCCTTCCGCTTTTTATTTCGGATGTATTTGCGTACAAGGGGATCGAGCTCGTCCACCAAGTCTTCTCCGATCCATGTTTTCATTGCAATTTCCTGTGCCCGTTCATGACTTTCGAGAGGTCGGAAGATTCCAGACGGGAGCTTCATCTTTCCTGGGTATAATTGCATAGCCCAGTTGTTTTGCTCTTCCCATGAACGGATCAGGGCTTGGGCCAAATCAGAAAGAATGTACAGATTCTCATCAGCCTGTCGTGAAGGCGAAATTCCGTCTGCAACGCCTTTGACACGTTGAGCAACATGGAAGATGAGAGGCAAATTTTCTTCTGTTGCCACACACTTTAGATAGTACAAGATGTACTCCGACATGAGCTTCAGCGTATCATCTTCGGTGTCAAAATCTGGGTGGTGGGCAAGTAAACTCAACAATCTCGCGAACACCGACTCTAGAACAGTTTCTTTTCGTGCAGCAAAGGCAGCGCGGCGTGCACGAATCCAGGTCATTGTACCGTTTTTGATATTCTTGTCCGGATCATGCGCGAGGAAAAAGAGTATGGTGTAGAAGCGGGGGGGGAGACGACCTTGGCCAAGGTACTTCATCAGCTTGTCAGCAAAGCCTTTGCGTACTTGGGTGCAAGGGTCATGCGTCACAAGGGCCAATTGAACAAAGTTCGCAGGTGTCAAGAAGGGGTCGAGCCGCTTATGGCAAGAAAGCTTGAGTAGGGAGTTGGCTGCAAGGAGGCGCTGACGCGACTTGTGTGCAGCCGGAGTGCTGTCGTCAGTGGATCCCTCACCATTGTTCTGCACAAAGCGATTCAATAGCGTGTATGTGTCCTGCACAGCCTCCTTGGAGGTCGTTTCTGCAGGTAACGAGCGGAGTCGGTTGACGAGAATCTTGATGGCCCAGGATCGACCTTGAATATCGGCATCGGGTGTGTCCATCCATTCAGCATCAGCCTCGGCGGATGTTGCGTGTGGTTTTTGAAGGACTTCCTGAATCGCTACTTCAATGACTGCATCCATCTCATCTTCACAATCTGACTGAGCTAGCAGGACTAATTGGCTGAGCGCAGCCAGCTTTGTTAGCCAATGTGCACCACCATATTCGAAGCCTTTGATGCTCTTGGTGAGAATCTCTTTTGCGTGCATTTCCTTCTTATCGTCGCTGTTCATGATGATGGTGATCGCATGTTTGGCAGCTTGTGGAGGTGTGCCATAGAATGCAAAGTTCAAGAAACTCTGCACCAATTTTCGGCTATCCTTGCCGTTCATGGGAATATCTGTTGGAAACTTCCTTGCAAATGCGGCACAAGCCTTGAGGTCGTCCACAGCACCAGGAGGATTCGGCTTGGTCGCCGTTGGTGCTTCGCTCTCAAGTGTCTTGCATAGATCTTTCACGTGAGTGGAAAACACCTTGGGGTGCTTCGTAGATATCTCCTTTAGAAGCTCATGAGCAGTGGCACCAAGGCCTTTGTTGTCGGTTCTGGTGAACTCAATAACAGCCGGGACATGGCTCTTGTTGTAACACAATAGGCTAACACGATAGAGGAGTGGGGTGAGGGTGTCAAGCAGAGATGCACCAGGTCCATCCTCGATCCTCTTCCTGAGCTCTTTGATCGACCTGTAAACCTTGCGGTAGTCACTGGCTGGGTCCATGCAAAAGCGTATGAGGGCATAGGCGCGGCGATCATGGGTCTTGGCAAACTTCCAAAGATCGTCCCTGACCCTAGTCGAGTCCGGAAGTGTCTTTGCGTAGTAGGTAATGAGGCCTTCGAGGTTGGCTGTAACATCTTTTCCGCTCTTATCAGTCACGCCGCCATTGTATTCTTCACACAACTTCAGGAAATGCTCCATGTACTTTGCGCCTGGGCCTTGGTTTCCTTGCTTGGCAAAGAAAACCTTTTTGGCCTTTTCTTCAAGCCCATTGACAAGGACGAGTTGCCTCTCGGTCCGAATCTTGTCCAAATCTGCTTCGGTGTAATTCTGTTCGTTTGCTGTTTGGCTATCCTTGACCACCTGTGAGTTGGGCGCTGCCTTTGCTTTCAGAGGCGGGTATCCGAGAGGGAGCAACGAATCATACAACGCCAAGTCGACCTGGACGTTGATCTCAAGATCGTTGACGTAGCAAGCTTCGAGAATGCGTGAAGGGATCGGACCTAAAAGTGACTTGATAGTTTCGTCGCCCTCGGCAATGGCACCAGCCGCCACGCCCCAAATCCTACCAAGCAGTTTCATGGACTCAGAGTGAATAACGCTCTTTTTGTCCTTGACGCGATCTGCGAGATTGGAAAGGATAGAGCCAGTTTCGGCCATGCCGCCGTTGCTACCTAGTTTGCGAACAATGTCATTGAACTCAAAGTGTGCAACTGCCTTGACGGCTGCTAACCGCACCTTTTCGTCACTGTCAATCAAACATTCAGCAAAATGTTTGAGTAGCTTTTGCTCTTCTTCGAGATCAAGACCAATTCCTCCAGCTGATGTCATTAGAATGCGGCCAATGCCGGTAGTCCACGAGGCGCGTATAACGGCCGACTTGTCGTTTTTGCGCTGAAGGAATGAATGATATGCAACAGGGTATTGTGTAGGAAACGAGTTGATGGAAACAGGAGTAGTGAGATAATCAAAAGGCCGCGCGGTCTCTGTTCGCGACAGACTTTGTGAGGGGTATGCGACTGGATCAAGGTCGGGTAGAGGAGGAGGGCCTGCCGCACCAATCCCCGAGATCATATCACCAAAGGTCTCGGTTGCAAGCTGACGAAGCTGCACGTTCTCTGTGGCGAGCTCGTCCTGTAAGTGCGGGATGATGTCCTGGAGGACACCCGGGCAGCATTTCCACAGCTCGCGCAGTAGGCGATGCGCTTTGTGCGCCTCGTTCAAATCCTCCTCGGAAGGGCCCTTTGGTAAGTCGTCATCGGCGTCATGGGCTTTGTACATTGTCCCAGAGTTTGTGAAGTCGACTATGACGGAACTAAAGTAATTGCCGATCAGGCGCGCCATCTTGTCTGGGAACGAGTTGCAGACGTTCTTGGCCATGTTGTATGCGGGTGGAGCCTCTTTGCGACGCAGCGTCGATTGCTTAGCATCTACTTGAATGCTCTTCTTGCCCTTTGAAGCACCGAGGGTGATGGGATCTGCCCAGAGGAACTGCGCCACTATGACATCGACTACATCGTGGGTTACTGATGGGGCCTCATCTATAATGGTGGAGAGGACCTCGGTCATGTTGTGCTCAATGTTCTTGCTCAGGTCCTCGGCCTTGGAGGGGCCCGACAGAACGTCGAAGCAGGTGGTGAAAAGGGCCGAGGTGAGTTGGTCAGAGCCCGGGATCTCGTTGATGAGCAGAATGCTCTTCCATTCGGCGAGCGAGCGCAGAATGTACATGTGTTGGCTGTTGTATGGGTGCGAGGGGTCGGCGAGGAGGGGAAGAAGCTTGTGAATAATGACAGAGAAGATTTCCTGGGGGATCTATCAGCATATGGGAGGGCCGTGGGGGCAAGGATGGTGTACCTTGAGCTTGGATGCGGGATAGGGCGCATCAGGCGCAAACAACTTGAGCATGTCGACGATGCAGCACACGGTCCAGGCGCGCACGCCATTGTCCTTGTGCTGCAGCAGGCTGTGATGGGCGAGCGACTCGGCGACGGGCATGAGCGAGTCGCGGTGGGCCTCTTCCTGGTCGATGGTGCGCAGTTCATCGAGAAGTGCCTTTAGTCGCGTCAAGAGGTCGCTGACGCCCACTGGCTTGCCTGGGCGGCCAACCAAGGGCTGTTTAAAACGGAGCTTCTTGAGGCCATGCTGCTCCTGCCCTTCCTGCTGCTGCTCCTCTTCCTGTTGTTCCTCCTCTTGGACAGCTTCAGTTGCAGCGGCCGCGCTCCGCCGACTGCGAGGCGCCATGTCGCGTGGCTGCGCGTGCAATTCAGAGGGTTTAGACAATGGTGTGCGCCTTCAAGAGCAGGGCCTAATTGGGCGCGTCAAACGGAGCCAGGATGTGTGGGTGGGCGTAGCCGTGGTGGAGCAGGCTGGCGACGCGGTCGTGGTGGTGGTTGATAATGATGTATTAGTAGCGTGACGTGACGAGGTGGTCGAGGGGAACCGGGGCTGCTGCGACTTTCTGAACAGTGACGCGCTAGCCATTGGCTAGCCTGGTGGGACGCGACGCACCACCCACTCTTGTCTAGTCCTGCCTTTACACATCACCCTGCCTTCCTATCTCTAACCCATAATTTCATTCACTGTTTCAACCACACACCTCGCATCAATAAAAATCATCGCAGTCGATAGATTGTATGGAGTAGCTTGCTCTCCTTGGCTGTCTCGACATGCTTGGCTGGCACATTTACCACACTGCGCTTCTTTGAGTCTGCCATTCTCCTCACTTGGCAGCCAAAGCCGGTAGACTATCTGATCAGCATCCCTCTTGCATTTGCTGCATACCCAACCACGGTTGCTTCTCCCTCGCCCAAAATCCCACAAACAGACAGACAAAATGGACAGACAGCAAGTCTTTCAACGGGTCAGCAGCACCGTCGTCGCCATGTCCTACGCCTACGCTAATCCCTTTTAGCTGAAGCAGATATGCGTCCGCCTCTTGCAGGTCACTGCCAGCCTCTCGCAGAACCAGAGTGCCCGCAAGGACCTGATAGACGCCCTTTCTGATCTGCTTACTACACTACGCGCTCTGGCTAGCCAACCCGGTCTGCTGGATGCAAAGCTGACTGAGTACGCCTTCGTCCCCATTTCACAAGTGTTGCGAATATCACGCCAAGTCCCTGTTCGCGCGCTCGAAATTTGCCTCGAGTGCATTTCAACCTTGCTATGTGCGGGCTGGGGAGGCCGTCTGGAGCCAGCTCTGTCTGGCCAGCTGCTCATCCTCTTCACCTTCCTCGCCAAACCCTCATCTGCGGAGAATGGCATCTCAGCCACATCCGAAGAGCTTCAGTCCTTGGCCCTCAAGTGCATCTCCGAGTTAATGGCAGGGGTATCTTGCACAGCTGAGGGCCAACAGGCCATCACGGCGACTCCAAACATCCCTGCTCTTGGAGAAGCAGTCTTGGTTATGCTCCAAAGCCTCACAGACAGCAATGCTAATGACATCAAATTCCAGGCCGTTTGTGCAACAAAATCAACCGTTAGTGCGATAGCTGACGATGACGCTCTTGCAAGCTTTCTGCCTAGAATGATCTCATCTTTGACCAAAGTCCTTACTCCAAGCAGCAGTAACCGACCTGGCTTTCGGGTCGTGGAGCAATGTTTAGATGTATTCGCATTGCTCCTCAGTCGCCTCCTGAGTGACACAAAGGTCAAGGATCTACCCGATGGAGATCCAACTAAAGGTTCAGAAGATAGTATCAAGGTAGTGCGTTCAACTTCCTGGCTTCAAGCGACCTCCTCGCAGATCAAGATTGCACTCGCCAATGTTTTCAAACTGCGCGATCATGATAAATCAGAAGTCCGACAAGCCCTTCTCAGGCTATGCTTGTGCATCATACAAGATTGTCGCATGTCCCTTTCTCTTTGCACGAGCATGGCTACCGAGACCATGATTAGTCTGGCTGGTCATGAAAGCTCGGACGGCTCGATTGAGCACGAACTCAAGGGATTGTTACTTGTAGACCAGAAGCTTTCCAATCTCTTACGTGAAAGCTTGCACGGCTGGATATTGGCACTACCGCGACTGATGCAGTCCAAAGATAATCACAATCGGCGCCGAATCGTAAACCAGATATCGGTTTCCTTACGGCTATTTGAACAAGACACAATCATCTTAGATGAGCGGTTAGCCAACAGCCTGCGCGACGGTGTTTCTGCCGTATTTTCAGATGCAAAAGGCTTGGAGGAGTTGAATGAAAACACATACAATGCTATCACCGATCGCACTTTAGCTCCGAACTCCATGAAATCGTTATCTTTTCCGACCATCAGCTTACAGTTTAAAGGCCAGGATGACATGATGTCAGAGTTCAAGCTTTTAGTCCAAGAGATTGCAAAGTCCAACTCGGCTCTAGCAGTAGTACAAGCACTGATGAGCTCCATCGATATGGGGACAGCTGAAATGCGCCTAGCTAGCTTCTGGTTGTCAATCAATATGGTCAGGGAGGCGGCTGCAATCAATCCATCAATCGAAGATTTCATGGATCTTGGAACGCCAAATCCAAGGGAAGAGCTGTTGGACCATTTGTACTCGCATTCCCTCTCTTTACTAAATCAGCGCGAGCCAGTTGCAGAGACGCCCTGGCATTTCTTTGCCCTGGCGCTCGAGACGGTAGCACTACAGGCTAAACAGTACAAAACTGAGTTTCGGCCCGAGCTGAGTGAGGTTCTCTATCCAATACTTCACTATCTGGGGAGTTCCAATACGGCTCTGCGTGAGCATGCCTTGACATGCCTGAACATTGTTGCAGACGAATCCGGGTATACAAATGCAGGAGAGCTGGTCGTCAAAAACGTCGACTATATCGTCAACGCAATCGGCCTGAAACTTGCTTATGGAGATGTCTCACCCCAAGCTCCGCAGGTCTTGCTCATGATGATGCGGTTGTGCGGTCCATCTCTCCTGCCGTATCTCGATGATCTTGTTGACAGCATATTTGAAGCTTTGGAAAGATATCACGGATATCCCAAACTTGCAGAGTTGCTATTCTCGGTGTTGAAAGGCATGACAGAAGAAGGCATCAAAACGTCTCAACTTGCAATCAAACCAGATAGCAATAGACGGCACGAAGGCAAGCAGAGCATGGAGCCCACAATGGCCGATGTCATGGAAACACTCAAAAAGGTAGAAGCTGACTCACGACGCCGGGACGAGGAAGAGAAGAAAGCCTCAAAAGAGTCTTTTCCCCAGAATCATTGGAAAGAAGGGAAGAATCCACAAGATGCCAACGGTAATCCGAGTGAAGAAGACGAACAACCACCACCGCAGACAGAAGAGCCTCCACCACCGGCACCTCGCACCTTCAACATTCTTCTCAAGATCTCCGAGTTGACACAACACTACTTGACAACGACCTCTCCTTCACTACGCAACTCTTTACTCTCCCTCCTCCAAACCACCACGCCTGCACTCGCCAAACATGAAAACTCATTTTTACCACTCATTAACACCCTATGGCCTGTACTGCTTCCTCGACTTCAAGATCCTGAGGCATACATTGTATCTAGTACTCTCGATACTATGGCGCTTATATGCGAACACGCAGGAAATTTCATGAGGACAAGAATCGATGACGCATGGCATCTCATACAAAAGGTGCACAAACGTATCAACACGCAAAGTAGCACCCACAAGAGCAGTAACAAAAGCACACAAGCAGTGCGTACTGGCAGAATAGAGACCGATATGATGAGTCTTTCAATATCAGCGAACCCCAGTACCGAACTATCGCGACCAGAAGCGTACATTGATACACCCTCGCGCATGATCTGGAATAGCCTTGTCAAGCTGCTGTGTGCTATCGCTGAACATGTCACCGTCCGAGCTGAGCGGTTCGAAGAGATACTGGATATGGTAGACCTAGTTCTAGAAAGTAAGAACGTACGCCAAGCGCTTGAATGCAGCAATGCCGATGCTGTTTGGCTACGGCTGTATAAAAAGAATCGACGAGAGGAAAGCGACAAGCAATCTCTTACTCCCATTTCTTGGGCTGGCGCTGCGGCTCAGACAAAAATGTATTTTGACAAAGTACCGGTTGGAAAATCACATTGGCATTTTGTACGGATTTAAAACATTTACCGAGTCAGGGCACGTATTTATTCCAAGCTTCCCAGGAATAGTTTGTACACATTTACAATCCATGATTAAGTTATGTACGTATGCTGATAGAACACGGTGGAGTTTGCCGGGTCCAGAGTTTAGTCTCTAACATCATGATATTGAGGATCGAGATGTTCCGTACACATTATCTTCTTTGGTCACCAGCAGACAACCCTACAAGAGCAATATCAGCGACTAATGAGTAAAGAATAATTTACATTCTCAAACGTACAGACATTTGAAGAACTATATCTCACGGCTCCCCCTCCCTGCCTTCCCCATCTACCCCATTCATGTCCCACCTCGTAGTTTGTATGGAGTCGATTATGTGCATTCTTCCTGAAGAATTACTCGCTATGTCTGCTGGTACCATTGACAACAGTACTAGATGATGATTATGGTATTCTGTGCTCAGAGCTCTACTACACATGGTCTGATTTTCCATCACAGTGCATCTAGACCCAGCTACTAGATTTGCATAGTCAAGGTCATTCGATTTTGTGCAGTCTGCATGTGGAGAACCAAAGCCACACCGCTCTCCCACAATCACCTGATCTTGCGATTTGCTGGTCCCATCTTTACTCTACTCTAGTCTCCGTAGATTAGACTCTTCATACATGGTATCGATCGATTGCCAGCGAGGCGTTTTAAGCACTCCGAAGTCCCGCCGATCAAACACTATTCAGCGGGTCCACTCACACAACACACGGCTACAACCGTACGGCGGGGAGCTTATTTGAAGAAGAGTTTTAACTGTCTGACAGAGTATCAGATTGCGTTATATCGCTGCGCTGGCCTGTAGCGCAACTGCCAAATATAGTACTGCTTGTCGCAGCCTTTCAAATGTCGATAATTAGGAGGGGCTGGGAGTAGGAATATAAATAAGTAGTCTGATAAACTGGTGTCTCTCTGCTAGTGAACGATTTTTCAGCGCGGAAGCGGCTCCGAGTCAGCCAAACGTCCGGTGATATGCATATGCAGTTTGATATGCATATGTAGTCGTTATCCCATCTGGGATAAGCGCACCCGGTTCTATCTCACAGATCTTTTAACACCTATTTCAAAGTCCGGTGAGCAAGTATCCCAGTGTGCTTACCTGAGCAACTTTTCTAAGTACTTGAGACATTTGAAAACTTGCGGCATAAGCGATCACGCCTTTAGCTGCGTTCGCACACGCTTTGTCTAAGATGGTGAAATGACAGATTGATATGCTGGGCTACAGTGGCCTGCAAGAGGTCAAATGAATCCTACTGAAATTACAAAGCGGCCTGATGCAAGAAGATGTAGAGTTCATGCAGACTACATAAAGGTAGGTGGTGTTGATGCCAAGGCTAGGTTGCCACAGGAGGTGAGGCTATTCGGAACAACGTCGGCCCCACAGAGGTTCGAGCTTCAACATGGGCGCGTCCAACCATCAGCCCCAGAGACCAACAACCCCATATCCTCCAACCGCTCAACTCACCCGCGACACCACACGTCAAGTTATTGGGACCACATTGAGACTTTTTGGAATTACACCTCGAAAACTGCAAAAAGACAGCGCAAAGATGCCACAACCGCGTAAGGCGCGTCGCATGTCGCTCAAGTAGACCATTTGTAACTAAACAGCCACGTTAGCATCCCGCGCAATCGCCTCCAAAGACCTGCCGCCGTCAGTCGAAACCGCCTACTACCGCAAATGCATCGACCTTCGCCGCCGGATAACCGACATCGAAGACAACAACGATGGCACGCGCCTGCGCATAACCCGACTGAACCGTGGAATCCAGAAGATGCGCCTCGAGCGCGCTTTTCTCCTCGAACAACTCAACAAGCACATGGAGTACAACGTCGACGACAGCGATCGGAGTAGCAGCCCCCCGCCTACCCCAACCGACAAGCCGCTGCGCAGCAAGCGGAGCCACAATAGAAAGGGCACCCCACCCCTTGGCAGCAGCGGCGGTGCCGGTGGCGCGAGCAGTACCGCAGGCGGCGAGGGCGAGCGACTGGGTGCTGAAGGAAGGATAGGAGCCATAGGCCACATATCGCACAGCGTGAACCCTGTGAGCAGCGCGCAAAGCACCCCAGACCCAGGCCGGTCGCAGAGCAACTACTTTGGCACCGTCGGAGCCGGCAGTGCCACCACGGCTGCGAGTCCCCCAACCAGCGTCGTCAATGGAGCACCCCCGCCATCACTGCCTCCCCTACATTCCCTCCCATCCCTACAGCCCCAGCAATCAGCCCAGTCGCAGTCTCAGCCCCAGCGCCAGTACTTCGATCCTGCATATGCCGACCAGCGTCCCGCGCCTGCAGCTAATGACGAGGAAGGAGGCAGGCGACGCGCCCTCTCGGGTGCTGCACAGCAGCCTCCTGCTACTGCTGCTACTGCTGCTACTGCGACCGAGTCTACTACTACTACTGCCGCTGCTGCTCCACCGCAGAATGGCGATACGGAGATGGCGGATGCCAGCTTCACGGCTGTGAACCGGTAGGATAATCCCTACACTTCAAGCACGGAGCGCGGTAATAGCAAACACGACAGGTGGTATCAAGGCAAGGCGTTTAACATGGTTTTGTTTTGCAGGAGTATTTTTGCTGGAAACGCTATCATCACCCTTTTTTATTTTTTTTATTTTTCCCTACCATGGGTTTTGCCGGAGGGAGAGCCACCATATATACTGGTTCTTATTTGAGTTATCTCGGTGTGTATTAGTAGCGGGAAACAAAAGGACTTTTTTTTTCTTGTTTGTCCTTTGCATGGTTGCCGAGCGCCCTGGCATTCTTGTTTCTAATCACATAGATTCAAATTTGGTCATTGTTACTGCTGCTAATCTCGCATGGATTCTGATTTACGAGCCTTGTATTACCTGGCCAGGATGCTGAATGAACTATCACACTTAGAGTGCCATGACTGGTTATCACTACATCCTATAGCATCCCGTTTATCTCCTTTCCCGTCGCTTTGTCTTCTTCACCACAGGCTTGTTCTTGATTCTCGGCTTTCATGCACCCCGAATAATTCAAAGCCTGGACACCTTGATACAGATCAAACCATCGACTTTTCTTTGGAGCTGACACTATCCGTCACTGTACATGTAAAGAAGTAAAGACTGTTGTTCCCCTATTCATTGTCCTTGTAGCGAACACCGGTTGCAAGCTCGCATGGATCAGGTGCGTATCCGATGTTGCAATGCTCCCAGTCTTCGTTGTCCATCAGTTCACGCCTGAAGCTGAGCGCGTGGTAGATGTTGGCAAAACGGAATTCAATGTAATCGTGCTAGAATAATATAATTAGTATTTTGCAACTGTATAAATGTAGGCAGTAACTCACGCCGCGGGCATTCTTTCCATGCTTGATGCAATCAACCTCGCGCTTGTTGACCTGGCTCTCTCCTTTGGCAAGTTCCATGAGTTGCGTATTGGTGCAGTCTACTTTCCCAATAGCTCGGACACAGCGAGTCATGCCGTTATCGATGCAGCCCTGGATGACATCGTTGGTAGAGTTTGGACCATCAGCTAGCTCAACGAACACGACAGCTGATTTCTTGTCTCCGCCAACCTCTACCCCATTGACAGTATCCGCGTGATATTTCTTGCAGCCATCAGCTGTGAGGAACTTGACAAGAGCGTTCGAGGAACCGGGCTCTGGCAGAGAGATGGACTCAAGCCTTCCACCCCACACTAGAGCTTGAAGCTGATTGATACTGGTGACAGCCGAGACGCCCTTGAGGATACATGTACGAGGAGCTGCAACTACTCACTGTTAGCGCTGACCATATGAGATATTGTATACTTGACTTACTGGAATCACGTTTCTCCTGCGTTGGCCATGTTTTCATACTATCGACTGGGTCCTCAAGCACTGGCTTGCTTCCCAACATATCTGGAACAATGATCAATTCTGCCTTGGGAAGGATGTCAAGTAGAGCCTTGAGCAATCCGGTAACGTCGTCAAGTGTCTCTAACGACATGTGCTTCTCTTCTACGAGAATGGCGCAAAGTCTGAGAAAGTCACCGTCGACATCCTCCAGTTTCTGCTTAATAGAAGAAACTGTGCACTCCGTTGGGCCTTTTCGTAAGGTTTTGTTCAGGTAGTTGGCTATGGCAAACGCAAACCTTGCCTTGATAGCATCCTTTTCTTTCACATCCATGCTCGTGAGTGGTTTATACGTGACGCGCATTTTGTGGGAGACGACCTTGATGAGCTGTGGCGTGCCCTTCTTGGTATCTGGAAGAGCATCCACATACGCGCTAGCTCTACGCATGTACTCGTTTTCGAGCTCCGCTTGAGTGATGCCTGCGGGCTGTGTCTGTGCCTGTACGGGCTTTGGTAAGATATCCGTAGTAGCCTGTTTGGAAGCTGCTTCTGTGGGCACTGATGAATTTATCGGAGTAGCTTTTGCAGAGATTGGAAGGCTTTCAACAGGTGTCACTTGCTGGTGATTTCCGAGTGCCATGCTGCTGCTTGTGGCTGGAGCAGAAAGCTCGGGGCTCTTGCTGTTCAGACGGGCAAAAAGAGCATCGATCAGTGCGGATGTGTCATCAGACTTTGAATCCTCCTTCTGAGATGAGTCTGCTTTTGCGTTGGACATGGGCGGCACACTAACAAACCTGCGATTGCAGGAATTAGCGACGACATTCTGAGTCATTAAAAACGGCGCAACACTCACGACTCAGCAACTAAAGGCTCCAATTTATCTGACAGAGAAACAGGTGGTGTCATCGGTAGTGGGATGGACGCTGCAGATGGAGTAGAAGGAGGAGGCACATGGCTAGCAGCTCCCAAAATCTTGACAGCACTCTTCTTGAGTTTCAAGGCTCCCGGATTCGCGATGGGCTGAACAGTGGGGGTGCTGGGTTTTATCGAGGGGGCAGCACTTTGCGACATGGCACCTTTCGAAGCAGTTGGCGGCGGGTCTGCCCATCGCGAGCGGTACATAGCTGTAGGCGAACGAGATGCCGGAGGCGAGCTTGTTTGTTGACGGCAGCCCGCACGTGAGGGTGACAGCAGAGGAGATGGAAGTGATGTAGTTGAGCAGTGCTCTACAGAAGACGATGGATTACTGTGAGCGACACTCGTCGTACGCGTGTGGAAGTTTGTTCTGGTCGTGCTGTGTGGGGGCGATGTGACTAAGTGAAAACAAGCAGTGAGCAAAATTAAATGGTAGGTGAGAGGACGTGCCAACTAACTATTACTGCGTCGATCGACAGGAAAGTTTTCAATTCCGTGGATGCACGCCTCCAAGCAAGCCTGGTATTTCTTGTCGTTACTGATGCATGCAAGATGAGGCTCACTATTATTTGGCATGAGATCGATGGAGTTGTATTGGCACAGGCGTTTAGCAGTCGAAGTGATGGCAGCGTGGTGATGTCTGACTAAACCAAACAGGGCTCAGGGCAGTCACGTCGCAATTGCCACTTGGGGTGCATGTCAAAACTCAGAGTTGGCTCATAGCGAAATGGAAATGCTGTCATGACCTGGACAACCCCGGCTCGGAGAAGAACAACGTAACTTGCAAGTCGCGGTAACATAGAAATTCTGTCAAAAAGGTACAGGGCAAGCATTTGTGATATAATGAGGTGTGTGTTCACTCGCTGCAATTTGAACCTACTACCCAAAATCTCAGCTTGTTCCCCTTGTGTACACATCAACGGTTCAGTCGCTTTTCTCGACGGTATTCCACAACAATGATATTATATACAAAAGTGACTGCATATTTAGCTTACGTAGGACTCGCTGGTAAGAGGATACATATAAACTAGGCTGTTGATTTACACGGCTGGACAGGTAAGCAGTAAATATTGACATGCTGCAGCACAAACGCCCCTGAGACTTCTCATTAGGTCTGGTCTGGAGGTTCATATAAAAGGTATCCAGACACGCGTCCGGGCCTTGTATTCCCTATAATCATTGCCAAAGAATTCTAGCAGATGCTTTTCTTCATCTGATATGGATTAGAACATGTCCAAAGTCTTGACCGGCAGAGAATGAGACTTACGGAAGATGCGTCTCTTGAAAAATGACCAGAGAACAGCAGTATATGCCAGGAAGCAAAAAGCATTTCCGAGCATGATCTGCGTGCCGATGCCCCACCAAAAGAAGCCAAAATACGAGGGGTGTCGGAAGTAGTGATACAACCCATGTGTCACCAGTTCATGGCCATCGTTCTTGCTTGACTGTACCATGTGGTTGAAATTAGTGCCAGCTTGTATCATTGCAATGCTGCGGACAGTCTGCCCAAGTGCAATCAGGATGACACCGATTGCGATGGCCCATGGTGGGTGGATGTAGGATTGGTAGCCGGGGAAAAAATACGATGTGACAAATGTCTCGATAAAGGCCATGGTATGAGCTATACGGTACTGGTCACCGTTGCTGAGAAGAAAGGATGCAACTTTGGCAACTGGGGTGTTGTATGCGGCTGTTGTATAAAACTCGAGGAAGTGGAAGAGAGCAAGCGTGCTAAGGAACAGGCAAGGTCGCCATAGATGGCTGCCGTGGTATGCGAGAAGTGCAGCTCCAGCAAGGCCAAGCACAAGGGCACAACCTAAGCAAAAGGCACGCACGGCAATGCCTGATAGTGAGCGCTTGCCGTGGGGGTAGAAGTCTGGAGAGATGGTGTTTGGGTTCCTTGGCTGAGTGGCGGGAGCTCCGTTTGGGGGCTGCCTGTCTCCTGTTCCAGGGGCCCATGGTGCATTTCCATTCCCCGGGTTTCCAGGTAGCGAGATATCAATACCCGAGGCTGCGCCATTCGAAGCCATGATTGCTGCGGGTAGGGAAGCGAAGAGCGGTATGCGGGGACTTGAATATGCGGTCAGGAAGAGGCAAACGGCAGTTTTCAGAACATGGCTTTATACAACGCCGAAGAAGAAACTGCACAGTTAGCGGAAGGCTGGACGGGTTGCCGCGACGCAAGACAATAACAAGGCTCAGAGGAATAAGAGAGGGTTGCCATTGTTCTTGACGTTGCGCCTCGCCAGTCGGCAGCCCGCGAGATCCACACGCTATTCTAGTATCGGCCTAGCTTGTCAGGGACATCCCCGCAACTTCTGGCCACGGCATCATCGAGTCTGACCAAGGTGTGTTCAAAGGCTTACAGTCGTGATTTTGTGCAACGCTGCAATGGAGCTTTCAGAGAACAAGAAGCGAATGGCCAGGGGCGAGCTCTACCATGCCTTCACACCCGAACTTGTAGCCGAGCGAGCAAGGTGCAAACATGCCTGGACTAGGTACAACAATGCTGGCGACGTGCCACGAAGGAAACTTACCGAGTTGTTCAGAGAGTATGTATGAGCCGTTGGTGCCGCGAGATTCTCTTTTCACATTTGCGTTCAGTGTCATCCAGGACAAGACGCCTCTACCGCCACAGGCACAATCAGCAGAGGAAGACGACAAGCTGTTTGAAAATGACCCGTGGATCGAGCCACCAATGGCAATGGACTACGGCTACAACGTTCGTCTTGGTGAGAACGTCTTTATCAACTTCAATTCCGTTTTTCTGGATACCTGCCTCATCACTGTCGGCTCTCGTACGCTTGTGGGCCCAAATTGCAGCTTCTATTCCGGCACTCATCCCCTTGACCCGGCCGTTCGCAACGGCACTCAGGGTCCAGAGCTCGGCAAGGAAATCCATGTTGGGGAAGACTGTTGGATTGGAGGGAATGTATGCATCCTGCCAGGAGTCACTATTGGGAAGGGCAGCGTTGTCGGCGCCGGGAGCGTTGTTACAAAGAGTGTTCCCGACTTTACAGTCGTCGCGGGCAATCCTGCCAGGTTTATTCGCAAGATTGAGACCAGCATGGATCCCGCACAGAAAGAGACACCATAGATTCTGTGTAACAAAAGAAAAGCTTTTGTGCATAGCTTTGCCGCCGCTGAGTACGACTCATGCTCACCAACTGTGCTTTCATGATTTTCATGGCCCAATTTGCGGGATGAGCTCGTTACCTCGACGCAAACGTCTCATTGCCTCCCATTTCCCCGTATCGATGTGCTATGTTACAGCCGAAACGATGTGTATATGTATTTTGAGGGATCTAGGGAAGCACTGCTTTACAAGTCACGGTTCATCTTGACGTTTCTTCACCACTGCATAAAGTACTTGTGTTGTATCACGTGTCGTTCCGCTCTAGCGTGTATCAGAGTGTTCTTGGTCATTCTAACGCGAAGCAGGCTCGAGTCAACCAACTTTGTCCCCCCCTCTTCCTGGAGCTAGTATATGGGTACCACGGCGGTATTTGGAAGATGGGATTCCACTGGTGTTGTTTATGCACTAAAGTGTGTTGATGATGCGTTATTTTACAACTTCCAAATGACGACCTGTGTAGATAGTAAGCGCAAGGAACCATGCAAAGAAACACGATAAGCATTTGGAAACCTGTGGCACGCTTGTGTCGATCCAGGCGTAGTAATGTGGGGTCCGTTGGGACCAGGTTTCGACACGATCCGGTGATCTCCCGCCATTGCGCGAAGGCTAGTGCGCCAAGGCGTACGAAACCTTCTCCCAGACGACGCCAAAACTGCAACATCGGCATGCCAAACATTGGTGACTAATTCCGTGTTCGGACACAGCATAGTAACCTTGGCAAACAGACCGGAATGGGCCATGATTCAGGACAACCGGTGCTCGTTTGGTTTGCGTCTAGGCCCTGGGGAAGCTTAGCGCACCAAACAGCAGCATGCTTCGAAACTGTAGCATCAAGCACTCCGCCAACTCTCCGGCATGTCTGCGGGGGCTTGGTATCTCACTTGTTCCATCTCCACACTACGGCGATGCAGTCGCCTTTGCGTCGCCTGAGCTCCTTTACAGAGGGTCGGTCACAGCAAGTATAAATACCGCGTGTCCCTCCACCCAAAGAATCATTATCGGACAGGTTCCAGAATCACCAACAGGCTAATATCTTTTATTTTCGTCTTCCAGCATCTCTCACTTTCTTAATACAACTTCTACATAATCATATTCCATCAATTTCGATAACTTTTAACAACCGCCATCATGCAGTACATTCTCGTCGCCTCTCTCCTCACCTCTGCTGTTTACGCTGCTCCCTACGCTCAGGTTCAGCAGCAGAACCCCAACGCCCGGCCAGCAACCACCCCCAACAACCCCACTGGCCAGGGTGCTGGTATCGCCAATGGTCAAACCCCTACCGCCGGCGATCTCGCAACTGCCGTCGCCAACTGGATGGCCGATACCTCCATGGTCTCCAGCTTCTTGAACAACGGTGCCAGCATCCAGAACAACGTCCAGTTCAAGCAGGCCGCTACCGTCGCCTACAACGCCGAGGTTGACGAGCTCAACCAGAAGGCCGTCATCGACGCTGCCAACAGCGCTGACCCCAACGTTATTGCTGCCAACAGCACTCTCGCCACTGGCGGTGCTTTCCAGGATGTCGTCGCCAAGCTCCAGCAAATGTCCATCCAAGGTATGGCTGCCGCTGGCAACATTGACCTGATCAACCAGAACCGCTGTGTCAACGTTCTGCCCAACATCGACGCCTACATGGCCTCCACCGGCTCCTCCAGCCAGGCTGTCCGCCCTACCGCATGCAACCAGACTGGTGTCATCAACGGTGTCCAGGGAACTGGTCCTACCCAGCCCGGCCAGCCTGCAGGTAGCCCTGCGGCTGCTTTCGCTGCTGCCCAGGCTCTTGCCCAGGGAACTGGTAACGGCCAGGTCCAGAACGGTGTCACTCCTGGTACTGCTGCGACCGCTGGCACTGCCGGTACCGCTGGCACTGCCGGAACTGCTGCGACCGCTGGCACTGCCGGCACTGCTGGAACTGCTGGCACCGCTGGAACTACTGGCACCACTGGAACTACTGGCACCGCTGGCACCGCTGGCACCGCTGGAACTGCTGGAACTGCTGGTACCGCCGGTACTGCCGGTACTGCTGGAGCTACCACTCCTCAGCAAGGACAGACTGCCCAGCAGGGACAGCAGATTGCCCAGCAGGGACAGCAGACTGCTCAGCAGGGACAGGCTGCTCAGGGCCAGGCCGCTCAAGGACAAGTCGCTCAAGGACAAGCTGGTGCTCAGGGCCAAGCTGCTCAGGGCCAGGCTGGTGCTCGAGGACAAGCTGGCGCTCAGGGCCAGGCCGGTAACGGTGCCGCCGCTGGTGCCGCCGCCGGTGGCCGTCAGGGCCGTAACTAAGTCTTCCAGCCCAACAAACAGCTCAAGTAGGAGAGGGGCATGGAACATCCAAGATGGAAATAAACAAAAAAAGGAGAGTTCAACCGTGTGTGTGCAGGTCACATCACGTTTTTCACTCTCTTTTAGTATGTAAATAAGCTTTGTTTTTCTTTCTGGTTTCTATAATTAGGGGGAGAATTGTAATGGCCGGTGGCGAGTGGAGTATATATATATGTCTATAGCTTTGTAGTTATTGTCAGTTGTGAGATGCTGGACAAGGCGAATATAAAAGGTATTAGCCTGCTTAAACTTATGCTTTCTTATTTGCTGCTAGTGTGATGTCTTTTTTGGTGATTTAACTCTACTAAGAATGAGAATGTGATGGACAAAGAGATAGGAAGGACAAGCGCCTGTTTCTTTGGTCACATACAATACCATACAATGCAGTATAATACACACAAGTATAGCTTCACTGGCATGAAGGCTCATCTTCCGCGGCGTTGGCTCATAGCATCCCAACAGTCGGGTTTCGTAGAGTGGCCTGATAACTAACGCGGTCAGACCACTATTCCTCACGTTTTCTAGGTATCTTTTATCGCAACTCATCCATGTCCCGGAATACTACGCGCTTATGCTGAATGTTCTGGAATGCCTACAATGGGTTGACGGAACATCCATTACCGAAAGTCTGAAAACCTATGTGGGTTCGTATTATGAAGCATGACTGCGGGTTGCTTACCGTGTTAGCATACATTGTACTTTCCAACTGAAACCTTGCATTTCCTAATACTCCAAGGCAGCTTCGAGGGGTTTTTTTTTTGGTGTAAATCTTTGCGAATCCGAGTCTCCTTCGAGTTGAATCATTGTTCAAACTAACTGCACTGAGAACAAAGATGAACAAGACAACGAACCATCTTCAGTGCAAATCGAGAATGTAAACAACACCAGTAGTATAGATGCATCAGGCGGAGAAATCACCTATCCAATTTGAGCCAAGATATTGAAAACTGCCCTTTTCGCAGAGTACTCCAATATGAGAAGGTTCACTTTGATAAGACCAGTGGACTTGAAGTATATAACGACCCGCAGCAATGATGCTGCCCAGGATAAGAATGTGCAGCATACTCATGTGGTCTTTTTGAATTGTGCCATCATTGTATTCATGGATAGGAAAAAAACCGGATTTTTCTACGTTTTGGGATGGACAAGCATGGGGAATTTGAGATATGGAAGGGGGTTTCTGGGATGTGTATCTTGGATTGCCAAATGTTTCATGATTTTGTCGTTGTGCTGGTGTACATTGAGTGGTTGGCAGAAAATCCATCGAGTGAGAGTGCTGGGATAAAGGTTCTCGTGTGCAGTTATCATGATACTTTGAACTAAGGCCCGGAAAGGTTATTCCCTTGTGGATCTGATTGGCTACTCCCTTGGGCCAGGAGCCAGAGTATGTAGTCCAGTCTGGACCTTGGATGATTTTTCAGCGGTTCGTCTTGGTCCACTCCAATTGATGGACTTTGTGTCCATCTACGAAATAACTTAAATCAAATTCCACTTCAATCAAATCTATATCAAGAAATGTACAGTGACAAAACAGCTATTCTTCTATGCGATGCGTAAAGTATATTTCTACTGTCAGCTGATCACCCAATCTCCGTTTCGCTCAAAGAGGTGAAAACACGGGTGGAGTAAGCACTCGATGAAGCTGCTTTACTAGTGTAGCGCTAACAAAACCGAGTTCCATTTTATGGTTGAAAAAGCGGATGTTTGTAGAATACGAAGACGTTTCCGATCCAGTTTTCTAATCGGAGGTCATTAGTTACTATAGTGGGTTTAGCAACCGAAAAACGCAGAGAGGGAACAAGCCCTCATACGGGCAAGGTCGGATTATTTCCTCGGTCAAGAAGATTGCTTTATTGCACAAAAACAATACACGGAGGCACGGTGAAGCTAATGTCACTTTGTGTATTGACAGGTGGTTTTCAGCCGTTCAATTGGTCAATATTGAAGGGACGTTGAACCAAGCTCTGAAAAGATACCAAAAAAATAGGAGCAGCCAGCACAGACTGTTCATGTCATGGGTTAGGCAACACCTGTTGTTGAAGGAACAGACAAGGGAGGAACCTTGCAGTATCCAGCCATGCCATGACGTTCAATTCCATAGCAAGGATATCGTGGTCTTGTAGAATACCAGTGGTTCGGCAGCATTGCGGTCGTTCGCCTGAGGTTTCGAAACCTCAGGCCCGGAAATCTGGATACCTGATATTCCCGGATGACATGTACCCGATGCGACCCGTGGGATGGTCTATGTTTGGGGTGTGCTTTGATCAGGAGTTGGTGCCCTGCTGGTTGTGGTATAGCCGAAACGATGCACAAAACAAAATGTGCGGCAGGACTAGAAAGCTTGATGGGGCCGCCAAGTGTCGAGTTCAAGACGGGACGAGTATGAGGGGCCTGCAATGGCTGTGGTCCGTGAACACAAATACTTGCAGACTTTTGTCAAGTGTTGGTCAGCAGAGTGGCTGGGGTAGTTCCACAAGCCCTGTTACTGCCCATGTTGGTGCTTCGAGCATGCAACCAGTGCGTGCTAGTACGACACCAACTCGCGTGACATGCCGCTTCGCAAGATGCCGCCGCTCGCTGCATGCGGCCCACATATAGAGGATACAGAATGCGGACGGGGATCTAAATTCCTTGGGCGGGCGGCGTCGCTGTGGAATCGTACATGCGCTGGCAGCCTATGACACGTCCGCTCACCCAAGTCAGTGCCTCGCCAAGTGCATGGTGGCATCGAGTCGCTGACCGCACACAGCTCAGCTAGCTAGCCAGACCGCAACCTCGCTGCTGCTCATGACGCTCATTCACGACATTACGTTTGCACCGAAAAATGGCTGAGGGCGAGCGCGCTGGCGGGGTACATAGCGACCTGGAGAAGGAATTAACGTGCTCGGTAAGTCGAGGTTCAGGTTCAGGTTTCATGGCGGCGCAAAGGTGGGGAGCGGCCCAGCGAGAATGCGGCATGCCCGACGTTGTGTTAAGCCAGGCCTGGCGATGGTTACAGTGTCCCAGGAGCGTGTTTGTGGGCATGTGGACATGTAGAGAGACTTTAATATCCGCATCTTTCGTTTCTTCTTTCCGCTGTTCGTCTGGGCCTGCCGAGCCATAGGGCTACGCCTGCTAACGGTTCCCTACCCAGATCTGTACCGACCTTCTCTACCAACCGCTGACGCTTCTTGATTGCCTTCACACCTTTTGCGGCGCATGCCTGAAGGAATGGTTCGCCTTCCAGGCCTCTACGGCCACATCGATACACCCATACACCTGCCCGTCATGCCGCGCCTCGGTGCGCACCACACAGCCCAATGCGACCGTCACCACCCTCCTCGACATCTTCATAAAAGCCAATCCGGAAAGAGGCAAGACCGATGAAGAGAAACAGGCGGACCGGAACAAATACAAGCCTGGGGACAATGTGCTGCCCAAGCTCAGGCGACGAGACGAGCGTGATGACGTAGATCAGCGCATGTTGGACGAGGCCCAGCAGCTGAGCTTGAGAGATGCGGGCATAGCGGGCAGCAACAATAACAACAACAACCTGCGACCATCGCGCGAGCGGAGAAGGAGAGAAAGAAGCCGTGCTACTAGCACCGACTCGCGTGCAAGTCGAGACACAAGACACCCAACCAGCAGGAACCCTTCAGCTGCATCTGCAAGACCGCCCAGGGCTGTCGAGCACCAGTCGAGTTTGCGCTCGTTGCTGAGCTCGTCCGATCTTGATGCCGACGAGGTGGACGAAGACCTTGTGCGGCAGGTGCTCGAGGAGCTTGTATCGGAGGGGTTTGATTTGAACCAGATTGGCACTGCACAGGAGGAGGAAATCACAGAGAGGATTGCTGAAGCAGTGCGGCGACGACAGGCAGACAGGCAGGCCGAGCGGCAACGCGAACGAAGGCAAAGGAGAGAACGCCTAGCAAGAGAAGGTCTTACCAGCACATCATCCCCGCTTGTTCCTCAGCCCTTGCGCAGTCCCCATCTGCGGGACGAAGATGTACAGCGAAGGAGACACCATGGCCGGTCAGAAAGCGGGTCTTCCATTCCACAGGCTACTCTGCGACCTCCGATATCGCGGCCAGGTCTAATCGATGCTGCCAACCGCGGTGGTCGGGGACCGCGACAACGGTCATCAAGCCAAGGCAGTTCCCGCTCAGCCACAAGAATTGAACGTCCCAATGCAAACTCGGCCATTGGGAACTCGCAAAACAACAGCAGCAGTGAACGAGTATCAGCATCAGAGACAGCACCTCCAGCACACCGCCGCCAGTCGGACAATCAACAACGAAGCCGGCTTGATGCTCGCCAACAGTTCCGCGACAGTGTGCAATCCAGCGCGAGCTCGAATCCTAGTTCGCCTCAGCTAACAGATTTCAACATACCAGGTCGTGGTAGTCCGACAAGCTCTTTGGCAACTGTAGGAACCACTGCCGGACCTACTTCTTCATCCTCAACACCTGCAGTAACCCCTCTCCATCCCCCAACATCGCGTCGTACAACCGATCCCGCTCGTGTCACACTACCACGTGCTTCAAACAGTACCACTCCACCAACGGCTTCACCCCCAATCTCTCGCTCCACCACAGACTTGACGGTTCCACTGCCTAGGTCCAGGCAAACTTCAGCCGCTTCTTCAATTGCACCCATTTTCTACAACGAGCCCAACATTACATGCCAGCGCTGCAACAAGAGTGACATTCAATACGAGTTACACTACAACTGTAGCCGCTGCGATGGAGGCGAGTATAGCATCTGTGTCCGCTGCTACCGCCTCGGCAAAGGCTGTAAGCATTGGTTCGGATTTGGCTGGACAGCATGGCCTCGCTATGAGCGAGAAGCACCTGAAGGAGGCTATCCACCCAACCACGAACACCCTCACATCCTGATCGGGCGTCGATACCGACGGCCCATGACACCACTTACAGAATCCAGCACCCCACCGCACGTCCTAATGAGCGAAGACGACCCTAAACAGCGAGTGGAACTCGGCGTCTTCTGCGAAAACTGCAAGGCCTACGCCAACGCCTGCTACTGGAAATGCGACTACTGCAACGAAGGCGACTGGGGCTACTGCAACGACTGCGTAAACCAAGGCCGCCACTGCACCCACCCCCTCGTCCCCGTCGCAAAGAAAACTCGAGACCCGCAATCGACAACGACAGACGCCACTCCCTCAACTCCCTCGACTCCCCGCTTAGAATCCTCACATCTCGCACCCCCAAATCCAGATAACCCAGAAACAACAACCTCCCTCGCCGCCCCGCTAACCCCCAAATCCGCCTCCCTCGCCCGCGGCCCCGGTTACTTTACAATCGCAAACTCCATCTTCCGCCCCTTGACCTTCACCACCCTCTGCAACGTCTGCCGGTACCCCATCGCCCCCTCCACCACCCGCTTCCACTGCCTCAAATGCAACGCCGGCGACTATGACATTTGCACCAGCTGCTACCACAAACTCGGCGTCAGCGGCCGCATCCCCAAGGAAGACGGCGTGTCCGGCTGGCGCAAGTGTCTGCGCTCCCACCGCATGTACGTGGTCGGGTTTGAGGATCGCGATGGCGCCCAGCGACGGATCGTCGTCAAGGATCTGGTCGGGGGCTATGCGATGAAGGAGGAGGATATGGCCAGGGTTATGCGTGTCCCGCCGGATGGGGGGTTGGGACTACGGTTGCTGGCGCGTTGGGCGTATTGGCCGGATGAGGGGGTCGATGATGAGTTGGCGTTTCCACGGGGCGCAGAGATTAGGGAGGCGGCGGATATCAATGGCGATTGGTATTGGGGGGTTTATGGTGGAGTGGGCAAGTTGTTTCCTGCTAATCATGTTGTGCCTGTTTGAGAAAAGACAGTATTTGTATTTAGAGGTTTGCTTTGAGCAAGAGAGGTTGGACGATAGGGAGAAAGATACGCAGTGAACTAATTTGATTGTAGTCGAATCGAAATTTTCCTATGATTGATTTCTTTTTTTTTTTCAATAGTTATTTGTGTTCATATATCACATTTCAAGATTAACGTAAGTTTGATGTACTATAACTCAACGTTGAACGTCTTTGTCTCCCTCCTCCCCCCCTAGGCAAAGTTCTTCTTCAGCCACGGCTCCAACTTGCCAATCACCTCCTGCGGCGTCTCATACGGCGTCCAGTGCCCCGCCTCGATCATGCCCGCATTCTCCAGGTGCGGCAGCCACCCAGCATCGATAGGTATTTTCATCGCTTCCGGTCTGCACACGACGTCCTCTGTGCCGCCAAAGTACAGCGCGGGGACATTAACCTTTTGTCGTTCCTGAGGCACCTGTGCATCGCTTTCGGACTGGATGTTGGTGACCATGGCCTTGTACCAGCAGGTGGGAGCCTCGAAGCCGTCGCGGCGCATACGGTCGATAAACGTCTTCTTAAATGTGGGGTCCTGCGCATATGGGCGAATATTCAGGTCGTATTTTATTTTTCCTTCTAGGATATCCCGCATGACGCCTCTTGTGCAAAGGACGGCCTTCATTTGGTCGGTGTGGACATGCATTATGTCGTAGGCAAGGTCAAGATTGCGTTCGAGGAGAGCAGCGCCGTCGGGGGCAGCGAAAACGTACCAGTAGCTCAAGAGTGCGTATCCGAAAATCTTCTCCATCATGGCGTTTGTCGCATCGAGGTCATAGGGGACGGGATTCAATGGTGTGTAGGGGACGTTGAGATTTACGAGGCCGACTACTCGCTCAGGATAGTATTGGTATAGGCGTGAGGCAAACGCCGAGCCCCAGTCGTGGCCAATGGAAACGCATTTTTGCGCGCCTTCGGCATCGAGGATCTCAACAATGTCTTTGGTCATGAGCTCGAATTTGTATGCTGCGGGGTCCGTGGGCTTGTCGGTTCCGTCGTAGCCAAGCATATCTGGGATGATAATGTGGTGGTTGAGCGACTTCACCCCGCTTGCAACTTGTTGCCACATGGCTGCGTGGTCGGGGAAGCCATGTTGGAACAGGAGGGTTGGGAGCGAAGAGTCGCCAGCAGAGGTATAGTAGGTGTATGTGAAGCCTCGAGAGGTCTTGAGTGTTTTCTTATCGAAGCCGTCCATGATGCGTCTGGTTTTGCGCAAGAAACTTCGTGTTGATGCAGGTCGATGAGTAACTTGGAGGTATGGAAACGCGAAATGGAGGCATTTTTATAGCTTAAATGCCAAGGTAGTCCTGCCCGTAGGGACGTACAGTTGAGGATAGAAGACCGCGCGGGGCAGCAAGCTGTATGGACAGAGGCTAGACCACTAGTTTCCACTATTTGGAACATGCATCGGTACGGCCCTTCGTACGAAAACAATACTAAATCCCGAGGTTTCGCGATATGTGACCTTTACAATTAGCGTTATTATTAATTGTAATCCGTCTTTTTTCCCCCGTTATCTGAGTCATCTGTTAGTAGGCGGCAATCTATGTGGCGCTTTACCGAGGCTTGTGGATACGTACTGTATAATGAATGCTACACCATGCTGAATCGCGGCTCCACTCATCTCTCTAGCAAACGGAAGCAGAAAGTAGAGTGTGCGTTCAACAGGACATATATGGTCCTGTTACTCCAGTATACCGGTATCACGGCATACCGGCATACCGGCATCAGGTAACAATAATGCAGAACCCTACGCAGATACGAGAAACACGGACCAAGCTTCACTTCCTGCAGCGCGGGGACACCAAGTTTCGATTGCGGAGCGCCCTATACAATGTTTTTATGGAAGGCGGCTTCAAAGTAGTCCCATCAAACTGCACCACGGTTGCAGCCTCGGTGAGCTCCTTGTTTGTGAGCTTTGGCCCTGAACGGCGAACTGCACGATATAAGAGCTTCTCCTGTTGACGTGACAATGCCTTTGGGCGACCACTGCGAGGTTTGTCCTTTGTCGAGTTGGTGCTGGAATATTTCTTGTACAGTTTCCGGATAGTCGCAGGATCGCGATTGAAGTGCGCTGCAACTTCAGCATTACTGCAGCCCTCGCTCAACATTGTAATTGCAGTGTCCCGCTCTTCGACAGTCATATTCTTGACAGGGCGAATCTTTTTCGGCGTGCCCTCTTCGGATTTTGCTGTGGACCTTGTGGTGGGCATTGTGTGTAGATGTTTGATGTGTGTGTGGTGGAGAGAAAGGACCTGATGATGTAGGAAGTTGAAGGGCAATCGGGCCATCCCGAGGCGCGTTCACGTCGCACGACATCAGCAGACTCCACGAGCATTACATCACAATCGCAACCTCATCATGGCTGGAACACGAAGCTCCACGCGCCAAAAGGCGTCTGCAGCACCAAAGTATAACGAAGACCTATCATCATCGGCTGAAGAAGCACAATCAAAACGTAGTACGACCAAGTCGACGCGTCGGAAGCGTACCCGCGATGATGAAGACGACGTAGCAGACGCCAACCTACCACCGCCCAAAAAAACCGCCACTTCAAAGTCCAAGGCATCCAAAGCAAGCCAACCCAAGGAGAAAGCCCCAGCAAAAGCCCCCAAAGCCCCAGAACTCGCAACATCCAAATCAAAACCCGCACCACCACCTGAACCCACCTCCCCATCCAACCGCGACGCAAACGGCAACCAGGAAGTCTTCTGGCTTCTCAAAGCCGAGCCCCTCCCCCGCTATGAAAACGGTGTCAACGTCGCCTTCTCCATCTCCGACCTACGCGCCTGCACAGAACCCGAGCCCTGGTCAGGAGTACGCAACCCGCAAGCCCGCAACAACATGCAAGCGATGCGCAAAGGCGACCTAGGCTTCTTCTACCACTCCAACGCCAAGCCCTCTGGCGTCGTCGGCATCCTGCGCGTCGTGCAAGAAGCGTTCGTCGACGAGACGGCGTTTGATCCAAAGGATCCGTACTATGATGCCAAGTCGCAGCGGGACAACCCGAAGTGGTATTGTGTGGGAGTGGAGTTTGTGAAAGAGTTTGAAAGGGTTGTGGATTTGCATGAGATTAAGGGGTTTGCGAGGGATGGGGGGCCGTTGAGGGATATGCAGCTTGTTACGAACTCGAGGTTGAGCGTTTGTAGAGTTAGGAAGGAGGAGTGGGAATTTATTCTGGGGCTCGCGGAGGGGAGCAAGGGTGAAGAGAAGGATGTGGAGAAGAAAGAGGAGTAATGAGGCTGTTGGCCCCTTTACACTGCAAGAGGAGAGACCGAGCCGCGAGTTGGGCTGTCGGTACTGGGTCTCATGTTTTCGAGGCTCTGCTCATCATATAACGGGTCTTCTGTATTCGGCACCTCCTACGTTTCTATGTACAACATTCTCCCACTACTCCGCGCCCAGCCATGCTGCTATTAATACTGCAACGCCTGGATTACCTCTGGGCTATTTAAAAACGCACATCGTTCCTGCAGCCTCTGCTGTGAGAATTCCAGCGTCGCGTTCGCTGTCCCTAACGCACTGTTGCCTGGATGCGAACCTCCAATCGTCCTTACATATGGACCACCAGGCCGACTAAAAGCCTCATCCCAGTTCAGCAACGTTGTCGACCCAGGGCTATCCAGTGCTGGCACGCCACGGCTGACATATGTGCTCCAAGACCGGCTCGCTCGCATGACAATCTCGTAATCGTACGCGGTGGGGTGGACAATATAGCCCGAATTATTATATACGTGCATAGTGTCGAAAATGTACGCAAATTCCGATGTATGGACTACGCCGAACCCAGAGATATTCGTGATCTGTTCGAGTATGGGATCAAGAAGGGTCTGGTTGAAGTTGTAAAAGTACACAGGGCCTTCGTACTTATCCTCAATTGCTGATCCCAGGTGCAGCGACGGACATACCATTAGGATGTCACGGAAGATGCGAGCCGAGCGGTAGAATTCCTGTGTCAAGTTTGGGCTGGTCCCGAATTCTTCTACGGGGTACAGGCCGAGCAGCTCAGCCAACAATTTCTCGGACATGCCTGGTAGATAACTGCGGATAAAGTCGTATGTGTCTTTGTCGGTCGCAATGGATATGTTTGTAAAGATATTGAGATCGCCTTCCATCCAGCCCGACATGAATGTTGCATTTCCAACACGACCTTCGGCAATCAGCTGACTGGGGGGAGCTGGAAGAAAATCTCCGTCTACCTGAGGCAACCAGATGTCGCCAATATTGTGTGCGATGTCGCTCTGATACGTTGCCTCTGAAGCATTAAAAAGCGTCTCGGTATCCAAGGCACGCAAGCACTCAATCGTCTCCGGTGAATCGAGTTTGGTCGTATTGCATCCAACATAGTCAACAACGGCTGTCATTGCATCCCTGGTAAACGTGCCTGTAATACCTGGCTCAAGAGACTGCGATTGCGCAATGCCCTGCTGGAAAGGCAGTGGCTTTTCCCCGCCATAAGCCAAAATATGCATGCCGATGGCCAGACCACCGGAGGACTGTCCGGCAATGGTAATCCTTTCCGGGTCCCCACCAAACGCAGCAATGTTGTCACGAACCCACTCGATCGCAGCACGTTGATCACGCAGCCCAGCATTCATGCTTCCCTCTTCTTTGAGCGAGTCCGAGGTTGCAAAGCCGAAGAATCCTAGTCGGTAGTTCATGGCTACGTGCATAATGGGCGATCCGTTTTCTACTGACTGCTTGATCATGCCATCGGGAGCTGTTGTTGGTTCATTGTTGCTTGCCCACCAGAAAGATCCGCCGTGTATCCATACAAGCACTGGTAATGGCCCTTTGCCTTCTCGATCCTCGGCTTTGGGTCTCGCCACATTCAAGTTCAAACAGTTCTCAGACGTTTCAGTAATGTTGTCCAGTCCAAGAGGTGCAAAGAGCAAGCCCAGCGACTGCGGGCAGGCAGGACCTGGCTTTGTAGCATCGATAACTTGGCCTGAGGTGTATTCGTAGGGAATCGGAGGTTTGAATCTGTTGTCGCCACTGGTATCTTTTGCATACGGGATACCTAGGAAGATTTCGATGTCGTTGCGTGCAATGCCCTGGACGTCGACATCGACATGTGATCCACCAAGTCGTATACCTGCTACTGTTGCTGCCGCACCGATACAGCCAGCTACTATTGTGAATTGCATGTTGCTTTCAACCGCAGCTTGGCTCTGTGGATTGCAAGAGGGTCAAGATGCAGGATAATGGCAGGCCACCAAGCAGCCTAAGGCATTGTTATAGCCGTGCCGGGTTGCTTAGGGGTAATGCTTGTGCTCGATAAACTAGATACCACCTCGACCGATTCTAGCCCGAAGCGGCAGGTGGATACCGTGACGCGACAGAAGGGTGTTGAAATTGGAGCGGCATTAGTGTGCAGATCCACCGATGGCGATTATGATTGTAGCCACTCGTCCTGTCAGCACAAAATCAAGCTCAGAGACAAAAAGCAATTCATGGCTGTGGGGCACGTTGCACAGCAACGTGCAACGTGCTAGGCTGGCATGCCTCTCTGCCTTGTACCGACATGCAGATAACGTGTGTGGCGCCTCTGCTCTCGCCCCACTCACACCCAAAAGGTAGCCTTACACAAGCCAAGCATAAAGCTACTCCAACTGCGCATGGCTACCCCGCAACTTTCTGCCAACGTCGTTCATCTCCGTGTTCGGAGCTTACGAAACAAATCTCTCGTACTATTGAGATAAGGTTCTGGTTTTTTATGCGATTCCATCCCGATTGGTTTGATGCTAGGCATTATTACGCCTTTTTACTGTCATTGTCCGTGCTTGCCACACCATCCGGTGCTGGGGCGCCTCCAACACCCGTGCAGTCAGCGATGTAATGCTTTTTTTGGTAGCTTGAGTTGGCTGGAGCCAGCACCATTTTCTGGGTAACCGGTTGGCTTCTTGAGTGGATGACGGGTTGAAAGGAAAGCACGGCATTACAAATCGACTCAACATAGTTAATGCTTTGTCCAGATAATAGCGGTCAAGAATATTGGGACCCGGTTTCGGCATCTTATGTAGGCGCTGACGTGAGAGGCGTATTGAGTAACTTCTCATTTCATCCTCCAGAACTCATTAATGAACCCTGCGACCTCTGGTACTCTGTCCCGCACCACTCCGTGTCCAGCGTCTGGGACAACGAAAACATTATCGAAACCAAAGTCTCGTAGCTCTTGTTCAGTACACAAATCGTCCTTCTCTCCCAAAACCACAGTCGAGGGTACACCCGTTGCCACCGCTTCCTGGAAACGCTCATGATTATCTATAACACCGCCGTCCCGGACGATAGCGACCACAGATGCCGCGTGCCCAGGGTGATTGCGGGTCTGCCACTCACGTACAGCTTCGGCGACTACTTCTCCCCGTCCAAATCTCTCTTTCCAATCCGATGGGACGATTAGCTCTCCACCCTCGAGCCAGGCCGTGACCCATTGCCGCGCAGCATCCTCATCGCAATCATGTTGGAAATGTTCTTGTTCAGCCGGCGTGAAAGAAGAACTCTTGACAAGTCCTGCAGGTGCAACCAACACGTAGCTTTGCACACGCGAAGCCCGTGATGCAACATAGCCAACTGTCAATGATGCGCCAAAGGAAAAGCCCACGAGATGAGCAGAAGGCCATTCCAAATGATCCAGTAACGTGTCGATTAGCCCGTGGAATAGGCCCGCCTCATGTGAAGCAACTGGCGTGTCACTCAGTCCATGGCCCCATAGATCAATCAATACAAAATGCGCCGAGGAAATATATGCATGCAGTTTGCGAGCTAGTGGAAGCATGCCTAAAGCAGGAGTCTGCACGCCATGGATGAAAAGCACACGCTCTGGAGGTTTTGTTCCTGGCCCTAGAAACGATGATGGAGGTATCGAGTAGTACGCGGCTTTTCCATTATTGGTGGTGAGATACCGGGCGGGTGGGAGCAGGGTACCAAAAGTAGAAGTGAAAGATTCCTCAGGAGGGGCGGAGACTGGCGATTTTGAGAGTGGGGACTCTACGCCTGGGCGTGGTAGAACGGGGTGAGGGATAGTTGAGGACATTGTCAGTGATGAGCTTCTGATAGGATGCGGTGCTTGGCTTTATGTTATTAGTCGAAGGATTTGGATGTTGATAGTAGGGCGTGATTAGCGGGGATCACGACACGTGACAATGTCGAGCATGGCAAGGCGACGTGCGGAAGGTGCGAACAAAAATGCCGACGGCATTTTATCTCGTCTTTTCTTTTCCTCTGTTACATTGAACTGCATCGTCATACACCCCTTTCGGGATAGCCAAAGAATACAGTATAACAATACAGTACTACACAGGTAAACAAAATAGGAAAGCGCTATTCAGTTCCTACCCAATAACATCGGTTCATGCCCTCGCTGATTGGCTGTGCAGCTAACATACCTAGCAAACTTTATTCGCGAAGCCCCGGCTGTTCCTTGGAACAGCAACACCGTGGAAACCATGTAGTGGAATATTCATCCCAAACGAAGAAACAAAGAACAAAGCACAATGTCGCACCGAATACAAGGAGATTTCGCTCTCGGCAAGATACCCTTTTTGACAAGCGGCCCGCGTTATTTGTCTTACCAAGAAAAAAACGAGAAAAAGTGAGATAGCCTCGGCTCAAGCGCATCCACATGCGCCTTGGAGATCTTGACAGACAATTTTCTCTAGCCTGTGCAGGCAATTCAAAATCGACTACCACACTCCATTCGAATCCCCAGACACTACAAGTCCAGTAAAAAGAGCAAGGGAAAAGAGGTACAAGGAAAAGACTCCGATAAAAATGGCAACCCAACGCCCACCACACGCAAAACAAGTACCACCCTCCCAAACCCGTCTCCTCTACCTATCAACCTACAACCTCGTCTTCGCCTCCCTCTGGGCCTCCATCTTCGTCCGCGCAACATCCCACGCCCTAACTTCTTCCCGAATCGATCTCTTCCGTGCCACGGAACCCCACGCCCGCTGGATCCAAACAGCCTCATTGCTAGAAGTGCTGCATGCTGCTTTTGGTAACCTCCTTTTTTTTTCCCCTCCTTTTCCCCGTTCCATTTTCTAAACTAGGCCTGAACCGAACCAGACCAAACCTCACCTCTAAATAAAACAAGAGCCTGGAAGGCTAACAAGAAGGGAAATAGGCCTCATCAAATCCCCTGTCAGCACCACCGCCTTGCAAGTCGTCACGCGCGTGATACAAGTATGGATGGTGTGGTTTTGTTTCCCTGCCAGCACCGCATCGTCGAGTGCGTATTTGGCGCTTTTGCTAGCGTGGTCCACGGCAGATTCGATTCGGTATTTTTATCTTGCGTTGAATATGCATGGGAGGGCGCCGGAGTGGCTTGTTTGGCTTAGGTACGTTTCCCCTTTCCTTCTTTGTTTTTTTGGTTCAAGGAATAGTTTGATGAGGATGGCAGAAGCTTATACTGGAGTACAGATATACGATGTTTTACCCACTGTACCCAGTGGGGATTGGAGCGGAGTGGTGGTTGCTGTATCGGGCCGTTGAGCCTGCAGGCAGCATCAACGGATTGATTCCGCCATTCTTTTACTTTTGTCTTGCGTTGTACATTCCTGGTAAGTGTGGGAACAGAGACATGCTGGGATGTGCGTTGGTTGCTGACTTGTGGCGTAGGTTCGTATACAATGTATACGTATATGATGAAGCAGAGAAGCAAGACGCTCAAGTCTGCGAAGAAGAGTGCTTGAAAAGCCCCTCTTTTTTTGCTTTCCTAGAGTCGGAAATGGGTTCAAGGGCAATTTCACATGACGCCAGTAACAGGCAGTATGCATCATGGTTGAACGCAGGCACATGCCCACGGAACTTTTGTACACGATATCAATACAAAGGAGATGCATGCATACCCAACCAAAACATAGAAAAGAGACATCTTTCCTTCTCTCCCTTCACCTATGCTTCCCACGACTATGAATGAAAAGAAAAACGCATCATATTAAATATAGGAAACCTTTACACCCATGCCAACGGTGCGCCGGACCTTGTCCCAAGCATTACGTATGATCCTCATTATCCTTTCTCGGAGGTCCCTTCTGCCGAATGCAAGGCCAAATGCGAGCAGGAAGAGGATGGTGCGGAAAATAGCCATTGGATTTGCAGTCATGGAATGTGCAGTATTGGATATCAGGGTTTGGAGATTAGCAAGTACGGTGGAGGCGCGGTTGTAGAAGCCCGGCGGGGGACTCATAGATTTCTTGGGCGGAGTGCGTGAAGTTCGAGAAGATTGCGAAGAGACAGGTTGAGGGGTGGATTGTGGCTTGCGGAAACGTTCGTCTGAGCCTCGGGGCTGGCGGCGATTTTCTTCCTCGCGTTTCCGGCGCTCGTCCTCTGCGCGAGACTGCTCAAGACGTCTTGCCTCGGTTTCTCTGCGGCGTTGCTCCATCTGTTCTTGCTGTTGTTGGCGCAGCTTCTCCTCCCTTGCTTCGGTGTCCTCCTTTTCTTCCTTGAGCGAGTGCAGAGCGAGCAGGAAAGCCTCCTTGCGCTCGTCATCAAGGACCTCTGACATACTGATGAATTCGCGGGCATAGTCCCACTCGTCGTTACGGGGCAGGACATGTAGAGTGTATAGTTCGAGCAGTTTGATACGCTTTTCAAGGTCGCGCGGGGTGTCTGTGCCGGTATGCTGCCTGTGATTACCAGGGCGCTTCTCTTGGTATGACGGCGAGGCCATATGTGAGGCAATATCGAGCGTGGGCGTGGCAGATGCAGAGAGGTATGTCTCAAGCTTTTGCTGGTTGAGGCGCTGGGAGGGAGCATGTGTGAGTAGCAGTGTGGCTCTGCATGGTGGTTAGTATAGAAATCATATCCAAGGCCTACTTTCGGCATACAAGTTCACAACAACATCGGCATCCACGTCACCCTCGACTCCAGCATAGCCATCGCGCACCACGTCGTCCCAGATGCTACCATCGCGGCATTTGGACACTAGCTGCTTCCAGCGGGTGCTGCCAAAAGCATGCTTTCCCTCTTCAGCACCCAGTTCGATGACGGCATTGAGAAAGGTGAGGTAGAAGCTCCAGACCTTGATCCGGGTGCCGCGAGACGCGGTTGCTACGGGCGCATGTCCTACAAGGTCGCCATTGGGGCCATTGGTATCGTCTAGGGGCGGCGGGGTGATGATGGGCTCGATTGTGGAGAGGGCCTCTGGGAGGCGGCGCGTCAGGAACAGCTGGGCGGCCTGGCGGTAGGCTTTGGCGATCTGAGAGGCTTGTTGCCGTGACGCCGACAGCGACGAGATGGACGTGGACAGGTAGCGCGACCCGCTGACATCGTCGTAGAGAGTCGCCATGGTCCCTGCAAGACGCGATAAAAGTGCTGGCGAGGAGTTTCGGACGGCGTTTACGGGCTCATAGCGGTGAAAGACGGGGGGAGCGGCTCGGTGGTGTGCATTTCCACACTCCGCGTCGTCACAACATTCGACCTCGGCTCTGTCGCTGTCGGGTCTGTCTTGGCGCGTCAACTGGCCGAACAACCATCTCCTCATTTCCGCACCCCGACACGTGACAAGCAATATACTTGTGCTTGCACTCTACGAGACATGTTGCATCTGCAGATATTGTACTACCACCATGGCTGCGATGCGCAATCAGCTCGCTTCGAAACCGTTTGCTTGCTTGCCACAAGCTCTGAGTCACCGGCTGAGAAATGCCCGTTTGATCGCTCTTGACCACCTTAGTTTCCCAACTGCCTCCAGGTAGTAGCCTTGCCACTCACTTTCTCTCGACAGCTGCCTCTTTGCCTTTACCACCATCGGCATTCACCCTCGTCTACATGCTTATATCGTTATCGCAAACTGCCTATGCTGCTTGAACGCAATTCCAATCATTCCAACAAACATGGACGTCGACGCAGCCACCTTCCCACACCACCTCCTGTGGATGCTCATTAACATCGCCGAGGCTGATTTTGTCTCGTTCGATTTGGAACTCTCCGGTATCCCTTCCCGCATCCAGGACAAGCCCCCGCGCGGCCCCGGACGTTTTACCATGGAGGAACGCTATGCCGAAACCAAGATGGGTGCCGATCGCTATCAGATCCTACAGGTAGGGATTACGTGCGCAAGGTTCGACTATATAGCAGACAAGTACGTCTTACGCCCATACAACATCGACATCAGCCCATTGTTCGATGAGCGCATCGACTTTGAGCGCGAGATCCGGTTTCAAAGTGGTGCCTGCACCTTTTTGCTCAAAAATGGCTTTGACCTTGGCCTGCCCTTTGCCAATGGTGTGCAATATTTGTCGCGACAAGAAGCAGAGAAAGCAAGGCAGATGGCATGTGACCGTTTGGAGAAGAAGAATCCTGTTCCTGACCTTCATCTCAAAGAAGGAGACGTCGAGTCTCTTGACTTTATGCGCCGTGTACGGGAGGCTATCAATAAGTGGAAGACCACCACCTCATCTGGTTTAGATATCACAACCCACACTGGGCTCCCTGACCGACCAAAACTACCAGTAATAACGCGCTTTGAAAAGCGTCTGGTTCATCAACTCGTGCGTGCTGAATTCCCTGACCTAGTGACCATGGGTCGCTCAGAATGCGTTCGCATCATTCACCTTGATCCCGTCCGCGAAGCAGAAAATATGCAGCGAATGAAGAATCGCGTCGACGAGTCCATATTGCGTCAAACTGGCTTTCGTTGGATTTTTGAGGCGCTAGTCAAAGGTGGCAATCTCAGTAGAACTGACCTGCTGTTTGTTGCTCGGACGACAGGTATGGCTCCAACGGCGGATACAGATGACACACGCACTTGTTTCGACAGGGCCATGGAGAGGCTAAAGACCAGACAGCCAGTTCTTGTTGGTCACAACATGTTCACTGACATTGTATATCTTTACCGTACCTTCGTTGGCGAGTTGCCTGTACGTCATGAGGAGTTCTATACATATCACTGCGTCATGCTAATGAAGGTGACCAGGACACATTGGACGATTTTCAAGATGTTATACACGAGCTTTTCCCTAAGATCATCGACACCAAATATCTGGCCACATTTGCCGAAGGCGATCTCAACGCGTCGCCTACTTTACAGGATATTGCACAAGGTCTCAGCAGCCAACCTTTGCCTGATATCATCACTCATGCGGATCATCCCAAGTACCAAGACATTGAGGCTTTCCACGAAGCGGGCTACGACAGCCTGTTGACCGCCACCATCATGATCAAACTGGCTGCTAGATTAGGTGTGGAAAGAGGAGAGAAGATACTTCCACCGCTTCTTCAAAACTTGACCAATGGCGCGGACAGTCGATCCAACCTTACCACCAATGAAAATGTACCCGATTTTGTCAAAGACGGCCGGGAAAAAGTGGAAAGGCCAATCCCATTACCACCCGTCGAGAACCCAGAAGCTAAACAGTCTAAGAAGCAGCGAAAAAAGAACAAACAAGCCAACAAGAAAGCAGGGCAAACACGATTCCAGACCAAAAATGTCTTTGATGCTCTTAGTGAAATGTCACTCAACCCAGATACCACGCCTCTATCAACCGATGACGAGGAAGCAGAGCCAATGGAAACAAAGAAAGACTACCAAAACGGAAAGCTGGACGAGCAAACAAGCCAATCTCCCGGGTCATGGGAGAATGCCACCCCTGTGCAGAACACCACGGGTTGGGCACCTCTAGAGCAAGTCGAACGCCAACCAATGGAACTCATCCCGCATTTCGATTCCAAATTCTGGGCTGAATTTGGGAACACACTTCGAGTCTTTGGCACTGAAGAAGCAGTCTGGAAGATTGCCACTTGGGAATCATGATTCGTCGGGATCCTTTGAACGTAACTGGAACGCGCGAATGTATGTGTGTATGTACGTGGACGAATGTAGCACAGGTTTTGGGCTTCAGAAAATTCAAGCGAAAAACATACCAGATGTTGCACCAGAAATGGATAGGGATACGCATGCGTGATGCATATGTACATGGTGCAGGTGAGACATGTGTTAGTTTGAATACCTGAAGTCGTTGCCTCATTTCTTTGCTTGTTATCAAGCTGCTTCACATTCTTATTGGTGATTCTGAGCACGACAACGCACCGTTCGTATCCGGACTTAAGAAAAGCAAATGGGGTATGCAGCGACGGGAAAAGGTAACACTAGTTTAGATTTCGTTGCCCTTTTCAGAAGATGTGCTTCAAGATGCATATGCGTAGCAAGTAAGCACAGCTAATTCAACTGCATCAGGCATAACACCACGTGGATTGTTTTTACTGACTTTATGCGAGGATTACATGACGTTACACTTAGTAGTTACTTATGTCTAAACGCTGGTGCGCAAGGATCAGCGCGGGGGTTTTGTGGCGCATCGGCATGGAGTCCTGGCAGCATGCATGCCCGTTTCCCGTCACACGTTTCTATGCGGAAAAGCAAGCACGGTGAAGGGAAAGCCAGCTGTATATGAAAGGAGGCAAAAAAAAAAATCTGGGAAAGTAAGCACAGCCTACCTCTTGCTGCCTGCTACGATCCATTGCCATCCCGCTCGCGTCTGTCTCGACGCATCGAAGTATGGATACCCATGCCATGAGTGAGGACCTGCTGCAGTGTACAATCATTCATCAACCACGTAATCCAAGTTTCGTCTTCACCACTTTCCCATCTCCCCTATCGTGTGGTGACACGACCGTGTTCTGATACATGAGTGCTAGTAGGTTGCCTTGGGCCATCGATCCAATAACCAGGATGGGCATCATTGCGGCATTTTTTTTTTGCTACTTTAGAGTGTAGTATGTCAGGGCAAAACCAAAAGCGGGGGGACCTCGGAGGGACGCAATTACTTGGCTATCCAACCAAATGCAATGATTTCACGATGCTTGGCTGTCTAATCGAGTGTCATGGCTGTAAGCACTGCTGCAGGCCGCTGCTGCAGAGAATATGTCGGGTGGGGGTGGGGGAACCTTTCAGGCTCAGCAAGAGGTCCTTAATGGGGGCAAAATCTGATGTCAGTCATCACTTCGCGACGTGATTGGATGGAAAGAGGGGAGCACATCCCGTCCGACGAGAAGCCAATATGATCGTGATCCGCAATGTTTCGGGCGAAACCCGCATTTGCTCCCCTGCAATCCTTTCCATACCTCCTTAGGATTCTTGGATCTCAGGAAAGCCGTTTTCTGGATCGCATTTTCGTTTATAAACGTCCTTTTCAGCCTTTCCCCCCACTTTGGCTCATGGCATCACCCCCGCGATCTCCGATTCGCTGCCTGGGCAGTCAACATGACCAGACAACTAAGATGCATGCACAAGGAGAGACCAGTAAATGACTTTTGCATGCAGGTCAAGCAGTAGTGATTGGTGGCTCTGTGTAGTGCAGAGCTGACCGGCAAGGGGGGACGACCAGGATTCAGCCTCAGGGCAGCACCGCGATCCTGTGTTATGGATTTATGGTTACACAACTCTCGTCACTTCCCCTATGCCGTGGCTTTTCGGTCATATATTCCTCCTAGCCTTGCCTGTGCATGTGTCATAGAACCTAATTGTTTTTATTCACGCCCTAAGTGGCTGAGAACTACTGTAGGTGATCAGGCTTGGCAATGTCGGTTTGCAGCGCAATCATGAGCCTAACAGCGTAAAAAAAGGAAGGGAATGCCTTTTTATCTTTGTTAGCGATTGGATGGACGTGCGGAATCTTGCATCGGCTTTGCATCCTTTGCATTCGGGTGTGCGTGTTGACGAAAGATCTGTTGATATTTCACTGTAGTCCTTTGGGGGCGCGAGACACGGAAACTTGGGAATGCAGTTTTGCTTTCACGGGCAGGCTGCCGGCCTTGGCCGTTTTGTATTATTGTAAAGTTATAAAGATAGATCAGATCTTCGCTGCCACAACGATGTGCTTCTTTGTTCTACTCTTTTTATCTCTTCCCACCAAAGATATTGTCTTATCAGTGCAGAGCATACAACTGGCGTAACTACACCTCATCATGCCATTCATCGAGGACGCCTCCCGGGCTTTGGCAATTAGGCCTTCGTTGCTGCAGGCTGGAGTCGATGACCGGACATCGTCACATACTACACCCCCTGTGGAAGACACGAGATCGTGAGTCTGCTTACAACATTTTCTTTTCTGGACGCCTTTCTGATACGAGGTTTCTCTTGTAGCATGGCAGTGGTCTGCTCTTGCAACCGCGACAGCAGTGGCAACATTGTGCACGCATGCACCGCTGCTTCCTATGTCTCTCAGGCTACGGCGGCGCCTCAGCAAGACATCGCCGCCCGGAACCACGACTTGATGGAGGTCGGAGCGCTGTTCGATCAGAAATGAACCTGGAAAGTGGCAATAATGATTGCTATTATATGATTCAGCTCACGGCATGGGCTTAGAATAAGGCGCTTAGGCGAAGTTTGGAAATGACAAGTGATTTGGTTTTTGTGAGATTTGCTGCTTAGCATTGTTAATATTGGGATTTATGGGACTGGAGTGGTATTTCGAGATCTAGTACTGAATCGAAAACATTTTTTCATTTGTTTGTTTTTGTTGTGCCCAGGATCGCCTAGATTGATCATCGATGTGCAGGACCAGCGGCATCAGTTGCATCAACAGGCTCCACGTGCACATCCATGTTCTTGGCAAGTGTCACGTCCGGCTCTTGTAGATCACGAAACTCACCCTCGCTAGGCTGCGGAGTATTCTGATCTTGTGATAGGGGCTCAAAATGTGCGTTAGTAACTCTCTTCTTGTCGATGCGCCGTCTCCATGGCTTGTATAAGAGAACACTGAGGCCACCAAAGACGACGAACGCACCACATATTGCTCCGCCTATTTAATGTTAGTGCGATGGTTCACATTGAGCAAAAGCATAATACACACCAACAATGTCCCATGCATTGCCCAGTTTTTCTACACCGTCCCAGAACTTGCCATGGGGCTCAGCAACATTGAGAATCAAATTGAGGAACTGAACTGTCCCGATGATTGTCGCGACAATGACAGTGATGACGGTGAGGACAATGCTATAGTAGCAAATTGCTATCGGATCGCGTGCAAGTTGAGTACTCGTATACAGGCTCATCATCAGTGCGCCGTCCGTCGTATCCAGTAGACACATGCCCGCCGTGAAGAGCAGCGGGAAGATCAAAATAAGCCATATTGAAGTGCCTTTGGTTGCTTGAATTGAGCTAATACCCAAGATGGCAATTTCAGAAGATGTGTCGAAGCCCAACCCAAAGAGTACTCCGAGAGGGTACATCTTCCAGGGTTGGTCGACTAGCTTAAACAGCTTTTGTAAGAGCGGGAATAAGCACCCACCACCCTGAATTTTGAACTCCTCATGTTCACCTCCGGGATCGCTGGCGATCATCTTTCGCATCTGGACAATGAGCTTATACAGAATGTACATGTTCATGATGCCAAGTAGGAGTAGGAAAGCTGCAGACACGGATGTCCCGATGATACCACCGATATGCTCGAAATTGTCAAACTTATCCGAAACAGCAGCAGCAGTGCCAGCAACGACGAGAGATGTAGCTATCACTACCGTCGAGTGTCCGAGACTAAAGAACATGCCTACTGTGACTGGTCGTTGGTCTGCAGCTATGAGACGACGAGTCATGAGATCGATGGCCGAGATGTGATCTGCATCTAGGGCATGGCGTAAACCCAGGGTATATGAAAGTACGGCTGTCGAGATGAGTGGCGTGTGCCAGTGCTTCTAGAAATTAGTACGTTTGTTGTTTACGTGTAAGAAACATCTACCACCTACCAAAACGATACCAACGGCGGCCCAAACAAGTAAGTTGACGACAATGAGAGTGACAATGATGGCAATCGCGGGGAAGGGAAGCCGTCTTAGGTACGGAGTCTGTGAATGGTATTCTGTAGCTTTCTTTGAGGCACTGCGGAAGAAAGACGACTGGCTCTCTGGGTCCCCACTATCGCCACCCATAATAGGCAGGCCCTGTGAAGTCGTCATCGCTCTAGCCGTCAGTATTGAATTAAAAGCCGCAACTAGGCCTCAAGACGCCTAAAGAAATTCTAGTAGGTCTCTATGCAAGGAACGCAGAAAATGGGTAAGAGAAGTGAGATGGCGTGCGGCTTACGGGTTCATGGAATGCAATGGCGCTAGTGAGCGGGGTTCATAGCTCTTATTTTCACATAAAGACCGGGCTCATGTAGTGGGGTAGCTGACCCATGATCACTTCAATCTACTAGCCAACATGACCTTAGCAAGGCCGATTTCGACAATCTCTCCTTCCTTACAGTCATATATGACGAGGCCTTGTATATTTACAGTTTACGGAAGCAGAGCGAGGCATTGGTGCCCCCAAAGCCGAAACTGTTCGAGAGCGCAACGCTGATCTTGTGTTGCTGAGCAGCATTTGCAACATAATTGCAATCGAACTCAGAAGCAGGTTCTCCAGCCTCAATGAGGTTGAGGGTTGGCGGGAGGATGTTCTACAGGTTGTTAACATATTTAGTGCTGCAGCTCCACATCTAACCCACATGATACATCCCCAGCACTGTGAAGATTGCTTCCACGCTACCAGCAGCGCCAAGCAAATGCCCGACTGCACCTTTTGTGCTGCTAATGTTGATCTTAGAGGCTGACGGCTTTCCTTCTTCACCTAGTAAGAGTGCTTTGATCGCCCTGTTCTCGGCGGCGTCACCCAAAGGTGTACTCGTGGCGTGAGCATTGATGTAATCGACAGCACATGGCTTAATACCAGCATGCCGCAAAGCATTCTTCATAGCGAGACGTGGACCCTGTCCGTCCTCGCGGGGTGCTGTCATGTGGTACGCATCGCTAGACAGTCCGTAACCAGCAATTTCAGCATAGATGCGTGCATTTCTTCTTTGGGCGTGCTCGAGCTCCTGCACCCATTAGATTGACACAAGGTATGATCTAGAAAGACGTACTTCAAGAACCACAACACCAGCCCCCTCTCCGATAACGAAGCCATCGCGTTGTTTGTCAAATGGACGGCTTGACTCAGTAGGCCGGTCATTGAATTCAGTGGAAAGGCTTCTAGCTCTAGCGAAGCCTGAGATAGCGAGTGGGTGGATACAAGATTCACTCCCGCCGGCGATCATGACATCTGCATCTCCAAACTGAATTAGACGAGAGGCATCCCCAATGCTGTGCGCACCAGTCGTGCATGCTGTGGTTGCGGCGTGGTTTGGTCCCTTTAGTAAGCTGTTAATGACTTGATTGCAGGTCGAGGTAAACAACTCACCTTGAAACTGTAGCGCATTGAGATGTGACCAGCCGCAAGGTTGATCAATAATCGTGGTACGAACAGTGGTGAGACCTTCCGGTAGCCCTAAAAAGTCAGCTTTATATGGTATAATAAGAGGTTCGTCACTTACACCTTTTTCATATGCCACAGTAGTATCATATACATCGTCTAAGCTACCGATTCCGGAGCCCATGTAGACACCCTATGACTATGTAAGTAGAGCCATACGAACAGTACTGGTACATTATTACCGTGGCCTCGAGTCTGTTCTCATTCTTTGGGTTCCATCCAGCATCCTGTAGAGCTTCTTCAGCGGCCACCATGGCATACTGAGCAAATCGTGCCATGCGACGCTCGTCCTGTTTTATTGTCAGTGGCTGCTCAAATGGTCTTGGGAGAAATAGATGGGTTTACAGTAGGGCTCAAATGCTCTGTCGCATTCCATTTCCCCTCATCTTTCGATCCCTGTGGTACTAGGCCGGCTATTCGACTCGGAAGCAATGCAAAACCTTGGCTGCGGTCTTTAATAGAAACGATGCCGCAGTGCCCATCGATCAGGCGCTTCCACGTTTGGCGGACGCCTGCAAAATTAGAAAAGAGCTTGGATGATGAACTGTGGCATGGTACCTAGTCCCAAAGGTGTCACAAGCCCTAAGCCTGTTACTACTACCCGTCGCATTGCATGTCAATATGGATGATGGTTGATGTTACTAAGATGGCGATGTGATGGCAGCACAAAGAGCTAGTGCAGAACACGAGCCATAAGTGGTTTAGCGTCTGGTGCGGACTCGATCACAAACCACGCACTCTTGAGCAGCAACAGGGTTCGACCACACTTGGCTTCGTTCTCGAAAGAAATCTATTCAAGCGTTTGACCGTCTATCTGCCCCGCAATCATACTTGGGTCACCTTGTTTGGCCTCTACATTCTCAACATCTCCTACCCAAATTCATCTCCAAGGTATCAATTTCACTTCCTTTGGCATGCTACCAAGAGTTCGGAAGAGTTCCTTACAATCACTTTGCCATGGTAATTTCTACGAGCACACCAACTCATAAATGGCTAAATCTCAGTCCCGCCAAATTCTGTGAAAAGGAAGGCATCATAATTATATTCACAACCTAATCGACGTCTACATATCTGTTTCCATATTCACAGCTTAAGCACTGAGACGTTCTCGATATTGGTTGAACAAAATACAGTATATTAAACTAGTTTTGCATCTCATGCGTTGGATACAAACTTCAATCACACTCCAAACCCTACTAATGGCCGAGCCAATGTCGCGGCATGGCAAAAGGCATAGATTGCATGTAACGACGAAGGAAACTCAAGTGCCACACTGTAAATGCGCAAGCCGAGTAATATGGGGAAGTTTAGTACAGACCAAATGAGTCAGGGTCTCTGCTGCATGAACAGGTGGAATCACGTCATCGCCAAGACCTCCAAACCCTCGTTTAGCGGCAGATTGCGAGCATCAACACCAAAGGAATGACTCCCCGCAATGTGATTAATACGCACCCACCTGCCTTGCAGGCTTTACACTCATTGTTCCACGGCCCGTGAGTACTACAGATATGGACAGTTCAAAATTGGATAACGGAACGGCCAGTGGGTCGCACAAGTATAGTAAGTCACTTGTAAATATATTTTTATTGTCGCAAATGCTGTAAGACGCAACCGGAAGCACGGCGCATGTCACAGTGTTACAGAACAAGAATTCAACCGCTTATCACTTGATCGCTTGCTGCTGGGTAACCATAATACTTGATCCTACAGCTCCCCTGGCTGCAGAATTCCTTGACTCGAACATGAAAACTAATATTTCTGTAGAAAGAGTGTCGTCACAGCCCGAAAACCCCTACGCTAAACTCATACCCGACCAAACCATCGCTATAATTCCAGAATTCACACTCGAGTCCGGCGTCGTGTTACACAATGTCAATGTTGCATACAAGACTTATGGAACCCTAGCACCTGGCGGAGACAATGCCATGGTCATTTGTCATGCGTTAACAGGCAGCGCTGACGTAGGGGACTGGTGGGGACCGTTACTTGGAGGTCCTGGGAAGGCCTTCGATATTTCACGGTTCTTTGTCGTATGTATGAACAGTCTCGGAAGCCCATACGGTAGCGCCAGTCCAGTTACGGCCAAGGATGGGGATGTGTCATTGGGTCCCTATGGTCCCGAATTCCCATTGACAACAGTACGCGATGATGTGAAGTAAGCCGAACAACCGAGTGTAGTTATTGAAGAAACCTGCTAACCAGAACAGTATTTTCAAGCTTCTCTTGGACGACCTCGGCGTGAAGCAGATCGCTGCGGTAATTGGTGGCTCTATGGGTGGCATGCTTGTTCTTGAGTTTGCATACTTTGGAAAAGACTATGTGAAGACAATAGTGGCGATTGCCACATCCGCCCGTTATAGTGCGTGGGGTATTAGTTGGGGTGAAGCGCAAAGACAGAGCATCTACAGTGATCCCAAGTACGACGATGGATACTATTCTTACGATGACCCACCCTCCACTGGTCTTGGAGCGGCGCGCATGTCCGCCTTGCTGACTTACCGGAGTCGCGACTCATTCGAATCGAGGTTTGGACGGAACACTCCTGATCTGTCTAAGAAACAGAGTATCAACAACGTGCCGCGCCCGACTACACCATCAAACCCCTCACACGAGCACTGGGCGATACACAATGACGGACACAAGAATGCCGGTTCACCAAGGTCCTTGTCCAGAACAAACAGCAGTACTGCCATACCTGGCACTGCCCAAGCGCACACCGACCTTGAGTTTCACGATGCCTCAAACGCCGCTGCACAGTCATCCCAAAGGCCAGACTCAACAAGCAGTAATCAGCGATTCCCGCGCTCATCGAAACCTCTCGCGCCACACTACTTTTCTGCGCAGTCTTATCTGCGCTACCAGGGCGAAAAGTTCATCAAGCGATTTGATGCCAACTGTTACATCGCCATCACCAGGAAATTGGATACACACGATGTTTCCCGCTACCGGTACCCTGATGGAGAGACACCTGAAACCCTGGACCCCGTGTCGGCCCTCCATCATGCACTATCTTTGATCGAGCAACCCACACTTGTGCTCGGTATCCAGTCAGACGGTCTTTTTACTTTTGCCGAACAACAAGAACTAGCCGCGTATATCCCCAATGCGTCGCTGAAGACCATTGATTCACCAGATGGGCATGACGCCTTCTTGTTAGAATTTGAGCAGGTCAACAATCATCTACTTGGCTTCCTAAACGCCGAGCTGCCAGAGATCATGAATAGGACGCCAACTTTGGACACAGCCACGCCTGACGCGGACATGGTTGCCACCAAAACCAGTACCTTTGGCGAAGCAGAAGTCGACGATATCACAGCGTGGTAGGAAAAGCAACCATCATGAGATTTTAGCGAGGCGTTTGTAATGGGGAGAATTGGATTGCTGCATCGGTTGGCGTGCAGTTTTCGGCATATGCTTGAAAGAAACCTGTATGATTATGACGCGTTCTTCGTTTGATGAAGAACCGAGGTTCAACCCCTCGTCAGATACCACCGTTGCAAGAAAAGTATATAGAGCAACGACAGTTGAAAGAACATGGATAAGATATGTCTGTGTCAACTTTGCTTTCACTCAAGGCGAGAGTATGAAATTCCGGCATTTCCCGTGACGTTACTAGCCTTCTCGGACCTCGCTTCTCAGATGATAATCTGGGGTCTCCGCAATAGCCATTTCGGGCTCAACCGGTATCGAAGTATTGCAAGGTATCAAACTCCAATCGCCTGGTACCTGAAAATTCTAGTTTCCTCTCCACAAGCCGTTGAAATGCGTTTTTTAACAACTGCCAGCCCGGAATATTGGCATCGGCCATATAAGTCCGAATTTCCACACTGCCGTGCGGTCACGAGGGCTCCCGGATGTTGGGTACGGCAAAACGAAGACACGTGGGATATGCAACTTTTGCTTTTCTTTCTTCACTGCCGAGATGGTAGCGGGCGTTGGTTCACTACACCAGCCCCATTACAGTCAACCCTGACGCGCCAAACACGGGGTATTTTCTCCGCACGTTTTTGTCCCCGCCTATCTCGGTCAATCCGTGGAACTGGAAACCCCAGGCCAAGAAAGCAGGCTTAACCCACTAAATCGAGCGAGCTTTGATACGAAATGTTAGTACCTCTACAACACTTTTTTTGTCAAACAAAAGTTAGACAAAATGAACGACGTAGCTCTTCTTTTTAATTCGATAACGTAAACTTTAAATTTAGTGCTCTTGCCGTAAGAATGAAGGGGTTAAGCAGACTTGATACCGTCGGTGCTGTATGATCTGCTTTCTGACTTCAACGGATTACCGAAACCCCGCATATGGGATTTGTCGGATCCACGATCCTGGTACGTAGCAGAGCTAAATAAAACCTCTTCCGGGGAAGCTTCTCGGAGGATTCGGATATAGTGAAGCCCATTTCTGGGAAGTAGAGTGCCTGCTTTTTCTGAGTTCCATCTTTTCCTTCTCCTTCACATTTCGTTTCCTCTGTTTCTTTTGTACGAGTGGGAATTCAAAATGGAGGTCCCGACTACTCAAAAGGCAGCCGTCAAGCAGGGTTATGGCGATAAAACTACCATTGTTGTCAAGGACATTCCTGTCCCTGCCCCCTCGCCTGACGAAATCCTTGTCAAGATCAACTAAACTGGACTATGCGCGACCGACAAAAGTCTCTTATACAATGAATGGCCCTCCGGTGTGGGCGAAGCCGCAAATGGCATTTGCGGCCACGAAGGTGCAGGCACTGTCGTAGCCGTGGGCTCCAACGTCAAGGACTTCTGGCAAATTGGTAACCGCGCAGGCATCAAATGGGTCACGTCTATATGTCACAGATGCGAGTTTTGCACAAATGGGCAGGACGAATGTGCTTGTCCAAAGCAGCAGAATAGTGGCGTCCATGTTCCGGGAACGTTCTAGCAATATTGTGTCACAGACGGCCGATACGCGACCAAGATTCCCGACGGCGTCAAAGACGAAGAAGCAGGACCCATCATGTGTGGTGGCGTGACGGCGTACGTGGCATGCAAAAGAAGTAATGTCCGTCCGGGACAGTGGGTAGTGATTCCAGGCGCTGGAGGCGGCCTTGGCCATTTTGGCATACAATACGCAAAGCACATGGGCATGCGTGTCATCGCCATTGATGGTGGTGACACCAAACGCGATCTTTGTCTTAAACTGGGAGCAGAGAAATATACATATAGATTTCACAACATGCGCCGATATCACGTCCAAGGTTTTGAAGACGACGCAGTATGGTGCTCATGGCATTCTTGTCTTTCCCTCAACAAATGCTGCGTACGAATCTGCGCCGCATCTGCTCAGGCCCGGTGGTACCATGGTGTGCATGGGAATTCCAAAGAATACCAACTTTGTGGTGGGTGCAACACCGGCGCTGTTGTGCGTAAAGAAATTGAATGTTGTAGGCAGTATAACAGGGACCCTGAAAGAGGTTGAAGAGGTATGGCCAATTTTGATTCAGATATTTGTGGATGATCCGTGCTAATGTGTATTCTAGGCTCTCGATTTCACGGCCCGAGGGCTTGTGCATCCTGTCCTGACGTACGGTGGACTGGAGGATCTCGATAGGTTATGTGCGGATATGCGCGCTGGAAAGCTTGTTGGACGAGCGGTTATTAAAGTTGCTTCATAGATCTTTGTTCCTATGTCAGTTTTGATAAATATGAATGAAGAGTCTGTCGAGATGGTCGTCTGTCTATACATTGTACATGGCTTGCTGCGTGTTCTCATGCCAACGAGGTTTTAAATCCCCTGTTGCATCAAGTGCGGCTATTGAAGAAGAAAGATGCGTGATGAGAAATACCTCTACTACGAATAGATTGTTACAAAACGTATTTTCGGAGCTAACGATTTGGAAATACTTGGAGGATGCAAAGTTTGCCCCCCATCTTGGATTAGTCTTCCTCTAGGCTTTGTTTGCGAAAAAAAAACATAAGGGCATGCTTCCATGATAGAAATGCAGCGAGAAAGGAGTTAGGATAGTCATGTTTTTGATCGAGCGGTTAGTGTATCCAGTTAATGGCTTCTGAATCAGATGTTCTACTTGAAACAAGTCGAGCCATAACGCGCTGAATGCAAATTTTGACACAGAAACGGAAAAGATGGTCTTATCATATCCCTCTTGCAAATTTTATTCGGTTTTGAATAGTTCAAAAACTTCATCAGGTACTGGAGCCCATTTCATTCCGTGCGTCTGGCTGGCCTTGAAGAACGAACGATCGTGGTTGTTACAGTATCTTCGACTGCAACGGCGGCAGCGAAGTCCGTTAATGGATGGTGGGTCCAACACTGATTCATCTATTCCTGACCGAGTTGCACCACGCAGCCGGAAAGCCTGTTTTCGGCGTCGTTGGTCTTCTAGAAAGACGTGATCGGGATCCAGTCTGCTCCATTCCAGTGCGAGTCTCCATCCATGGAAACACCGGATCTCCATTGCTTTCTGACAATACGTGATCAGGTCTGTCCAGTGTTCTGCTCCATCAAAACTGCCCGGTTTGGTGAAGTAAATGTCCGCGCCCAAAACTATCAAAAATACCACGTTTAGTACTGTCTCTGGGAACAGGTTTGTGGGATTATGCGACCGAGACCATATCTGAAGTTGGCGCAACGCAGTCTCCAGTGGGGCGCGATAGCTCTGAAATATTGTATCTGGCTTCGTTCGGTTCCGACGTATGCAGGAGATTGCTTTCAAGGTATTTTTGCTTGGTTGGTTGAGAATGAGGCCCTCAAGAACAAAACTTCTATACTCATCCTGATAACCTGGCCATCGGTTCTCAATCTCTTGCTCCAACTCGAAATACAAACGCTCAAAAAATATTTCGGATGAATCCATAAAATACAAACAAGAATGCATGTATCCATAAATGTACTCCACTTTACAGCCGATGGTGTCGCAATACTTGAGAATTTTCCGCGGATATTTGAGGAGCCCATGAGCTCTATCTGGACTGTTGTACGCAAAAAGGTAGGTGAGTGGAGTTGCAGGTATTTCCAATGGTCCCTCCGATATCACTGATAAACTGGTATCATGTGAGTATGCTGTCTAATCATAGTGGACACCTGTAACAGATGAAATTCGTGACTTACCCATTGTATGTTTTTTGAACCCAAGACAGTCCTTGAACGCTAAGCCCATTATTTGCTTTCTGGAACCAAGAGAGTCCTTGATCATTAAGGAACTCGCATATCTCATATTTTCCGTGCAAGGCAGCGGTCTGTGATTGTAGTATTAGCAACTTTTCTTAGTTCATACCAACGTAAATTTTCTATTGGCAGTGCAGTTCGACCGCCCTGATACAAGCGGATCGAGAGCATTTAATCATAAGAGCCCTCAGCTCGTTAAACCATGTTAAGCCACGCTACATCTTGAGGTTGGAACACGTTTGAGACAAGAGACACAAGGCCATTGAAACCTTAAAAAAACGTACATGTAACAGGGTCGAGCCATCGATTTGACGGCTGTTCAGATGAACTTGTCCGGTTCTCAGCATGGATTTAAGCGCTACAAGATCTCCAGATTTAATGACCGAGGTAACTGGATGATTTTCGCCGATTATAGGAAAACTTGCCACCATAGGGGCTAACTGATAGTACCCTTGTGATGTTGGTGCTGTACTGTAAAAGAGAGAAAGTCCAGGGAGACTGATGAACTTCTGGGTCGGCCAAAAGTGTACCTCAACAGAGGTATGATTCTCTGATTGTGGTGATCCGCCGGTGCGATGAATTGTATGCGTAACTTGAATTTCGAGATTCCCTGAATTGCACTTGGAATACCAACTGCGCTTGTACGTGGAGGTGGTGTGGAGAAGATTTCCCCCCTCGTAGCTCGCATTAAGCGCCTTTGCAAGGTGGAGTTTTTGTTGCATTCCCAATGATCTATCGTTTTCTGTGTTGATCAGAGGACTCTCTGAGCATGTGTCATGCAGTGCAGTTGATTGATTCGCTTCAAGCGCGCGTTGGGCGTAAATATCAAAGCCGACATCGTGTGCAATTATATCATGGAACCCTTTGAGTCTCATTACCCCTGATTCTTTGCGCATTTCCATCTTATCGATTCCTTGTTCGATAAGAGGTGTGAGGGACCTTGAAATCTCCTCACGGACTATTTTTGCGATGGTGTCGACGCTCGAGGCTACCAAGGCAGTTTTCGAATGAACGGCTTTCATTTCAGCAGCCATGTGATCGATCTTCTGTTGTGTTCGTATTGACGTCTGTTGCACTTGGGAACTGAGTGTGTTGAGTTTGTTGTTAGCCTGCTCGGTATGACGGGCTAGCAGTGAGCCCCCAGCGTGCATACGCTTCAGCCTACGATTCGCGAGCCTGGCTTGTTGCGTAGCTATCGAAGTAAGAGCTTCATGCTGGTGGTCTGACGAAGCTTGCATTTCATGGATGCTCGTGACGATAATCTTGGAATGTGACAGCAACTCGGCATGACTTTCTCCCAGCCTCTGCATGTTCGAGTTTACTGTCGCGAAATTGTTCAAAGCGGCGATGTCGGAGTGGCTTTGTTCTGCGAGAATCTTTTGCGTATCCTGGCATATGCGCAAGCCGTGCTGCCTGTGCATCGTCAGCAAATGTAGATACGAAGAACAATCTTGCTACCTTCCCAAGATCTCTAGAGCAACAATGAGACTTGAATTTCGCCGGCTTATACGATTCACGACCTCTTGTGTCTCGCGCTTTTTCATTACCCAGCGAACCCGTTTTGTTGGATTTCCTAGTGGCTTTGGAGGCAGAAGCTTTTTCACAGCGAGGATATCGGCGTCGTAGTCTTCCAATGCCCCAATGATGGTCTCAGAAAGATTCTCGAACTCCTCGAATGCGTCTTTGCATTTTTGAATCTGTACAATGTATCCACGCAAGTTGCGCACATTGGCTTCAACATCACGCAATACTAATACCATCAGCCAGTCGTCGATGTAGGCGAATACATATCGTACCATCCCGCAGCAATTTCACATCGCGGTCCGTACTCTTGTAAGCATCGAGAAACTTGCAGACTTCGCCGCTCATCCGCAGGGCCAAGTCGGCCAGCTGAACGACAGTAGCGATTGTTGCTAGCTCGGCCATTTGTGCAGAGCTAAGACGATTCTCGAAATGGCATCGTAAGACTGGATTGAATTGTGTTTTTGGAGGAAGACGTCAAGAGGACAGAAGGGAAAACACAAAATGTGGAAAGTGCATTGTGTCAGGCTGATGCAGGCCTAAATTCAGGCACCCACAATAGTCAGAATGTTGGATGCAGGAAAGCGTCGTTGGCGGCTGCACCTTAGCGGAATGCAGGCAGTGCATAGTGAGACATGGTGTTCCCGAATATGGGTTGAGAGGTTTTTATCATAGAAGCAGAATCGGGGATGTAAGAGGTTGCAATGCTGACAAAAACAATGCAAAAGATAAGCAAGGACGTCATAACTTGATTGGTTCTGGAAGGTGCCAATGCCCGTCGATATACATAGACCGATGGTTACACCACTAGGCGGGGCAAGAGCGAATCAGCCTGATAACAACACACAAGTGCTCAGGTCAACTATGTATCACGTTATGCGTGGCCCCCAAATATTGTAGGCTGAACTGGTTTCAATATCATGCTAAATGTACGTACTGCTACTATGCCTCGCAAGGAAAGTGTTGAAAACAAGTAGAACGCCTGAAAATGCAAATCATCGTACCACAACCCCAAATGACCCTCCGTACTCCTAATTAATTACCACTGCTTCTCCAGAAAATGAATTGATTTTACGCAACCTTCAGATTCGAGGTATTGCGATAGATAGCATGACACTTAGACACTTCCTGCAACCTCTCCAAACCATTGCCTTAAAGCCCCAGCAAGTACACCTGGCAGTTCCCTCACATCCCTCACGACAAGGTAATACCTGAACGGAAACTGCTCCATATATTTGTGCCTCACAATCTTGCCTTCAGGTGTGAAGACTACCGATTCCAGGTCTAGAATAGATGTCTTCGCTTGCTCTTTGACTGGCGCCGGCGGCTGCGCTGCGGGATCATCAGAAGACTTTGGTACGGATACAGAAGGAGCTGCGGCTGAACTATCAATGATAATGAAGACAATCATTACACGCTCTTCTTGGGCTTTGCGGATAAGACGTTGAATCTCGGCGTGATTGTCGCAGATACCATCACTGACAATGAGCATCAACTGCCAGAGGTCTTCGCCCGCAGAGCTACTGCCCTTCTGTCTGGCGTCTTTGAACAACTCCAGACTCTTGTCAACCAAGCCTCTTACATTTGTCTTCTTGGCGTCAAAGCCGAACTGTTCGAAAACTCGTACCCCAGCTTCGGACGTAAATGGCTTGTCGAAATCGTGGGCTACGTTTACTTCATCGCCGAAACCGACAACACTGACTTCGCCAACTTCCAACATTGAAAGGGAGCGAGTGACGAGCGTTAGTGTTTTGAGCGCGAGATTGCTGGCTCCGCTATCGGCCATACTGCCACTGTTGTCAAGCGCAATCATGACTTGGTAACTTCTCTTGCTTGGCATGCTGCGTCGAAGCCAAATCTTGTCTCGTTTGTAGCCTGATGCGATGTAAGGAATGATGCGCTTGAGATTGAGGCGCTTTCCAGTTCTGAAGTCTCCGCGAAGCTTGGTAGCAAGGGTGGGTGCAAGAATAAGACGGAGATGTTCGGTAAGCTGTTGAGAAAGCGAGTGCGTTGACGCCTCATGAGCGAGCCAGAGGGCGCGAGCCGATGTTGGGTCCATGGAAGACGGGTCAAGATGTGTCAGAGATAGCTGGGTCTCGATGTTATCGGCAGAAGAAGTGGTTGACGCAACGTCGTCATCGAGTGAGGCAGCATCGGCCATATCCTCATCGTCGTGTTCAGGCAATAGGCGTTGCTCTCCAACAAATGCTTGCGGCTGGCCTTCCATTGCATTGGACTGTGTTTGTTGTGCCTCCTGATCCTGACCTTGATCATCCTGCAGCTCAGCATCCTCCATATCAACATCCTTGTCAGCTCCCGTCAACTCATCATCGTTTTCTTCAGGTCGGATGGGCATCTTTTCCTCTTCCTCATTCATTGGTATTGCCATATCATGGTCCAAAGCCTTAGCCTGATCCTCGTTCGCGGTCCCCAGAGCTTGGGTATCGGCTTGTTGCTCTTCTTCTCCAAGATGCTCAAAGTCCGCATCAGCCATATCAATCTCTTTTTCGATCTGCTGTGTCTGGGTTTCGTCCTTTTCTTTGGCATCCTGGATCTGCTTTTGCTGATTGTGCCACTTTTCTAGTACATCACCCAGCTTTTTGAAAGACTGCTTCTCGCGAGTTTCTTCAGGTTGTTCACCGTGGCCACCGGCTTCTGGGGCTGTTGTCTCTCCAAGTTGGCCTTCTTCAGTCGTAGGTGCTTGTTGCTGTTCGGCAGAATCTCCTTCTTGGCCTTCATCTTGATTCGCAGCGCTAGCAGAAGCTTGTTCGTTTTTGTTCTTGTGTGCCTCTTCATTTGCGTCGATGCCAGCGCCGGCCTCAGCATTCAAATCAGCCTGGTCAGTATCCTTTTTCTCACGCTTTTCGTCTTCTGGAACGTTATCATCCGGCAGTGGAGCGGCGTCATCGTCCATTGGCTCGTCAACCTCCTCTTCTTGTTCGCCTTCAGATTGTTCTTCATCTTCCATGTGGCCGGTTGTCTCTTTTTCTTCTTCACCCTCCTGTTCAGGGAGAACTTCGTCATCCATGGTATCAGGGCGATCCGGCTCGGTCTCAAGATCTGGTTGGTCCTCAGGGAGATCATCATCCATATCCATGTCGCCAAGGTCGTCGTCGTTCTTTTCTTGGTCGTCTTGCCCATCCATGTTAAGATCTTCAGGGAGGTCCAGTGTCTCCTCTTCCTTTGCATTTGGGTCCATCTGCTCCGTCTCACCAGCGCCAGCATTCTCTTCCTGGTCTTCACCTTCCATCTCCATTTCCTCATCCTCTTGACCATCTTTCTTTTCGTCCTTCTCCTCCTCTTCGCCGTCCTCGCCGCTCTTTTCCTTTTCTTTTTGATCAGAAGCAACCTGCTCGTTCTGGTCCTCTTTACCCACATCGTCCTTGCCCTCCTTGTCTTTGGCGTCCTCTTCTTTACTACCATCATCCCACATCTTCTCATCGACAGCGCTAGGGCCAAGATCGTCAACACTACCAACTTCGCTCTGAGCATCGTCGTCTCCTTCTTCGCCAGATTCATCGCCCTTTTCTTCTTTTTCCTCCACTTGTTCACTCTCGCCCTCCATTTCCTTGTCTCCCATGTCAACGGCATCTTCTTGTTCCTCGATACTGCCCTCTCTTTCGCCTTTCTGTTCTTGCGCCAATTCGTCCAAATCTTCGTCATCTTCGATATCCTTGGAAATATCTTCGGCGCCTTCGCCCTCACCCAGACCGGTTCCAGACTCGAGCTTGTCATCTTTACCCTTTTGATTATCGTCGGACTTTTCTGAAGGTTGACAGAAACCTTGCGTTCCAATCTGAATGAAAGACTTTGACAAACGATACAGCAGATTCGCTGTCGATGCATGCAATAAATCGAAGCGCTTCAAGATAGATTTGTGACATGCCATGTACTGCTCAAGAATTGGCTTGATAGAAGAGAGGAGAGCTGCCATAGATTTCAGATTGGCATCCTCGTAGAGTAGATGAATCTTATTGAGTATTGATGATAGACTTTCGCTGATTTGCAGCGCATGCAGGGAATTGAGAGCAGCAGAAAGTGCTTGTTCTTCCTTGACGAGCCAAGAAGCATCGTCTGTTGAAGCGGGGATGGTCTGCATCGCTACTTCAATATCCTGCATTGATCCCAGAATAAGATCCAAAGAACAGAACACTTCTTTTACATGAGCATCGAGTGTGGTGTGTGGGTTCTCTGGAAGTCGAGCAAGGTCCATAGGAGGATAGCTGAACAAGAATGGCTCGATGTGCCGGAGGATTGGTCTTATCATGTCGCTACCAGCATCCCAATCCTGGAAAACGTTCCGAAGATCCGCCAGGTGAGTATTGATGGACTTGCTCAAAGCTTCATGAGATCCAGATTGAAGATTAGGCGGCAACTTTGGGAGTCGGTGACGCAAGTCTGCAAACTCATAGGTCTTGACGGCCTTCTCTCGCATCTGGCGGATCACATGGTCAATGTCGTTTGTCTTTCCAAGCTTTGCCTGCGCATTGATAATTTCGGTACCGGTTGTCAACATAGCAGAGAGCCATCGAAGCTGAGTTTGGGTAAATGAGGCAGCTTCGAGATGTTCTTCGTGCACCCAAGCAATGTTTCCAAGATCCGGGTTGCTAAGCTCTGCAATTGTGGAAAGTGGAATACGAATCTGCTCGAGGCTTTGTGCAGCTCTGCATAGTATTGTACGCTGTCTAAGAGATGCATACAGCAAACCCTCCAAATAGCCAATGCTTCTTGCCACATCGTTCGGAGTCAGGTCGCCAGAATGCTCCCTGGTGACTGCACGGACTTGTGGCATGATGTTGAGAGCTTTGTGTAAATGGTACTCTGCTGCCCGTCCAATATCCTGGTCGCAACTGACTCGCGGCATCGTTGAAAGAATAGTTGAGAGCTCATCCTGCTTGATCAGTGTATCTACACTCAAGTTAGAGTTGACACCCATTTGCCGCAGTTCCTTCATGGTGTCTGCATATAATTTTCGTTTTTGTGTCTTAAGATGCTGAACAGATGCCTTATTCTCTTCGGTGAGGGTGGTCGGCGTGGCCTTCTGAAGCTCAACAATAGACGTCAAGAGCTCGTTGATGAATTCGTTAATATATGAAGCGCCATCCACAGAATCTGCCTTCGGTGTAGCAAGATTGCGCATCATGGACGTAGTGACACCCAAGTTCTTAAAACGCGCCGGTCGTTCCATCCATCCTGGTACACCACTTTCGCAGATTTCAAGTGCTGCAGGGTTGACGGCTGTGCTAACTGCCATCAAGGAAACATCCTGCAAAGGATGGGTTTCATCAGGGAAGCCTGCCCTCATGATGCTGGATACGGGTTGGCTAAGTACCGCCCTGAACTTGCGGACTAGCTTAGTGAGTTTCCTGTGATTCGTTTTCGCACTCTGCTTCAGCACCTCAATGTTTGTGTCTTTCCAGCTAGCGAGCTTGATCACATCTGCAATCTGCTTTTCCAGGTCCTGCCGGCCTTTGGCAATCATTTCATGCACCGGCTTTTCGAGGCGTGAATAGTAGGCGAGGAAATTGTCTAGCGACGTATACACAGTTCGGAACAAATCTACGTCTTGCATACGCATAAACGCATGCTCACGAAGTTGTTGTAGGAGCTTGATGCGCTGTTCAAATTGGCCAAGAGTAGTTGTCTCAAAGAAACCCTCCAATGACTTGAGTAGTTCTTTGGCATGGACTTGAAGACTCTTGTTATCACTGGTGCTTTCCGAAGCAGCAATGATCGTTTCATATGCCACGCAGAACCAACTCTTGGCGTCACTGCGATACTTTTCTTCTTCCATGTCGAACAGTCGTGCCCAGGTAGTGAGCTCAAGTTGTCGCCAACTGACAAGTAATTTGATCAGATCATCATACAGGCCAGCAGCACTGTACTCTTTACTAGCGACAGTCTGCCATTCATGCATGTAAGCATGGAGTTTTTCGGCTTTGGTAATGAACTTGGCCACGGGATCGACATGTCGGAATTCGAGAGCTTCGTCGCACGTGCGTAGAACGTCTGAGAGTGTGGCGTGCTCTGGCCATACATTCCGAATCTGACGATAACGAGACTGGATGCGATGTATGAGCGTGATGAATCGCTTCGCCTCGAAAAGGTTGGAATCGAAGTAGAAGTTGTAATGTCTTCCTGCGTGACTTGAAGACAGAGCATTGACCTTCTTGTCCAGAGCGAGGTAGATAGCCGGGAGTGCATCTTCGTGCTTACTACCGTGGCCTCTGCCATCTGAAATACGGTTGAGTTCAGCAGCGCACCACTCTAGCAATGTTTTTGTGGAGTCTGAAGCGTTTCTACTATTGACAAAAATTTCGGAATGAATATCAGCAAGTCGAATGGCATAGTCTCGAGAATTCGATGGCAACATAGGCTGCTTGTCGTATGATTCTTGCTCTGCCTCGTAGTCGGGAAAGAGAGTTGGATCATTCTCCTCTGTGTCATCGTCTAGCCCTCGGTACGTGTATAGACTCGAATTCTTAGCTTCTTGCTCTTGATCGTGAAGAAGTTTGGTCTTCCAATCGCCGTACAGACTAGCGAACAGATCATGCAGTAGATTCCTGGCTATGGGGAGACCCAACGTTTGAGGATCTGTACTCTTGAGGAAGACCATTGAGTGTAAAGTGTGCCACCTCAAGTCTACAACGTGGTTCGACTGACCCAAACCTGCCTCCATAGTCCGCAAAAGCAACTCTGGCTTTTCCAAAGGCTGCGACTGCCCAAAGAAAGGGGTTCTCGATGCGATATAGGAAATGCTGTTTCCAGTAGCACTGTGAGATGTCCTCTCTTTTTCCATCTGGCCGAGTATGAGACCGATCTGAAGGCATACAAGGAACCCGACTACAGTGTCTGTGATGTCGTCGTACGCTCGATAACCTTCAGTCAGGCGCTGCACAATTCGAATGAGATTTTGCTGCAGCGTTTGGTCGCAAACAGCTTCTCCTACGGACATGGAACGATTAAGGAGAGGCTGTATAGTACTGAGCAGGTTTGTCAATTCTCCTTGCAGGCTGTCAAGCTCGGATACAGCAGGGCGGACAATTGCTGGTACTGGTGGTTCTTCGCCCATGTTGTTGATAGTCTCCTCGATCTGCTGGATATGAAGGCTAGTATCTTGGCCAGTGAAATCGATCTGGAATTGTCTCAATGCACCCAATGCGTTCAACAGAGTGTCCTTCTCAATGCTGAACATGTTTCGCTCGATCGTCGGTCGTAGGGCAGGATCATGTGGATAATTAGGTACGTACAACTGGAGACCGAACAAACCCAGCTGTACCCAAGCAGCTGCGTCTACAGCAGAAGCAGAAGCTTTGAAGTAGAATTCTATACCGTGCTCCAGAGTTGATCGATATGTCTCTTGGATATTTGTGTCGGGGAAGAACTCTATCCGGCTTTGGTCTATAATTTGCAGGACTTCATCGGAATGAGATACGATAAGCTGGTTGTAGATTTTGGTATAAAGACTCCTCAGGGCGTTGCTCTGGCCGTTAGTGATGCGATTCGCATCCAATGCCATCTGCTGCGATAGCACTTGAAGTTCGATCTCAAAACGATCAAGCTGCGCGAGCTTCACATCGTCTGCTCTATAGAGTTTTCCAATAACTGACGTATGGAATCGGTCATGGATTACTAACGCATTTGCTGTTTGGCGCGTGAGGCCCAGGTAGCGGTAGGATTTCGCAAATTGCTCCGATGCAGCCTGAGAATTTCCAGAAATCTCGTGGGAGAATTTTGTCGGCCTTCGGGCAAAGAGAGATGACTTGGCTCGTGTGGCTATGACAACAGCTGTGGGAAGTACGTCTTGCATGGCAGACTCGTCTTGACACGCGACATCCAAGAACTGGCATAGACCTTCGAACTCTTCCTCAAAGTAGGGTGTGATGAGCATGCTATCTTCTCCAATACCTTGTTCGAGCTCTTGGATTGCGGCATTGAGTGCGGTGACGAGCTCCCGAGCATCCGCTTGATCTCTTCGAACTAGATCCAGGGAACTGGCGATACGTTCGCGTATCTGAATCATTTCATCTACACGAAGAGTTGACTGCCACATGATAGCATCAAATCTATCAGCCAAAGCCTCTAGCTCAAGAATAGCTGCCAACTGTTGCTGATTCCTGGGTGTCGATGGCTTGAACACACGCCAGATGCGTTCCATACCTAACCCCGTTGTCAACTGGACATCGGCCCCAAAGGTACCAACCTGTTTGTAGAGAGTTGCGGAGAGTGTCTGAACAAGAGGTAGTGATGAGTCGGATTTGGGAATCGCAGACGCTAACATCTTGAGATATGTCTGGAACGTTGCGCGATCGAAGGTTGGAGCAGTGGCAAGTTCATGGAAGGCCCAAAACATTCTCCTCAGTGGTTTGAGGAATGCGAGATCAGCCTGCTGGTCTTCTTGGAGTGCTCTCCAGAATCCATCGATGAATTTTATCAGCCCTTGGCAATAAGCATGCAGAAAAGCAGGCAGCTTTTGCTTTTCCTTTCGCCGTTCAAATCGTGCAGATGGTAGTTCTTGAACAGCTTTCTGCATGTTGTACAGGTCAAGCATGACTTCGTAAATCGACGCACTAGTTATGCTGAAGGTC